ACAGAGAGAAGCAAGGCAAGAGCGACAGCGGCGATGGCAACGCGAGCCAAAAAGATGACGAGGTGGGGTACTAGTGGAGGTTGAGGAAGAAAGAGCTATCGATGGGGGGCAACGAAGTGCCAAAAGTGCTGGGCTCCGCCTGGACTTGCCTGATTAGGAAGGATACCTTTGGCAGCAGACTGTGCCATCAACACCTCCAGATCAGAAAAGGCAACGGCAGCCGCTTGATATGCCGTCTAGGTGGCCGGCCAATAATGCCCCAATTGCGCCAAGGGACCCCGAAGAGCGCATGAGGTTTTGACCATGTGGAAGTTGCTACGACGGACTTGCTCCTTCTCTGTTATCTGGAGATGACCAGCGCGAGACCAGGGCCTCCTACCCATTTTGCATCTTGCCCGCCGGCTCCGCTTTCGGGCCAGGACTCTTGCCTTTCCCTTGACCGGCATTTGTCGTTCCTTTATACCTTTGCGGCTACATGATCTATGCCATCGTTTTCTGGGTGGCTGTTTGTGTCCGTTGTCATCCCCACACGCCACAGTAGCACCGCATTCACTATCTCGAAAGCGGCCTGTAGCAGGGCGGCACCAGACGATGCTAAGCATATTTGGGTAGGTGCACGCGACAATGAGGGCTCCATATCGGACGTGAGGGAATTGAAACAGGTAAACGAACAGAGAAAGTCATGCGAAACAAGCCGCCGTGCCCATAGTCGTCCTGGATCGTGTTCTACCTCATTCATATTACAGACTGTTTCTATATAACAGTAGCATGAATATGGAACATGGCCAGAAGTGCAACGAGGTAGAGAGGATTTCAATGTCGTATTAGGGCCAGAAGCAAACCCGGAGACCAGACGCTGGGGTACGCGATAACTAATGAAAGAAAAAACAGGAATCGACTATAATACCGAAGAAAGACAATAGAATACCAAGATGGACATGGCGTCCGAGCCATCGAAACGCGAAACTCCCACCCTCACATCACTAGCTTTGCCCCTGTCCGATGCATTCTGACATCCATCGAGAACGTACAATGCTTTCCCGTCGTGTCAATGTATCGGACAAGCAAGACTGAAAACGCCGTGGGGGATCATAACCTGTGCCCTCCTTTTTGATGTATGCTGGCAAAGCCTGTCATGCGACGCCCGGGGGTAAATTTGAGGAGACTCGTGTGCGTACCCTGTTTGGAGCTGTCCCTGCGTCTGCCTGATGTATGACGTGTTCGCAGGGGACGGGCGCCAAAAAAAAAGCCAATGTAAAAGGGAAAGAAAAATAAGACAACGCAAAAAAGGATTTCCGACAGCATAAAAAACCTCGGAGCAGCAGGACTCCCCTAGCACATAAAGAGAGGAGCGACGAACAAGGAGAGAAATACATGAAGAAGTAAATGAGGTGAAAGAAGCGACAGAAAGACGAGGTGGTGACAAACGCGGAAAAACAGAAACCGGAACGACAATAAAAGAACAAGAAACCGCGAGGCTAGCAAGGATCGCGAAGGGAATACTAGCTCGTCGCCTCTGCCTTCTCCTCGCCGGCCGTGGCATTGCCTCTCTCGTTGCGCAGGGTCTCGAGCTCGCTGTAGAGGCGCTCGAGCTCGGCCTTGAGCTTATCGTTGGAGGCGGACAGCTCGGCAATGGCTTGTTCTGTGAGCAGCTTCTCGAGCGTCCACTTCTCAATGTTCTGTGTTTCGTTCTCCTTCAGCTGCGTGATAAACACAACGGCGCGTTGCAGGATGGACCCCTTGTTCTTCTCGCAGCCCGGAACAATCTTGGCCAGCTCGTTGATGCCCTCGTTGATCGTCTCTCGCCGACGACGCTCAACTGGAGATATGGGTCAGCATGAACCTGTGCAAGAGGGAATGGATCATGTGGGTATATGGATATGTGGGAATGTGGGCATGTGTGACACGTACCCTCTTTGTGGTTGTCTTTCCGCATTTTGTGCCATTCCTCAGAGCCCACGGCGGGCTTGGACTGAATGCCAGACATGGGCCGCTTCCCGACGCCGTTGGAGCCGCCCGCCACGTCCAGAGACAGATCGCCCTGCGTCACATCGCCCGCACTGTAGGCCGACGCGTCGCCGTGGTGCTCGCCCTCGACATGTTGGTTGGCAAACGTCTCTTCTGTGGAGACGGGCACGTTAAGCTGCGGGAACATGGAGTCGAGCACGGCGGCGGCCGTGGCCGCGCTGGCCGCGTTGGCCGCGTTGGTGCGCTGCTGGTTGGCCGCGTCCGATTCGGTTCCAGCAGCAGCCTCAGTGCCCGCAGCGCCGTCCGCAGCGGTGGTGGCGGCGTCCGCAGCAGGGACACCACTGAAGTCGGTCGTGGCCTCAGCGCCACCTGCCTGGTCCGGCTGGGCCGCAGCCTCCATGAAAGCGGTAGGCACGGTCTGTGCAGCCGCGCCGCGCTTTGACCGACGTGCGTCTGGCGAGCTCGACTCGGCTCCGCGCTTACGCTTGGAAGGGCTGCCTGGCGGCGACGGTTCGACTGCCGTTTCAGTCATTGCGTTTATCGTGTGGATGGTAATGAGATGCTACTGGCCAATGTTAGAGTCAATCATGAGCAGAAGCCAGAAGCCAGGAGTGTTAGAGTGCTTCTCGTCGATACCCGCTTTGCAGCACTTTGGCGCTTGTTCCGTCGTCACTTGACAAGCGCTTCGTGCCTATTATTATTATTATTTTTAAATTTCCGTCCGTCTCACACATTTTGCGCTTGCAAAATGGTCGCGCGAGAGGCACTGTGACAGGTGCGGAGCAAATGTTGTTGTGACGCGTAGTGACAGTTGAAATGTCGCACATATTGGTCATCTTAACAGTACCCTCGCGCATTCTCCCCAGGCATGTTGCCTGTCGCCTGTCGCTCTTGCTTTTTCCACCAAAACAGAAAACATCACGATAAAAAGACAAATCCACGACCGAGAGAGAAAAGCACACAGCGCGACAAAGGAAAGAGGTTAAAAAGCGAAACAATGCAACGGCGACACGGCAAAGAAGGCCCCCAGGGACCTGTCGACGCGCTTTTAAATGTGGGCTTTGGTGTTTTCATGGGAAGACAGTCCAAGGCGTCGAACGTGATGAACGCGTTGGGAATTGACCCTTTCTCGTTGCCGTTGGCGCGGCGTGGAAAGGCAGCGGACGAGGCAGAGAGGCAAAGGGGGCATGATTAAACACTGAAAAGAAACATACCTCTGGGCGTTATCGCCAAACTGCGATTGTCGTGTTGACCGATGATGGAGAAGGTCACGCTTTTTGGCTGCAGAAAAGCAATGTCAGGTGATGCTTCACGAGTTTGGGTGGGAAGAGGAGGAGGAGGGAGAAGCAAAGAAGACTCACGTGGATGGAGAGCACGGGGTTTCGCGAGATATAAGGGAACGCTGGACTGCACAGAGGCAAAGGGCGAGAAAAGGCGGGGCTGCGGATCCACTCTTCGCTGCTGTGAGTGGCCAGTCACGGGGCGAGTACTTCGTACGGGGCGAGCACGGAAAGGTAAGAAAAGTGGGGGCGTTCAGTCGTGCCTGCCTGCGAGTCTGTCTGTCGACGAAAGGCCTGGACAGGTAGGAACGAACAAGACAGAAGACACGAACACGAATCCTTTGGATAACGAACCCTTCCGATAACTAGGAGAATCCTGCTCTAATATACCAATGATCCCGAGAGAGAGACAGAGGGTGTGCACGCTCGATACGTATGTTGCTGCACCTGACTCGTCAGGCAGAGCAAAGCCGCAGCTACGAAGCAGCAGACCGTTGCAAAAACTACGATTAATCGACACAGCTCTGTGCCAGCGCATAAAAGAACGTGACGGAAGGAAGAGACAGAAAAACACGTGAGTCGTGCGCAGTGTGTCAGTTGCCATGTCATGAACGGAAGGCGCGGTACGGAGTAAGTAAAAGAGGTCCAGCAAGATAGGCAAAGAGCACAGTCGCTGCACGAACTGTGCCATGTGAGCCAATCGCGCCTTCTCTCGTACGAACATGGGACCAATGGCAAGCTCAAATGTGGGTCTTGCCATGACTACGATCTGATTGGTCTGCCTGTCTCACACGAGCCGGGGATTGCCCCTCCCTCTGGTCGAGAATTCAAAGAGGCTGCTTCTTGCTGGCGTCCCATCAGAAAACAGGTCCAGTGGCCAAATGGCAAGGCGCTTGGCTACGAACCAAGAGATTGCAGGTTCGATCCCTGCCTGGATCGGGATTTCCTTTTGCTCTCCATTTCTGGAGAGAACATACCTTTTTGCATTCCTCATCAACAATTTGAGTGACTGTGGTCGTGACGTTGAGAGTCAACCAGTTTTGGGGCATAAAGGCCACTGCGGCTGGTCACAGAGCCCACTCTGCCACTGTAACTGGAATGAGAGTGCGCTGTAGAATTTTGATTCGGTGGGAAAGCGGTAATGTTGTACCGCTGAAAGCTTGGACCAGTGGCGGCCCGCTGACACCTTCTTCGAACACTATTATCGCCTATGAAACACAACCTATAGCGGAACCGGAGAAGGTGCTCTTCCGTCATAATCACCTCTCACCTCCTGCCTCTGCCCGCCATCAGGAAGGCACGAAGGCACGAAGGAACGAAGGACGTCAAGTAACGACAATAGGCGGCCCGGTAATTTTCCAAAACAAATATTGCCAGAGCGCCCCGAATTAATATATACAACTCGTCGTCTTCCCAGCCTCGCCTTCGCATGCAGCTACCGCCTCCGGCTGCAGCTCAGCCGCCCCCTACAGTTATTGCGGCCCAGCACTGAGACTGAGGTCATCACTGGACCGTGCAGCAAAGCCGAGCGAGCCGCCATTTTTAGACGTCACTCACGCGTCGACTCTACTTCGTTAACTGTATCTAACTGGGCGACATTCGGACGATTTGGCTTGATTGATCTGGTTCCTTTCGTTGGCGAGCGTACCACCGCACCTGGGGACTGCTCCAAATCTCGCCCGTCCAAGCAAGCGGCTGCACAGTTGCACAGTTGGCCGAGATCGAGCCAGTGATCAAGACAGCAGCGACACAATGGCTAACCACGACGCCGCCCGGATCGACAAGGCCAACCATCTCCTTCTTGTGAGTGTTCTTCCTTCTCTTCCCTTCTTCTTCTTAGTCCGTCAAGACTGCGAAGCTGACCTTGTTCAACCTCCTCCGCCTCTAGGACCAGCCACTCCTTCGGTTGCCGTACGAGCTCCTCCGCAAGAACTTCCGCTCGGCCCATTTTATCGTCGAAAAGGAGAGCACATCGGTCAAGAACGCCCTCAAAGAGGCTGCAACCAACGGTCTTAAGAATGCTGGCTCGGCCACGTCGACCGACGACGTCCTCAAGAGCATCGACGGCATGGTCGCCCGCATGCGCGGCATGAAACGTAAGCTCGAGGCCTGCGCTGACGAGGAGACCAAAATATACCGCCATGTCGACGCCCGCACCGCCCATCTCGCCGAGCTTGCTAGCATGCACTCTCTCGACGACGTTGCCTACGAGACATGGAGCCGCCGCCGTCTCGACCGTTTGCTAGTCGACTACCTGCTGCGCCATGGCTACAACGCAAGTGCGGCCGCTCTGGTCGACGACGATGCCTCTGGTGCTCTGCGTGACCTGGTCGATATTGACACCTTTGCCTACATGTCCCAGATTCGGCAGCGGCTGCTGCACGACCACAGCGTCACCGAGGCGCTTTCCTGGTGTACCGACAACAAGAAGGAGCTACGCAAGATGGAGAGCAAGCTCGAATTCATGCTGCGCTACCAACAGTTTATTGAAATGGTGCGCAACCCGGACCTGGGCCGCCTGGCCGACGCCGTCACCCACGCCCGCCGCTACATGACGCCGTTCCACAACATTTACCCGGAAGAGTGCCAACAGGCAGCTGTTCTGATGTGCTACCCGGCTGGCGAGGCGCCTGAGGAGTATTCAGAGCTCTGGAACGACGAGCGCTGGGCGATGTTGGCAGATCTCTTCACTAGCACGCACAACCAGCTCCTGTCACTGCCATCCGTGCCACTGCTGCACCTGGCGCTCTCGTCAGGCCTCTCGGCGCTTAAGACGCCGGCGTGTCACCCGGCCCCTGCGCCCGAGCCGGCGCCCATTCCAACCATCACCGGCATAGCAGTCGGTTCTCACAATAACGGGATCGGTCAGCTGAATGGCAACGGCCATGTCAGCGACACGGCCACCGGCCAGACAGCGTCAAATGCGGCGGCTGAGGACCACAGCAACTCCAACGGCAACGCCAACAGCAGCAACAGTAAGCCAAAGCGGTCACCGTTTGCTCGGGGCATCCGAGACGGCCAGCAAATGGGCACGTCTATTTGTCCCATTTGCTCGATTGAGCTCAACGAGCTGGCACGCCACGTGCCGTATGCTCACCATAGCAAGAGCCACGTTGAGCACGACCTGAAGCTTCTGCCAAACGGCCACGCCTATGGCATGGAACGGCTGCTTGAGTATGCCAGAAAAACGGGACTACCATCCGACCGGATACGGGACCTCCGCACAAACGAGATTTTCCATATCAACGATGCCAAGAAGGTTTTTATCACATAGTTGTTCAGATTCTGGTCACTGGTTCTGCATTTCTGGATTCGTTTTCAGTTTTAAGGTCGTGGGAGTTTTCCATTTCTAGGAGTCGTAGGGTTACTTTTCTGCTTTTTTTTTGGTTTGTTTCGTACCTTTTTCTCCGCATGGGGCGGCGCACTTCGGGGACTTTGTATTTGTTGTTTGTGTTCGCCTGGTTTATTTTCATAAGTTTCATTGAGTTTTGTATATCCTCTGCCTGGAGCGTATAGGAAAGCAAGAGCCAAGGCGCCAACGACTGCATATGACTCTCGTCAGGCACTGTGGCTGGCGACCAGTATCAATATCGATTTATTTCACAAATGCTACGCAGCGTCCGTGGTTCACCTGATGTAAAGAGGCCGTAAATGACAAATAAAATGAATCCATATCAAATAGTAAACACGGAACAATGAGATTCCTGTACACCAACGAAGACCTAAAAAATACATGCAAAGAAGACAAAATGAAAAGTACACCACGCACAAAAAAAAGACTACCTAGATACAATGGCCGAAGGAGATATGCAGCCGAGTTATGAACGACAACACCATCCCTACCCTTCCAGGACCATCCGTGATGTTTCCTTTAAATCTTTTTTATTCCTCCCTAGAATAAGACGGACCAAAACACAACAGGGGGAAAAAAAGGAACAATCCTTTGAAAAGACTGCTCGCGCGAAAAGAAAAAAAAACGCACACACGCACAACCAGTCCAAAACAACCCAGAAAAAGGTCACGAAAAAGAGATAAAGAGAAAAGAGAAAAGGTAAGAAAGAGGGAAAGGATTATACATGTCGGGGAAGATGAAGGGACGGAGGATGGGCAAGGCGGAAAAGCCAGGTGGGAATGCAAACGAAGAAGTGTAGGAGGGTCCGTTGGGATTGGAGCAAAGAGAACACGGCATACGGCTATCAGTTAGGATGCATGTTCAAGGAGCCATACATACGTTGGCTCAGCTAGCTACCCATCGAGCGGCGTCGTCCGTGAAATTCGTTTCCCACGGATGGTGCCTGTCCCATCAGGAGTAGCTCTTGCTGGGCCTGCAGCTCTCCAGGGAGCGGCAGTGCCATGGGATGTTCTCCTGTACAGATACCATCATGAACGCCAAGGCCGCTTCCTCGTGTCTGCCCTCCTTGTGCATACCCTCCTTGTGAACAGGTCTGTCCCCACTCTTGCATAGACACTGATCGCCGGGGCGGGAAATCGAAAGCCATTGGGGAGACAGGCATCGGCCATTGCGAAACCGGCGCATGTGACGACATTATGATGCTGGGATCCTAGCTCCGGTTCGGGTAGGCGAAGCTGCCAAACACACCACCGCCACCGCCAGGTGTCATCGGGCCCATCCCCATACTATTGGTGTTGTGGCTGCCCGCCGCAGGCGTGTTAACAAGGCCGGCAGTTGACGTGTGCGGTGTGCTCGGGGTACCGCCGTTGGTCGTCGTGCCGTTTGCGCCGCTGCTGGCTCCGTTTACGCCATTGCTACTGCCGGGGGTAGTCTCGACACCGCTTGCGCCGTCGCCACCGCCGAGACCGCTGACATTAGCACCGGCACCGCCGCCGGTAGCCCCCATCAACATGCCGCCGTACCGGTTGGTGAAGCCGCCGAGGTGGCCCACGCCCGGCACAGGCGGAATGTCAGGCACCATGAGGCCCCACACCTTGCCGACCTGCTCCGAGGGGATCTCGCCGTGGAAGATTTTTTCGCGCATCTGGAAAAAGACGCGGCCGGTCAGAAGGCTGTCGGAGCCGGCCTGGTGGGCGGCACCCACCCGCTTCACCTTGAGAGCCTCGGCAATGTTCTCGAGGCCAGACTTGTGCTCAAACTTTTGCAGAACCTCAATCGACGACGGGTCGCCAGGTGTCAGCTGGCCGGTGTTGTGCATGCGGATGGCGTGCTTCATCAGGTGCTTGACGTCAAAAGTCGATGGGAAGTACAGCTTCATGATCTGGTCAAACTCGATCTCGTCACTAGGCAGCGGCTTGCAGAAGAGAAGCTTGGTCAGGTAGCCAAAGTCGTAGCCGCCATGGAAGGAGATCCAGTGCACCTCGTCGAAGCAAACCAGGCCCGACGGAATCAGCAGGGCCGCGAAGTCGACGGGGTCGATACCGTCACGGTCCATGATGTTGAAGTCGATGCCGGCCTGCACGAGCGAGTCGATGGATGTCTGGTTGTACATGTCGTCCTTGAGCGAGAACTTGAAGTTGAACTGCCACGAATACGGCAGCGAGCCGCCCTGGTGGCCACGGCGGCCGCCCACAGGCCCGCCAAGCTCACCAGAGTCGGTGGATACAGGCCGTGCAGGGGGCGTTTCGCCGTCCTCGTTGAACAGAGTGATGCCGATCTGGATAACGCGGAGCAAGTCGACATTTGTCCGTAGGCATTGGTAGTGGTAGTCGCTCTTGCCGCGGAAGCTGCCCATAGGCCGTGCAACAACGCCGGGGAATTCTGTATCCTAGAGGGTGTTAGGGGGGGAAAAGTCGAGTATGTGTATGATGGGACGTGAGAGGGAGCCTACCATGGCAATATACGGGTACTTGTCCACCAGGTCACGAATCGCTGCCATTTCTTCCGCCAGGTTGTGCTTCCAAACCTCTCGTATCCGGCCCTTGGCGGGCATCCGCCCCTGGTGCGGCTCACCCAACGCGGCGTGCAGCTGGTGGTGGTGGTTGTGGTGGTTGTGGTGTTGTTGCTGCGCGTGTGCTTGCACCTGCTGGTGGTGCAGCTGCTGCTGGTGTGATTGCTGCGACTGCTGCTGCGCCTGCTGTTGTGCTTGCTGTTGCTGCAGCTGCGCGCCGTGTGCAAAGCCCATCCGCGCCGCCTGGCTGGCCAGGCCGGAATTGTCGCCCACGCCAAAGCCGCCAGCACCTGGGTTCATGGATGCAGCTGCCAGATTCAGTCCGCCATTGGCTCCAAAAGGATTCAGCTGTGCCGCCGCGGCCGCCGCTGCTGCCGGGTTCAGGTAGGACTGCTGGCCGAGGGACAGGTGTTGCGCGCCAGGGTGACCGGCTTGTGGGTGGGCATTGTACTGTTGGTGGTAGATGGTGTTCGGTCCACTCTGGAACCGAGACACCGGTGGAGGCATACTCTCTCGCTCTCGCTCTCGCAATCTCGCAGTCTCAATCCCGACCTCCAAGTGGCTTTAGGAGTCCCTCTTGTGCGTGTCAAGGCCAGAGGTCCAATTCGGTGATGGCGTCGCGTGTCGCCTGTCGCGTTCGTAGCGAGCTTCGTCGATAACAACCCTTTCGTTCCTAGTTCTTAAATATAGATGATCTCTATGAATTTGCGGTCGTTATCGAGGGGGAGGAGACTGTTCGTCGCGTGCCTCGACGTTTCGATCAACAAGGGCGGGTTAAACGATGCTATACGCGCAAGCACACATTAGATACTGGGATCTCCCAAGACAAGCACCACCATGCACAGACCTCGCCTCCTCGGCCACATCTCCAGAAGTCTGGGGCAAAAGGTCGTTAGCAAACACACGATGTGTATTCGACGCCGCTTTACCTTTCTAGCAAAATATCGTCGAAAATTGAGGAAGCGACGCAAAACTAGGGATTCTCGTCCGTCGTGTCGTCGGTCGGGTGATCGGTGCAACGAGCAAAGGAATCGAGACGAGAAACGCTGTTTGTAGCCGGGCAGGTCTTGAATGACGAGAGGTTGTTGTGTTGAGGAAGGGCAGTTGAGGTGTAGACGGGGTGTGCCAGAAAATGCACGGAGCAATGGCCAGCGCAGACGGCTCACAGTCATTGGCGCTTTCCTTTGAGCCTTTCGCAGCGATGGGGTGGGAGGGAAGCGACGACCGCTGCCAAACGCTCTCGGCGTATCTAATAATCCGAGAGCTGCCATGGGAAATAAAGTGGGGTTACAAGGCTCGACGTGGTAGCGCTTGGCCGCCTGTAGCTCAGTGGACGACAGTGCGTGTTGCGGTAAAACGACCTTTAAGGGAGGGCGGTAAAAACGAAACCACCCAATCCGAGGCTGTCGATTATTTTGCGTGCGTCTGGTGCTGCACTCGTTTTCGGACCATCGCATCACCACACACGACGGCATAAGGACGACGGATCCCATCCATCCCCCCGCCTGCCGCTGCAACAGATCCACGTTCATTACTCGGCATACACACGCTCCTTCGTCGATCGAGCGAATTGACCACAATGTACCCAACAAGGTGAGCCAACGACAGTCCCGCGCATTCGATCTACGACAGACGACGAAAAGAAAGGCCGACAAGGGAGACAATACGCTGGTACAGCTGTGGACAAAGAGAGGAACAGGGAAGAAAAGGGATTGGAACGGCCAATTGGCTGACCGCAGATGCTCTCCCATCACTAGATTACTACGGGCCTCTCACGGTCCCGAGCCCAATATCACAGGCTTCGACATTCGCGCCTTTCGCAAGGCCAGCGGGCAGCCACGGTACGACCCGTGGGAGCGGCAGTAAGTGATTCCGAGCAGCAAAGAAACTGTATCGATCAAGCAAAAAAAAGGGTCCACCTGGTCCTAACAAGGCACAGTGAGGCATGGCGGTACCGCGGCCAGTTCTCGCGGTGGAACCGGTTCAAGGCGGGCTTCCCCGGCCTGGGCATCGCGACGGTGGCGTTTGCAGCGTACTGCGGCTACGAGCACTACTTCCTTAAGGGAGACGACCACGGCCACGGCCACGGCGAGGAGCACCACTAGAGCAGCATACGACGGGCGCGGCAAGGAAGGGCGACAGAGTCCGGACGCAAAGTCCGTTTGTCATATTAGCATCGACACCGATTGTACATACGAACGCGGCGGTGGCCGGAATGAAAGAAAATGAGCAATACTCATAGAGCCGAGTGTATTGTGGGAAGCAGGCATGCAGGAGTGTCTTGGGTTAAGGGTTTATATACCGTGTAGTTGATGTACCTTGCCTCTGCATAATATGACCGCATCTCGTTTTCCTGGCTCCGGCATAACTGCACGTATCTTTTGCTTCTCTACCTTGCAAACGAAATCCTGCTATTTCCTCTAAAATAACAAGCATACATCCAGAGCCTATATGAGGAATATGCAAGGACTCATCGGCCGTGATTTATTTCTTATGTCTCATACCGTCGTACATCCGACCTGGGGGCAGGCTAAACCTACAAAGAAGAAAAATATGAAGTAGAGAAAATAAGCCTAAGCCGGAAACACAATAACCATTTATAAGCGCTCAGAAAACAATGATAAAGCGAGATGCTGAAACGAAGGCGAAGGAAAAACTGGAACACAACCCTAGTCAAGACCGACGCCGTTAACCATGTCCAAGGCGCCCTCGACAGCCACCTCCAACTGGCCGACCCGTTGCTTGAGATGCTTGTTCTCGTCTCGCAGAACGCTGACCGTGTTCCAGGCAAAGCTGACGTCTTCCCCGCGGCAGTTGCGGCAGTTGCTGCTGCTGCCCAGCCGATCGGCCGAGGGCTCCTCGTCCTTAATAGCCGCCGTCATATTTTTCATGAGTTTCTGGAACTGGGAGACAACCATCACCGTGGATGCGGACGACACGGAACGGTTGCCGCTCGGCACGCGCATGGAACCGCCAGAACCGGAGCCCAGTGCCGCCACACGCGGGTGGGCAACCTGTGGCTGGTTATCGACGCCTGCTGCGTGGTCGAGGCTGAGGTTGATACTCGGCGTAAATGTGGGACTGCGCGAGCGCGAAAACACGCTACTGCTACTGTTGCTCCTCTCGTCCTCGTCGAGGGCACTGCTGATCTCGCCCTCTTCCTCGCTGCAGTTGCCGTCGTAGCTGCTGCCGTTGGACTTGAGGCTGCGGCGGCGCCACGACGCGTTACGCTGCTTCTGATCACGCTGTGCTTCGTCCACGCCCAGGTCTTCGGACAAGACGGTGGATGCCATGGACGCCGTGGCCGTGGCTGTTGGTGTTGTTGGCGGACCGGACAGGAGCATGGCGCGTTCTTGTGCGCGGGCCTTTTTCTCAGCCGCCAGCTCGTCCATCAGAGCCTGCATCTCCTTTTGCTGATCGGCTGCCCGCCGTGCCATGCCCTCCAGCTGCATTTTGAGGTGCTGGGCACGAGTCTCCGCTTCTTCGAGCTCTTCGTCGCGCACGCTCTTTTCGGCAGCGAGGTCGTGGTGTGCAACAGCACGCTGCCGGTAGGCGGCCTGCATCCGGCGCAGGGCACCCAGAGCATTTGTTTCCAGATTCTTAAAGGCGGACGGTGAAAAGGCGTCCCGGTCAGAAGGGTGACCAGACGGAAAGAGGGCGGCGTCCAGGTCCATTGTGTAGAACTCATCCTGCTCAAACGACGCACCGGTCGCGAGAGCACGTGGGTTCGCAGGCGACTGCTGTTGTGTGAGGCGGGAAAGCGTCGCTGTCATGGAGGTAGCGAGCTGAGAGAAGCGCGAGGGCGAGGTAGTCGACGCTGCTGCCGTTATGGTGCTTCTTGGTGTTGCTGATGCATCGGTGGCCACGGACATGGCTCTACGAGTCGTCGGGCTGGCACCACTGCTCGGTCCGCCTCGTAGCATTAAATCTAAAACTTTGGGCTCCGGTGTTGTGGTACGTGACGACTTGGGATATGCGGCCCGGTCCGGGCTCGTGGCCTTGGCACCTCCCGATAGCCAATTTGAAAACCCGCCCGCCGCGGAGGGTGAGTCAGTCGGATTTTTGCTGACGTTATTGCTGTTGCTGTTGCTGCTGCTGCCGCCCTTGTAGGTTGTATACAAATTGTCGCTTTTATTCGCTGGCCGCCTGTCACCCGTAAAAGACATGTTCCCGCTGTTACGGCGGCTGTCGTCCTCGTCTTCACTACTGTAGTCGTCGTCGTCGTCGCCGCCGCCGTCACTATTACTGTACTCGTCGCTGCTCGCACAGTCGTCGTCCTTGTGGGTGGGAATGGCCGGCCTGGGTGACTGGAACGATCGTAAAGAACGGTCAGGCGAGATCGCGCGGCCGAGGTTCCTGCCGATGGACTGGATCGACGGCAGCAGATTCGGGATGGACTGCTGACGGCGATGCTCTAGGAAGGCGCGCGAGGCAGAAGACAAAGTGGCAAAGTGAGATGAGGATGCAGAAGGTGTCGGTGAGTGCGCGGGCGAGGCCGAGGTGGACGGCGGCCGGGGTAGGGTGGGTGATACGGAGACGGATGGAGAGGCCGTGTAGGCAGTGTCCTCATGGGCAAAGGCGTTGTGGTACTCCTGCACCGGGCGGAGGTTGCCGGTGCTGAGCTTTCGTGTGTGAGTGGCGGACGACGAGCCGGCACCGCTCGTCGAGGCGTAGCTGGGGCGGTAGCCGTAGTTGTTGCTGCGATTGTAGTCCTGGCTGTAGCTCTGGGCACGCATGTGTGACGGGGTATGATGCTGTGTTTGTGCTTGATAAGGCTGGTACGGGGATGAAGAAACAGACGAAGGGCTCAAAGGATCGACTGCAGGGCGTAGCGAGGTCTGCTGCGCTGCTGGTCCTGGACCGTCGTTGAGTGAACCTTGGTAGAAGCCGCCACGATCACCGCCTCGCGCACGGTTCTCGGTTGGTGTTGGCGGAGCTGCTTGTGCTCCGTAGCCGTTGTAGTCGTCGTACGTGTCGCCGTCGTCGATCTGCCTATACCGGTTTGCGAGCGGGGAAGCATGCTGCTGCGGGCGTCGCATGCGTGGTGATGGGGAGGGCGAAACACTCATGGTCGACGACATGGGTGACGACGCCGGAGGAGAGGCTGCGGTTCGGTGATTCTGCTGGAGAGTCTGCTGGTGAGGTGTGGGCCGCTTAGCATGACCAGTTAATGCGTAGCGGCTGGCCAGCAGGACGTGGGTGAAAGAGTTACTACCGAGAGCGAGAGTGTGAGGCGGCGACAAATAGGGGCGGTGGATCGACGAGGGATGGAAGAATGGAAGAAGTCAAGTCTGTCGTGGCGGGTGTAGAGCAGGGCAGGTACAACAAGGAAGGTGTGGCCGAGGCCGGGGTCGTTGGCTTGCTGAAACAAATGGGATAAGGCGACTTCCTAGTCTGTCTTAAGATGCGTAATATAGAGAGATATGGCCGACGAGAGAAAAGAGAAGTGGCAGGGGAGGGTAGGTGGTCGCTCTTTCTCTTGTTGTCGATTTGCGATGTGAAGACGGGGAAACCACGCGGTCGTTCTTGCCTCCGCTTGTTGTTGCTTTCCCAGGAAAAGGCTGGGTGTCGCTCTGAGCGAGTGTAGTAAACAATCTTGCATAAGGGCTGAGTGGGATGGCCCAGGAAAGATAGCAGATACTGCAGGCCCGAAGGTTGGCTGACGAGGGCGACTGCAGCAAATCGGAACAGAGATCGCGGTAGAAGCGACAGGACACGGCCAAACACAATTACAAAGTATGAAAAGGTGCGGCACGGCTCTGCGTCAGTGCATGAACGCACGGCTCCTAAAGCGGCAAGAGGCGGATCTCAGCCTCAAGGAAAGGGAGGGGAAAGAGGATGGGCGAGGAAGGTGCGGTCGAGAAAGTTGTCTATGAACACAAAGAAGAAAACAGGATGCGAGGACAAAAGTCAAAAGAGGGTTTTTTTTGTACGAGACGCGCTTCCAGGATTACGTATGTCGCACTCCCACATAGAGCCAAAAATCGTCCAGGGTCATGTTCGCAATGTCAACAGAGCCAACGAAAGTACTGGGCGAGAAGGGCGAGGATCGGTTGCCCAGGGGAGCACGCTAACAAAGGCGGAAGGCAGCGGCGCCCTACGGGAGGTAGCGCACTTCGTGCTCTTAGCGTACTCGTTTTAGCGTATCCAGACACCTGTCAGCCAACAACAGATGGCGTGGATCGTCGACATTTGTGTTGTGACTGACGACCATGTAGATATGGAAGGAAATGAATCAATCAAAGTCGGAGAAGTCAGGAACACGAATAAAAAAGGGAGAAAAGAGAGTAAAATAACACGAAAAATAAATAGCGGCCTTAAAAATCCCGGTGCTGCGTGATTATCAAAGGCAAAAGAGATGAAACAGAACAAAACGGGCCGGCGACCACGATGTATGCCGGACAAGTAGAGGAGATGAGGTGAGTTGATAGACGTATACTCCAGCCCAACCGGGAAAGTGATGAAATATTGACCTTTTATTCATACTTTGCGTAGTAGGCCGGAAGTAGTGCCTGCAACGAACGCTTTGCCAATGTACTTTGTCGACCTAATGTGATCAATAGTTCCTCCAGGGAACAGGGCATCGACGTACATTAGAGGATGCTATGCTGCCACGACGAGGATCCACCCGGACGAGCACTCGTGTTCGGAACAGCCGCGGTACGGAAGGCCATCATTTGTCGAGCTCGCGGGGTGTCTCGGAACCTCGTTTGTGATATCGGCTGCTTACGCAGTTGTTTCTCTTAGTGGGCCAAGGCCAACCATGTCTCTCCAGTCATATGCCAACAACGTGGCATCGTAGAAAGGTGTCTATCTTGTAATATCAGATGAGTGGGTACAATATGACCCTCAAAGCACCTTGTTTTTGTTGCAGTTTTGAACACAATCAGTCAACATTCAGTCACTCTCCTGCTTCCAGTGTGATGACGTGAAGAAGCGAGAGTGGCGTGCTGCCCTTGCCAGGAAGCAATGCTATAAAATCGAATTCAGTTCGGTTTGCCAGGCACAACATGACAGATAATTGCTCTAGAAAAGGTAGATATGAAGATGCAAAAAATAAACGCCCGAGACGCCACTGCCCGTAATACCGTGTAAAAGCCCAATGTCTTCGATACACACGTCTGCACCTGTTTTGTATAGTATTTCGTAGTTTCAGTTTGTTTCATTGCTCGCTTCGGACACCGCTCCGCCTAGTAGAAAGACTCTACTATTGTGTCCTTGAGCGTTGAGTTGACATTGCTCGGGCCATTGCCCTCGCCCAGCCGGAACACGCTCTCAATGACACTCAACTCGGTGGCCGTCGTATCCAGACCCGTCACGGCCATCCAGTCGTTGACAACCATGCCGCCGCCGATCACACTGCTACCGCGGTTGACGGAACCAGCCAGAAGTGGTACCTGCAGCAGACTCGACAGCTCGTCCTGGTCCTGCACACTCGTCTTGGGGTGCACAAGGCCGCCGTTGTTGGTCAGCGCCATGTAGGAACCGACCAGCACATTGTCGGCCACCGTTTGCCGGAAGACCTCGACACCGAGGACGTCGGCAATGATCTCTTCAGTGTCCCGCTCGAGGTCGGGATGCACCAGCGCAATGCGGTCGTTGGCAACAATGACATTTCCCAGGGCCGAGAGCCGCTCCTCGACGCGGCGAATCTTGATGGAGTCGGGTAGTGAGTTGCGCAGGTGCTGCAGCTCCTGGTCCGTCGTGGTGGTGGGCACGAGTAGGCCGTTGCGGTTGCCCGCCGTTAACCGGCCGACAATACGGGTGCCAGCAATTGTTGTGCGACAGATGGGGACCGTGTCCTGCAGCTCGGACTCGAAGATGCTATAAAAGTTCTCGCTCGCACCGATGGCGACGAGCGCATAGGCATTTGTCAAGGTGGAAAACACACCAACCCTACCTGCATTAGCATGGACTTCAAGTGGCCGGCGGCACGGGACCAGAGTATACAGCCGTCACTTACTCGTTGGAGTTTTCAAACTGAGCGCGGACCGCCATGATGCTTGTGGTCTGCTCGTGTGCTTGCTATGGGAAAGTCGTAGAGGGTGGGAAAGTGGTGGAAAAGTGGTGCAAAAGGAGGGGTCTTTTGCGAGTCTCTTTGCGCTGTGATGTTGGAGGCTCAGCCGTAGGATCTCTCTTGCGGGGTCGTGCCGACTATGCGTTCCGGAGACGAGACGAAGCTGTTGTGGATAAAAGATGAGAGAGAGCGAGCGAGAGAGGGAAGATCAGATGTCGGAAGCTCGTGGGATCAATCGCTGTTATGTATTTTGCAAGTGGCAATGATAGGGTGTCTGTGTTTCGATTTCCAATGGCATGGCAGCTTCGAGAGCAGGAAGGCACGACACACCAAAGGGAAATTTTCACACAAAGCAAAATGTTGCTTATCGAGCCTGTCAGGTCCCAAAAAAAGTTAAAAAAGCCAGGAAAGGAAGTTGCGCCTCACCTAGTTAGGACTAGCGTATTTACAAACACAAACACAGCGCCACCACTCCACCTGCTAACCCCTCCTCCTCCAAGCCCCTACAGCACCGCAGCACCGCTGCTGCCCACCCTAAACTCCCATTTACGTAGGGAAGGCCCGCTTGTGACTCCCTCTTGACTTCATCGCTGGCGTCTTTGCTGCAAATGGTGCTTTCCTCGTGACTCACACGAGGCTGAGCCGTAGTTAGCGGTCTGGCACAGTACGTGGCTCAACTACTACTCATAATGACTACCACCGGCAAGCGACTGAGCTGGCTCCACACCAGGTTTGGGCTGCAAATTGGTGGCTTTGGTAGCCAAACCTGCATACGGGCCCCCCTCGCAGGTAAAACACACATCTACGACAGTAATTCACCGTCTATACGCTCGAACAGCACACTTTGCAGCTGAGCGGGACCTCCAGGAACAAGCTCAGACGAACCTCGGGCCGTAGGTGCATCCACAAAGAGTCGCAGGCTAGCTCTCGTCACAGATATGTTACGTTATGGGCCTGAAGACTGCCAATGTTCCGATATGGACTTGAATTCAAAACGCCATTCATTGGACCGTTTGTTGCATACGCCGTTCTCTTGCGTCTCACATGGTTCGAGAACCGCGCTCATATCCCTATGAAAATTCCCATGCATTATACCCAATTCCAAGCAAACGCTATCCCAGTGCCATGCATGTGCTTCATGTCCTTCGTGAAAATGTGGAGAGGCGAAAAAGAAGAAGAAGTAAGTAAAACGTGAGGGAGGATGCACAAGCATTCCATAATACCGGACCACAACAGTACCGCGCCAGCCACTCTAACGCAACTCCATCGCAGGGAAGTAGCGCGGCCCGGCGAAGCCTTTAGCCACGACACCCTGAATGTCGATGTTACCGGCCGAGTCCTGGCGTGGGTTCCACATCTTCAGCAGGATATACCGTGCGGTCACGGGGGGGTCGAACAGGATTGTACACTTGTTCTTATCCATCTCAATGTGGAACTCGGCGCGCTGTAAAGTAGACGGCGGTTCGTTTCTCGAAGTAAGATCAGTACCGGCACTATTCGAGTCATTGTTATTTCTGTTGCGGCCCTCGAAAAATGCGGTGCTGGGGTAAAACTCGGAAGATTCGCCGTTGCGGTCATCAGTGTTGGCGCGGTCGCGGCTGTGGTCCGTGCGAGGCCGGCTCGTGTCAGCCTCGTCTAGTGGAGACTCGGGGGATGAAATCGTTGCGTTGCCCAAGTCGTAGAGTTCCGTGTAGTCGTCATCGTCATCGTCGTCTGCCAAATTCGCGTTTATATCCCAAGTCAGATGAGCACTTGGATGAGTGCTATCGTCATAGGTGGGTGGTCGTCTGCGAGCCCGGTTGCGCAACGGCGTCGGACTCCAGCCGGAATTTCCGCGCCAACCCATACCCCGGGCGTCCCGATCGCGTCCCGATCTACCAGGCATGTCGTCGTCTTCGTCATCGCTGCACTCGGTGAGAACATGGAAAGTCCGCTGGTTTGACAATGACTCAAATCCAGCATGTGCCGACGATATGCGATGGTCAGAGCCGTCCAGGGCCAGGTCGTAAATCTGCTCCATGGGAGTATCACTGACGCCGCCGTTATGGTCATTTCCGTCGCGGCGCTGTGTCCCGGTATGCAAGTACCCTGTCCTTGTCGACCGCCCAGCGCGCGAACGAAAGCCGCTGACATGGTGAAACAAAGACGTTGTGGGTGTAGGTACCCCGAACGACTGGTATTGATCGGTCCTGAGTAGTTCGTCCTTGGTCATGGCAAGGAACACAATGCCTTCTTTGACCCTTATGTTGCGGTGGCATGTCAGTTGAATGAAATAAGGAAGCATATCTGCGGGCCGGAAATAGAAGAGGATCAGTAAACATACGGTGATGAGTAGTTTCTTCCAGGTGCTTTAATAATCAGCTCCTTGAGGCTGAAGGTGGTGCTGCCTTGGTGCTGCAACACAATATTGCATCGGTTTCCCTTTGTGCAATAAACCGAGTTGTCGTTCTTGAGTATATTTTCCGCGGTATACGACGATCCGTCGGAGTAGAGGCCACCGTCGCAGCTAACAATCTCCATCGTGAGAGCACCCGGCTCCACTTGGCCGTATCGACCATACCGGAAGCCCTTGAACGGTGAAGAAACAGCCTTGTCAGAGTCGAGTTTGCGCCGTTTGTTGAGGCGGCCGCTGTCCTCGGAGCGCGAGGGTTCACGGCGGCTGCCGGCTGGTCCGCTGGAGCGTGATGCCATCGTGTGCGGAAAAGTGGACGAGAGTGAGGGTGGTAGCTGATCTAGTAGGTCAGGAGGCGCTGGCATGTCCAAAAGAGCCCGTAAGTGCGAATTTGCATAGTCGAGGTCGTGGCCAATCTCGTCGAGAGAGCCGAGGACAGAGTGCAGGGGTGACTGTGGACGGTCGTTGGCGAGGCGAAAACCAAACGGCAAGGCGTTGTTGTTCAAGGCGTGCGATGCGGGTAGATGATTTGGAAAGAGAGGCGTTTGCTGTGACCGGCGCGGAAGCGGCAGCGGACCTGCCGGTGCGTGGGCACTTCTATTGAGTGCCCGGAGGGGAGGCAGCTGTTGGGATGATGACGTCGTTGGGAAACCGAACAATGGGGGCAACGCCGGCCCGCTCTGTGTCAACTGTGTTCTGGGATGGTTCTGTGCCGGCTGTGGGAAACCAGGCTCCTGCGACGAGCTGCGGTTATTGAGGGGGGAGGCCGAGGAGTTGTGAGGGAAAAGATGGCTCATGAAATCATTGGGAGATGCGGGACGCTGCCTGTTCGAGCTTCGGCGCGGGCGGTTGGCAGACTATAATATAGTTGACGGCAAAGTCAGTAGGTGCGCAACCAGTCGATCTCGCAGTATCCGAGGCACGGCTGTCCACGGCCAAGAGCTGCTGCAAAGATCCCAGTTGTCTAGATATAAGAGGTGGATGTGAGAGTACAAAAGGAAGATGAGAGGTCAAGAGGAGAGGAGAAGCAATGGTGTGCGGTAAATGGGCACTGGTGCCTTCTCGTGGGCCACATAGAACGGTGGGACAAATGAGAACCGAAGAACAAAGTCAGTCAAGGGGGGTTTGCCCAGGCCACAACTTACCATCGAAAGTCAATAGGCAGGGCAATGTTCTGCGGGGCGGGTACAGGTAGCACGAAGATTGAACGGAAAATGTACGCTGCTCTGGTGAGGAGAGTGTGCGGAGTTGTCGAAGGTTTGCGAGCGAGCTGTAGGTGCCATGTGAGAGGGGTTTGTTAGACGGAGGAAAAGGCGCGTGTGAGAGAAGAGTCTATGTTGTAGGGGCAGAAAAAAGAATAACGAGGAGAGAAGAGAAGAAGTGAGAAAACAGAAGCTGAAGAGAGGTAAAGTTAGTAATAGCAGCAGCCAAGGGAGGAAAAAGGAAGAGGCAATGCAGAGTCGGGCAGGAGTTGCTGTGAGCGGCGAAGGCGAAATGAGGGAAGGAACACAAATAACGAACATTGCATGGACTGGACAAGGCGCACAGTGACAGTGCTGCTGTTTCCAAGTGGAGTACGAGATGGACGAGACGCCACAGCTTGGGGGTCAGTCCGCGTATTCTTCACAGTGAGTGAATGGGCAGCTGCGGAAGGAGGGGGTGCTGGTCCACGGTGTGGTGTGCCTACCCTGGGACTGAACCAGCCGACCAGGCGCTCTTACCATCTTTCCGTCTGTTTCTTGCTAGGCAGGCTCGAGCTGGTAATGGGCTACAAGCGCGCACTGCTATTTTATGTGAGGAGGCACAGTATGAAGGTAACCATTTATCAGGGCAGCTGCAGCGAGCGTGGGTCACCTGGTAAAGGCGGACCATGGCCAACAATGATTAGAATATTCCGGCAGAAAGAGGGTTCCTGAAGAGCTAAAATAATACGACGTTCATATATGAGCCTTTCTTGACGTCCATAATCTATGTCTTGAAGGGAGCATATGTCGCCGTCGCACCTTCCTGACATCAAGGATGGGCTGTCGAAGTCGGTTCCCGACACAAATGGTCTACACGGGGCAGGCACCATCGGCAGCCATTCACGCCCTGGGCACCTGACTAACACTATCGCGCTTGGCTAGACAGCTTCCACGTCTTTTTCCAGAGGGAAAACTACAACTCACTTCAACCTCACACGACGTTCACGCGTGCACGCGACACACCGCTCCAGCGAACCTACAACAATTGCCCAATTCCCCACGACTGCTACCTGGCTCCAATTGGTTCGATGTCCCAACATTTAACAGATTCATCGCCGAGCACATCAGCATTTTCCTCACTTTGATTCAACCTCGTCTCGAACTTCACCATATCATTGGTATAATACGCAGCCGCACATCTACATTCGTACCGCATTTACCGATCATGGTGGGCAATAGCGAAGTAGCTGCTGGGGCGAACGGAGGGCAGCACTCAGCCGCCGCCGCCGCCACTGGACCCAGCCAGCCAGCTGCCGCCCTAGATAACCGGTCTGGCATGACAGAAGGTGAGTCGAGTGTGGCGCCTATTGCCTGCACGCACCGGTAGATGCATTTGTCTAACGGGATGCCGCCAGATGAAATCGCCCTCTACGACCGTCAAATCCGCCTCTGGGGCATGCGGGCCCAAGAGAAGCTTCGCTCTGCCCACGTATTGCTTGTCACAATGCGCGGCCTGGGAAACGAGATCGCCAAAAACCTGGTGTTGGCCGGTGTCGGCTCGCTGACGGTCGCCGACCACGAAAACGTGACAGAGGAGGACCTGGGCTCGCAATTCTTGCTGGCAACACCATCGGCAGGCGACGTGGTGCCAGCGGACGCAACATCGGAGCAGAGACAGGCAGCTGACCGGGCGGCGGCCGCGGCCGTTGTCGGTACGAACCGCGCTGTGGCCGCTAGCCAGCAGCTGAGCTCGATGAACCCGCGTGTCAACGTGGTGGCCGAGCAGCGCGATGTCTGCGCTCAGCAAGTCAACTACTTTGCCAAGTTCAGCCTCGTCATTGTCACAGACCGCAACCCAGAGGTGCTCAACTACATCAACACGGCCACGCGCCTCCAGAATCGCCCATTCTACGCCGCCAGCTCGTACGGCCTGTTTGGCTTCATCTTTGCCGACCTCATCGAGCACGACTTTGTGATTGTGCGCGAGCGGGGCAACATTGCCTCCAGGGTCGGAGACCACGAGACACGCACGCGGACCATCGTGGACGTCAAGGTGGAGGGCGAGCAGGGTGCGGCGGCGACCAAGGAGTCGGTGACAAAGCGAGAGGTGTACTCGACGTGGCTCTTGGCCTCGGACGCGTCGCCTTTGCCGTTTTCGATCCGGAGCGTCGCACGGCGCCTGCGCAATGTCACGCCCCTGCTGCCATGCCTGCGCGCTCTGTGGGCCTTCCAGGAGAACCACAGTGTCGAGAACTACCGCTTGCCGGACGCCAACAACGCCCAGGACCGCTCCGAGTACATTGGGCTTGTCAGCATAAAGCAGCAGGCACTCGGCACGCCGCCAGTCACCGCCGACAAGATCCGCGAGTTCTTGCAGAGTGTGTCGGGGTTGCGGGAGACGTCGCCTGTCGTGACGGTGCTGGGCGGCCAGCTTGCGCAGGACGTCATCAACACAATCGGGCAGACACAGCAGCCGATCCAAAACCTGGTGGTGTTTGACGGCTCAACCATGCAGTCGTCCGTGTACGCGATGCACCCGGAAATGGACCTGGGCAACGCGCAGCTGTCCACTGCACCAAAGTCGACGGCAACAGAGACGGCGGCTGAGGCGACCGGCGTCGTGCTCGACCCGGCGGCCGAGCTGGCTCTTGCTTCTGGCCCAACAGCAGCGGTAGCGACTCCTTCTCTGCCACTGCAATTAGCACAGGCACAGGCACAGGCACAGACACCAGCTCAGAATCTCCAGTAGGACGGATCTATGCAGCACCCAACCTCGTCCGAACTGATGCCGCCACCTCCCCGTCCACGGCGGCGTAATTTTCACTATTGTCGCCTTGCCCGTCGCCCATCATCACCATGACGATCAATATCGCCGAGGTTGAGGTCATCCCCGGTTTTGTTTTTTCAGTATTGTTTGGACACCAGGCGATACAGATAGGCAGTCACAAGCACGACCGGCATGGCATTACTGCATGGGCATACCAGATGATGGCCGACTTTGGCCCTTTCTGTAGGAGCTCTAGCTAATTCATGGAAGACGTTCCACTCGCATGCTGGCTGGTATCGAGAGACCAGTCAAGGATAATTCAACGTGGAGCTTTATGAGATGCGGTTAAGGTATGGTTTTACGCAGCAGAAGTCGAAACTCCTCGAACGCTGCACAGCGACGCGGTTTCTCAGGAAATATCGACAAAGAGACAAATCTATGGAACATGGCATATACGAGACCGTGTCGATCCCATAGTAACGTGGAAGATGTACAAATTTACTCTGTCGGACTAAGATATCAGACTGAGAGTTTGCGCTTGCCCATCTTTTGGCACTTCACATTGACAGACTTTGTCATTCTCCATAATTGCAACCATTGGATCTACCAAGTACACCTTGACACAAATAAAAGTAAATTAACAAAAGTGAGAACAAATGAAATGGATTCTTGCTTCATGTACCGTTCTCTTAAAGCCATCGTGTCGTCAACAGCAAGATTCTTAATACAAGTAAGGTCTTGAATGTCTTGCCACAAAATACATACGACGTCGCTCTCCCTCCACCCCCATCCCGTTTCCCGTCACCTGAGCAGTTCCCCCGTCTGATTCCTGGTGCAGCTTTTCATGCGGCGTACTGCAAACCCGGCCTCCATAAATGTAACTTGTCGGCCTGAACCTTTTATTACTTAAAAATGTTGATAAAAATATAGATTCAGTTTACCGCCTGTGCCGCATGAAATCGCTTATGTGGCAACGTCCTTCCCAGCGTTCTACTTCCTTTAATTTCTACTAAAAATAGCAAGCCGTTCACTGTTTCGCCGGCTTTACTCAACCAGTCATAAGTCGTAGTCCAGTTCGTGCCTCACACCTCCGACTTCGCAGCCACAACCATCAGCTTACAGTCACTTGTAAAGCCCCTCCTTTTATCACTTCTTCACAGCTCTTTGTATTCACATTTTCACAGCCATGTCCTTCCTCGCACGCCGCATCGTGAGCACTGTTTTTATATAAGATTTTGTAGAATTCCCGTCTGCGTTATGAAGCAGGCCTTCTAATACTCACAACTTACCCACACTGTTCCTGCATCCACTACACTACTTACTCCATATTATACGATCGTCACTCGTCACTCGTTGCTTGCCATTCGCTGCATTAAGGGTCATCTGCAGGCAGCCACTGACGTCGGCTGCTGCAGCCTTGCTTCTGCAGAGTCTTATCGGAGAAAAAGCAGCTAACACCACTAACAGCGGTGAGATGGGTGAGATGGGTGAGATGGGTGGGCATCGTGCGTTGATTAATAATGCGCGCCCTCCACATAAAGCAAGGCGGTGAGGTAAGTTACGCCTCTAGGCCCTTTCCACTTCACTGTTTTCCACGCTTTTGCGCCCCTCCGTAAGTAGTATGCCTCCTGTAATTACAGAAGCTTACGTCGTCATCCGCTCTCCACCTGCACCTGCCGGCATTGAAATGCCCCCATATTTTACAGCAGCAGCAATCTTGTTGGAGGAGCGCGTGGCGCATTCGGCTTAGCGGCTCTAACTAGGCCGAACACCGTGCGACTTCCTCGCAGAAGGCAAGAAAAAAGCAGGTGAGAAAGCTTACAGCGTGAAAGAGGAAAAGCGGAGGTGCCTGCCTTTTCATTTCAACACGGTCGTACCTGCGGTTTGCGCTGTACGAAGTACCTTGCTGTGCTCTTACCTCCGAAGCTCGTTCGCAGCTGCTCTATTTGCACGTTCCCCATTTTTATTTTCTTTCGTCTATTTTGCTCCTTTCTCGTTCTCTTGTCTCGTCCTTTTGTTCCTCTGTGTCTCCCGTTTTCACCAACCCCCACTCGCAGGCCTGGGCATTCCCTCACACAACCCCAACACCGGACCACCGCCCAATTGCGTCGGTGCTCTGTCTCAGCGGCAGTGTAAGACAGAATTGCGTTTTGCCCACCCGCATGCAGCTCCGTGCCGACCGCCGATCCTTTACCCGACCGACTTCCGCGAGCTGGTTGACTTTGCCGCAAAGGAGGCAATAGGCAAGCAGCACGCACGCCGTCTCTGGGTCTACATATTGCCGTCTACAATTCGTGTAGCCTTGGTGTGCGCCCGACGACTGTATTTCCTATCGCCCCGTCGGCTGGGTTGGCGTTGCCGGTTGCCGAACCCGGAGATTCGTGGTCGACTTTTCGATTCTACGATAAGACAACGACGACACATAAGACGAGCAACACAACAGCCGCCACGATGGAGGAACAGCCTTTGTTCCCCATCTTCTTTGACGACGACCAAAAGGTCATGGCCCAGTCCGGCTCCTTCTCCGGCTACCGCCCCCAGAAGCAGCTTGGAAGCGACTATTTGTCCGCGTCCGCCGAAGCCGACCAAACCTTTTGCCGAAACGTTGAGGGCTGGGGTCCCCTGAGCCCCTTCCGCTACGATTTCACACCTTGCTTCCTCGATGTCGGCGTCGCCAGCGTTGCCGTCTTTGGAATCGTCGCTGGTGCGCTGGCCCTATGGTGGCTGCTGGCCAAGAAGCCCTCCAACGGCCTGGCCAAGGACGGTACCTTCTGGATTAAACAGTCGCTCTTCGGCCTCGTCATTGCCGACTTTGTGGCTCAGTTTATCATCCAGGTCCTCAGCTTCCCAGACGTCTGGTTCCAGGATTTCCGGCCTTGGACCACCGTCGTCACCATCCTCTCGCTCGCCGTTGTCTTTGCCATCCAGTGGGCTGAGCACCCGCGCCTGCGCAATGCCAACGGTGTCGTGCTTTTCTACTGGCTGCTGCTTGTTCTGGCGCTGACCGTCAAGCTGCGCTCGCTCATCTCGCAGCAGATCTACAGCACCAACCTGCCCTACTTTGTCACCTACTCCGTCGGCTTTGGCCTGACCATTGCCGAGTTCCTCGTTGAGTGGCTCGCGCCCCACAAGCCCAGCGCCTACGAGGCTCTCGAGGACGGCGAGGAGTGCCCGGCCGAGTACGCCACCATCTTCTCGCGCCTGACGTTCAGCTGGATGACCCCACTCATGCGCTACGGCTACAGCCAGTACCTGGTGGAGGAAGACCTCTGGGGCCTCGAGACCCAGGACCGCACCTCGCAGACGGGGAGCTCGTTTGAGAAGGCATGGCAGCACGAGGTGGGGAAGAAGGCCCGTCCTTCGCTCTGGATCGCCGCCTTCCGCGCCTACGGTGGGCCGTACAGCATGGCCGCTCTCTTCAAGATTGGCAATGATCTCTCGGCCTTTGCTCAGCCACAGCTGCTGCGCTTCCTCATCGCCTTTGTCGCGTCCTACAAGACGCCCGAACCGCAGCCTGCCATCCAGGGCGCTGTCATCGCATTTGCCATGTTTGGCGTTGCTACCTTCCAGACCATCATGATCCACCAGTACTTCCAGCTGACCTTCGTGTCGGGCATGCGCATCAAGGGCGGCCTGACCTCCTCCATCTACCGCAAGGCCCTCAAGCTGTCCAACGAAGGCCGCTCTACCAAGACCACCGGCGACATTGTCAACTACATGGCTGTCGATGTCCAGCGTCTCCAGGACTTGACCCAGTTTGCTCACCAGCTATGGTCTGCCCCCTTCCAGATTTGCATCTGCATGTACTCGCTCTACCAGCTTGTCGGCTGGAACATGCTGGCGGGTATTGCCATCATGATCGTTATGATCCCGCTTAACGGTCTCATTGCCCGTGCCATGAAGACCCTGCAAAAACAGCAGATGAAGAACAAGGACGCTCGTAGCCGTCTCATTGCCGAAATCATCAACAACATGAAGAGCATCAAGCTCTACGCATGGGGCGCTGCCTTTATGAACAAGCTCAACTACGTCCGGAACGATCTCGAGCTCAAGAACCTGCGCCGCATCGGCGCCACTCAGGCTGGTGCCACGTTCATGTGGAACACGACGCCCTTCCTCGTGTCGTGCATAACTTTCACGTCCTTTGTCCTGACCCGCGACGAGCCTCTCACCACGGGGATCATCTTCCCTGCACTGGCCCTGTTCAACCTGTTGTCATTCCCGCTGGCTGTGCTGCCCATGGTCATCACCTCCATTGTTGAGGCCAGTGTTGCCGTGGCTCGTCTGACGGATTTCTTTCTGGCCGAAGAGGTCCAGTCCGACGCTGTTGTGACCCGCCCCGCCGCTCAGGAAATCGGCGAGGAGTCCGTCTCGATCCGCAATGGCAACTTCTCGTGGAACCGCCACGAGGACAAGAACGTGCTCACCGACATTAATTTCTCCGCCGACAAGGGTTCACTCACGTGCGTCATCGGCCGCGTTGGTGCCGGCAAGTCCTCGCTTCTACAGAGCATTCTGGGCGACTTGTACAAGGTCAACGGCGAGGTGCAGGTCGCCGGCACCGTAGCCTACGTCGCGCAGCAGAGTTGGATTATGAATGCCACCGTCAAGGAGAACATCGTCTTTGGTTACCGCTTCGATGCCGAATTCTACGACCAGACCGTCCGGGCCTGTGCGCTGATCGACGACTTTACCCAGCTGCCGGACGGTGACGAGACCGTTGTCGGGGAGCGCGGTATCTCGCTGTCTGGCGGCCAAAAGGCCCGTGTCTCGCTTGCCCGTGCCGTCTACGCTCGCGCCGACGTGTACCTGCTCGATGACTCGCTGTCTGCTGTCGACTCGCATGTCGGCCGCCACCTGATCAACAATGTCTTGGGCCCCAAGGGTCTCCTGCGCTCGAAGACGCGAATTCTTGCTACCAACTCGATTCCCGTCTTGCTCGAGTCCGACTCCATCTACATGCTGCGCGACGGCGAGATTGTCGAGAATGGAACCTACCGCCAGCTCGTTGCCATGAAGGGCCTCGTTCACGACCTCATCAAGACGGCCAACCAATCTGAGTCGGGCCCGTCGTCGGCCGGTGCCACCGGCTCGTCCTCGAGCACCGATTCGGAAAGCGAGACCTCGACTGTCATTGACCCCGGCACCCCTCTCAAGGACGACGAAATTGAAGAGGCGCAGGAGGGCCTCGCTGCCCTTCAGAGCATCAAGCCCGGTCCGACGTCTATCTCGCCTAAGAAGGCGCGCACCGAAAGCATGGCTACACTGCGCCGTGCCAGCGCGGCCAGCTTCCACGGGCCGCGCGGCAAGCTTACCGACGAGGAGGCTGCTGGCAGCAAGACCAAGCAGGCCAAAGAGCACAGTGAGCAGGGCAAGGTCAAGTGGCAGGTGTACCTGGAATACGCCAAGACCAACAACTTGTTCGCCGTTATTGTCTATCTTACCGCCCTGGTCTCGTCCCAGCTCGTCAGCCTGGGCGCCAACTACTGGCTGAAGAAGTGGGCAGACCACAACCTCAAGGACGGCACCAACTCGCAGGTCGGAAAGTACATTGGCATTTACTTTGCCTTTGGCATCGGTTCGGCACTGCTGACCGTGGCGCAGACGCTCATCCTCTGGATCTTCTGCTCGATTGAGGCGTCACGCAAGCTGCACGAGCGCATGGCCAAGGCCATTTTCCGCTCGCCCATGTCCTTTTTCGACGTCACGCCCGCTGGCCGCATTCTGAACCGTTTCTCGAGCGACATTTACCGTGTTGACGAGGTTCTCGCGCGGACGTTCAATATGCTGTTTGTCAACTTGTCCCGCTCGGGCTTCACGCTCGCTGTGATCTCTGTTACGACACCGGCGTTTGTGGCCCTGATTGTTCCGCTCGGCCTGATGTACGTCTTCATCCAGCGCTACTACCTGTACACGTCCCGCGAACTCAAGCGGCTCGACAGCGTCTCGCGCTCTCCCATCTACGCGCATTTCCAGGAGTCCCTGGGCGGTGTGCAGACGATTCGTGCGTACCGGCAGCAGCCGCGCTTCGAGCTGGAGAACGAGTGGCGCATGGATGCCAACCTGCGTGCCTATTACCCGTCCGTCAGCTCCAACCGCTGGCTGGCGGTGCGCCTCGAGTTCATCGGCGCCATTGTCATCCTGGCGGCCGCCGGCTTCGCGGTCATCTCGGTTGCCAACCACAGCGGCCTGGATGAAGGTATGGTTGGTCTGGCCATGTCGTACGCTCTGCAGATCACGACGTCGCTGAACTGGATCGTGCGCCAGTCGGTCGAGGTGGAGACCAACATTGTCTCGGTGGAGCGCGTGCTCGAGTACGCGGCTCTGCCAAGCGAGGCGCCCGAGATTATCCACCGCAACCGCCCGCCAGTCAGTTGGCCGGCGCACGGCGAGGTGGAGTTCCGCAACTACAGCGCACGCTACCGCGAGGGCTTGGACCTTGTCCTGAAGAACATCAGCCTCGACATCAAGCCGCATGAAAAGATTGGCGTCGTAGGCCGGACGGGCGCCGGCAAGTCGTCTCTGACGCTGGCGCTGTTCCGCATCATTGAGCCGGACACGGGCCACATCCGGCTTGATGATCTCAACACATCGACAATCGGCCTGCTGGACCTACGGCGTCGGCTGGCAATTATCCCTCAGGATGCAGCACTCTTCGAGGGCACAGTCCGTGACAACCTGGACCCGGCCCATGTGCATGACGACACGGAACTTTGGACCGTTCTCGAGCACGCCCGGCTCAAGGACCATGTGTCCTCCATGGCCGGTGGCCTCGAGGCCAAGATTAACGAAGGAGGTAAGTAGAGGTGTTTTTGGCCTTTTGCCGTTGCTTATTTTTGTTTTATTTTGTCATTCGCCTATTTTTTGTCGTTCTTTCTATCTGGTCGCCCCCAACGTCCCAACGATCCAGCGTCTCAACGCCTCCCTTGCCTCTCTTCCCGACCCGTCCTGTCTGTCTACGGGGGTTGGTCTTACGGGGCATATGACTTCATAAAGGATGCAGCGACATCCTGTTGTGCGAGCATGGCGTCACCGTCTTTTCTGCACGTTACGCCCCAGCGGACATGCCTAAAAGAACGGGGGGATGCGGCACAAAAATTGGACATACCAAAACAGGGTGTGTGTCAAGATTGTGCACGACACAACTGGAGTGGACGTGGGTGGAGACCAAAGGGAGTACAGAGCAAGAGACAGTGACTTTGTGTGACACTCTGAAGTGATACGACAATGGCGGGCAGTGCAGCGAGCATCTACGAGCGCAGATGTTGTGCCTGCGGTTGCGTTCCTGTATCTTGTTGTTGCGCTCCTTTTTCTTTTTCTCTTTTACTTTGGCCTTCTTTGCTAACCCACACTTTAGGCTCCAACTTATCCCAGGGCCAGCGCCAGCTGGTGTCGCTGGCGCGTGCGCTATTGACGCCGTCCAACATCCTGGTGCTTGACGAAGCCACGGCTGCGGTGGACGTCGAGACGGACCGGATGCTGCAGGCGACGCTGCGGTCGCCGCTGTTTGCCAACCGCACCATCATCACGGTGGCACACCGCATCAACACGATCCTGGACAGTGACCGCGTGGTCGTGCTCGAGCGTGGCGAGGTGGCCGAGTTTGGCACGCCACAGGAGCTGATTTCGAGCCGCGGCTTATTCTACGGTCTCGTGAAGCAGGCCGGCCTGGCGGACTGAAGAGGGAGAGGCGGTGGTGAGAACAATACGAGAAAAAACGGTCTCGTGTCTTAGAGGAGACGACGGGAAATATTTGACATATTTGGCGCAAAGCAAAAGTCCAGATAGGATGGATATTGGGGTTGTTTTTCTTTCTTTTTGTCTTTCTTTTGTGTATTATTTGCATGGTTGTTTCCATTGCGTTTTGTATTTACTGTACAGTCATTTATCACCATTGAAGGTTTCTGTGTTATTGAGTTGTGATCTCACGTACTCTTGAACATTGAGCAAAACGTTACGAACCTGTAAGTTTCTTTAAACGACCCCTTCCCCCATGACAACGAAGCAAAGAAAACGAAAGGCAACCTTCCAGGAAAAAGCAAATGGCGATACACACACACAAAGATGTTTAAAGCCAGACCTGGTCTACTATCTCTGAAAGGGGCTGGTCCTGAACTACTTCTACTTTGCCTCCCCTGGACATGCTTCTTTTTATGCGTTGCCTTCCCAGTCGTGTCCAGCTGCCTGCCCTACATAGCTCGCTGTCTTTTGCTTCTGCCTCTTGCCTCGTGTGTTTTGTCTCGTTTCGTTTTGGCTGCTTCTGGGCGCTTCTCTTTGTCTTCTGGCTTGTTGGTCGTTTTGTTGGGTGCATCTCGTTGTGCCCATTGTTTGCATTTGCTTAGTCCCTTTTCTTCCCGTCTCCCTCTCCTTTCTTTTTGCCAACCTCTGTTCCCTTCTCTTACGGCGTTGCATCAGGAAGTGCTACCCAAGACCAGTACATGGCAAGGTACTGTTTCCGGCAAAAGCAATATACCATGACCACTAAAGCCAAACAGGGAGAAAAGAAAGAGAGAGAGAGAGAGAGAGAGAGAGAGAGAGACGACCCTCCCCTCCCNCNCNCCCNCNCNCNCNCNCTCTCTCNCNCNCNCNCGACGACGACGACGACGACGACGACGACGACGACGACGACGACGACGACGACGACGACGACGACGACGACGACGACGACGACGACGACGACGACGACGACGACGACGACGACGTACGTACGTACGTACGTACGTACGTACGTACGTACTACGTACGTACTACTACTACTACTACTACTACTACTCTCGTCTCGTCGTCGTCGTCGTCGTCGTCGTCGTCGTCGTCGTCGTCTCGTCGTACGTCGTCGTACGTACGTACGACGTACGTACGTACGTACGTACGTACGTACGTACGTACGTACGTACGTACGTACGTAACGGTAACCGTACGTAACGTACGAACGTACGTAACGTAACGTAACGAACGTAACGTAACGTAACGTAACGTAACGTAACGTAACGTAACGTAACGTAACGTAACGTAACGAACGTAACGTAACGAACGAACGAACGAACGAACGAAGAACGAAGAAGAGAGAGAGAGAGAGAGAGAGNGANNNNGANGNGAGAGAGAGAGAGACCCTCCCCTCCCCTCCCCCCTCCCCTTCCCCCACCCATGTTTACCAGTAATGTCGGGTTTGCAGCCCACCCAGCAGGGCAAGGAAGAAGGACACTCGATATCAAACGCTCTCACAATGTAGAACCGTCCAGACACAGCCGCAGATCCCGGAATGGCAAAACCTATTCAAAGGTGCTCCGTATTTTTTACGTCATTTTGCCTCTTCTGTCTCTTTTCCTACCCAGTCGACCCTGCCGGGTCCGTTTGTTTGCACGGCTTGTTGTCCTCCCGTGTTCCGGTAGACCACAATGACACGTACTACGGAGACACGTATGACGAAGACACGTATTACGACAGACTCAAACAGTTGCAAACGGGTGCAATCGTGCTAGTGCAAGCTCCCGCTGTGTGTGTGTATTGGAACAACAAATTGGGTGAGCAGGACGCTACGTTGTCCCTTTGTCCCCTGCAAGCAAGCGAAATGCGCAGGACAGGAGGGCCTATGCTGCGTTGAGGTAATCGCAGTCACACCACAAGTTGACCGTACAAAATGGTCTTACGGTGCTTCGGGATAAAAAGAGATTATCGGAGGAGAAGAGGAAGAAAGGGCATCCTAAAAGGCATTTCAACATACGATCATTATTGGTAGAAAAATGTCTGCCATACGTGATCCGGGCCCAGTTCGGGGCAGTCCCTACGATGTGAGTGGGAAGATATAAATAATTCGTTTGTTGTTTTAGTTTGCGCAGAGAAGATTGGTCCGGACAAATGCATTTTTTTAAACCAAAAAAATTGGTCAAAGCGAGAAACAAGAAGAAACGCTGCGGATGGCTTCCGGTAGCATTTTTCGTTTCTTTTTCCAGTACTCTTTTGACGCACTATCGACGTGCATGCATAAGAGAGAACAGGGAAAAAATGGCGAGAAAGCGGGGGCGAAGAAGAACATGGGAAAAGAAAAGAAAGACCAGAGCTCGTTGAGTTTGCTGCAGCGAGATAAACTAGTAGTTTTACTGATTCTTTTGTAAAATAGGGAGGAAGAGGAAACGCGAGCCAAGGAGATGAAGACGATGGTTAATACAACGGCGTAGAGAGATGGCCATGAACTCCTTTGTATGCTAAAATCAGAGCCTTCGCTGCACTCGTTCATCGAACAACCCACAACCCCTCTTGTTCATGCCCAAGATCCAGTACTCGTATTGCTTCTTTTGGGTGGGCTTCCTATTTATTTAATTTCTTTTTCTTTTCCTTTTTCTTTTCCCTCGCAGTGAATACGAGCAGGGAGGTCCAAAGGCCGTCTTGATACGTTAATGTTCTGATCGATGCACGCCCCTCGTTTTTCTTGTGGTTTATCCTCACCTCGCAGGGCTTGTTTATGTTTTTTTTTCTTCCAGTTTGATGTGGTGAGTTGTACAATCTGCGGGTCGAAATATGTCATCTTTTGAGGATTCGTTCCCCGACGTTTTTGTTTTTCTCTTCCCATCCACTCTTGTCGCTGTACAGTAAAAAAATCCTTCACTTTTCTTGTGCAAGTGCGTGTTTTTATACCCTCAATGCCCGCCTTTGCATGCGTATAACCGTCTTTTCTGCAGGATTCCGAACTGCATGCCTTTTTCTAAAAAGAACATAATAGAATAAAATAAAATAAAGTCCTTCTACCCACACGTCGCATGCCCATCCAGCAGGCATCCCCGTGTTCATTGCACCGCCTTTGTTTCTGGTCTGCACCTTTTCCCTTATGCCGTGCCCTGTCCACTACGATGTACGTGTTCTTAGTTTCCCTCTTCATCCCCTGCACACTCTGCTGTCGTTGCACCGCAGCAAAAAAGTCACCCTGTTTGTGTGTCGGGGCAATAGGATATCCACCTGCACCCGTTGCTCGTCCTCGTCCGTCAGCTCCCAATGCTCGACGCTGTCCAGAGGCCGGACCACTCTTGCACCGTCTTACAGGCGTGTCCACACATTGCCTGTATACCTCTCCTCAGCTTCAATATGATCTTTTTCGTGTGCCGAGCATGCCCCTCCTTTCTTGGGCCGTTTCTAACATCTTGTATATTCATACATTCACGCTTTACAAAAATATATATATTTATTATTTCCTTTTTCAGGCTTCTCTGTTTCCAGAAGTTGTGGCCCCAGCAGAAGGGGCAACAATCGGCCCAGTATTGCCTCAGTATCTGGCCGATTGTCTTTTTATTCTATTTTCTTATGGGGCTCGGTGCTACCAATTTAGGTAAAACGTCGAGTGAACAAGCTGGGATCGTGCGAGCTTGGGATTTGGGAACGGGGAGTTTTGGGACAGACGCAAAATATACCTCGATTCGGAAGTTCAATTTCAATTCGCTCCGGTCGTCAGAACCCAACCCACGGGACCGACGACATGAGTTTAGAAGGCGCACAGAAATGGCCTCGTCCGCGGGCAGCCGGGCACGGTAGAGAGCATCGGGGATCGAACGACTTGCAAAGAACGCCGTACGAAGCACGGCATTCGACCGCCAAACACGGCGACGTGCTGCCCGTTGGCTATCCCGTTACGAGACAAAGGACTCTGTATATTACGGCGTATGTATGTTGTATGTCGTATGTTGGCGGGCCAGATGGACAAGAGGGGTGGTACGGATGGAGCCTTGTCAAAATGAAATGACACTGGGTCAGTCTCCTTCGTCAGGTCAGCCGAGCAAGCGATCAAGCGGCCAAGCGAGCAACTCGTAAGAGTGTATTTCGTAGGGGTGCAATACGACTCGGTTTCCGTGCCTCGCATGCCATCTTCCTCGGCAACTGTAGGTCTCCGCGAACCAAATGGCCGGATTGGTCATATTTCGAGGCCACTCCTCCGCACAGGGTGGCATTTGGGGTTGTTGGATCGGGGGCCGTTGTTGGTGACTGTGCAGAATCATCAAATCTCGACGGGGCGTCTGGGGAGAGGAAATGATCACGCCGGCCAGGACAATTCCCGAGCAAGGTGTGACTGGGTGATAAGGACGAAGGGTAGCAGTCAGGAGAGTAGAGGGATTGGGTGGGGAAGGTGAACCACCAGGCCTGACCACAACAAGAAATGCCGTTGGAGCCACACAATGCCAAGGTCTGGTTCAGATGTAATTGGACACGGAGACGACAAATGGAGACGACGACCGACACGGCGTGATGCATAGAACGGAAGTCGACAGTATCGAGCACGTCGCAGGTGGCGTGATGGATGTCGGAAGAAACGTACTCTCCACGTCGTATTTTGAGTCCGGTTTGGATGTCGTAGCCACCGTTAAATGGAGACACCTTGACAGGGACGGATGATAAAACTACCATATTTTCTGTCAAGCATGTGTTCAACTGTCGATCACCGGGCCTGTCTCGGGATTGGCTGTACGTCGTACGGCGTACGCAAGAAAGCAGATCGTAAAGCATGCATTGTGGGGGAGGAATAAATGAAACATGAAAATATCATGTTCTAATTCGGGCGGTGCTGGAAGAAACACAAAACCAGACATTGATGCGGTCTGGTGAGCTGAAAACCATGACCGTCGAATGACAGTCTAGTGAAGGAAGAACACCAAGGGGACAAAAAGATTGAACTTGAACAATATGAGAGCACAACTTCGAGCCATAAAAAAAGGTAAAGGGCATGTGGTGGGATGTGGGCGATCCGTTGTGGGACATTTTCTGATTTTCAATTGTCCCGATGCACCACCAAATTGCGGCGGCAGTCGACGTGCATGCTGATCAAATGACAGCCATGCGCCCGTTGCGAGCGTCAGAGTCTCGTAATTGAGTTAGCTGTTTAAACTCCTCGAAAGGGAGAATAGCTTGTTGATAGAGGTCGAATTGCGGAGTCGACTTTACGCCGACTTCAGCATCTTGTATTGTCGTTTATTTCGGCAGCCATTTGCCTCGGGTACGGGGTCGTGTGCTGCAAAGATACGGTGAGACGAAAAAACTGCACGCAGTCGGACTCGACAATGCGGTCGGCGATGGTCATTCTGTTGAATGGTTCACTTCTTTGCTGCTGCCCTGCTGATGGTATCGACAGAAAAGCAAAACGCTCCTAAACCTCAACTGTGAGCAAAGTACTAACAATGAAGAGAGGCCAAAAGGGGAAGGCAACGAATTGAATCGCGACGGCACCGGCTCAGATACGACAGTGTAGGACGCAGTGAAGAAAAAGAAACGAGGCAAAGCGTCCGATACTCTCCGTGGCAGTTTTGCTCCCTCATTTCCGTACGAGTTAAGACGCTGCCAGGACGGGAACGGCGAACAGGAGGCAACGGAAAAAGGGTTGTATGCATGACCCCCAGCGAAATGCCTTGTCGATCCCCTGACATACTCTGTGTGCGAGTAATAAATTTCAAATAATTGGAAGTCTGGCTCGTGGTAAGGAAACCAAATCGCGCGACACGCGCTGGATTAAAAAAAAAAAATGCAAGGTGGAAAAGAAAGCAACGAAAGAAACAACAAATAAGTGGAATCGTTCAACTCGCAATCCGTGCCTTTCGTTTGCCAATTGGTCGTCGAGGTGCTTTTCTTCTTGTAACTCATTTCTTTTCTTTAAATTGCCACGAACTGATAGGCGCTGCTGTGAACAATAAGCAAATGGTCGTTTCGTCGACGTTTTGCAGCTCTTGCTGAGGAAAGGTCGGTGATGATCGGAAGTGGTTTATGTTTTCTTCCCTTTTCCTCGCCACGTCCTAAGCGATCGTGGATTGCTTGATCGTGCTTTTTGTTATCCAACCGGATTCACTCTCGTTGTGTTGGATCATCATGTTCGCTCTTTTCTTTCCTGTCGGAGTTCGTATGTTAGCTTGTGAGTTGCTGGTGCTGTGGATGGATCTCTGCTGTGTGACTACCGCATGTACATGCACTATCTCGTAATACGGCAGCAGGGGCAACACAACCATTCTGTGTCCGTACCTCTAACCCCGATGGACAGCCATACATACCACTGCACATAAAGATTGGTCGTGAGAATACAACGCACAAATCTCTAGCTGCGTTGCCTCATTCCGCCCGTCCCTTGCAGTCGCATCTTCGCGCCTGGCCTGTCCACTTTTTTCCGCACCGAACCGTTCCGTTTAAGAGGCGGCTAGCCAACGGGGGTGGAAGGGACCTGAGAAAATGGCGGGCAAGGATTAAGGGAATGGGTGTCAAGTGTTTCCGTACAGTGGACGACGTATGGTCGTATGGCGTCCTTACGACATACCGAAGAGTGCGCCACCGTGCCTGTTCAACGCGAATGAGCGGACCACATGGGGAAATGTGGTTAGCCTGGATGCGTCAGAAGCAGATAATGATTTCTATCCAACACCAGAAATCTACACGAGTCTGACCGCCAATGTTCCGGGCACCAGCTGTCTGGGAAGGGATGGGCATTCAAGTGGGGCGTTTCCCAGCCCCTTGCGTATCCTGGCTGCACTGGAGAGTGAGAGCTGCACCCACAGACCACCCAAGCCGGCGTGAGGACTGGGAACGGTGGTCATCTTGTCATTTTCGAAGCGAACTTGGAGACAGAAGCGTGGGTAAGCTCATCTCTTATCGTGGTTTTGGGTCCCGCCACGCTATAACACGTTTATTCGTGTATATTATAGAAGCGCAGTAATTTGACGACTTTTGGGTTGTAGACATTTGTGGGAAGCATACCTGTTTGATGAATCCTTTGTGTTTGTTCATGACCGCATAACAAAACGGGATGGCCTTTCCGGCCTCGTATTGCTGTTCTTGGTGACACTGGCGGCAATCAGGTAAATAAATCTCGGAAAAGCAGGTAAATGCAGGACTTGCAAACACGCTGCTCTCCTACTCCAGCGCTCTGCTCCAATGTCTTCTCGGAACGCCGGCTTAGCTCATACAAACGATTCCCAATGCATTTGTCGACAGACTGTCACTGGTTGTGCCACTGTCGAACAGCTCATGAATGACCATTTCGTCTTTCCTGCCTCTACTCTGTACTTTGTACGGAGTATTACTTCGTATTGCAGGGGGATGCGACGCCGCCGCTATGCCAGAGTTGGCGAAGGCCCGAGTGACACTTGACTGGAAGCGCCTGCGTGAGATTTTCAACCGGCGAGCAGACACAGCCAAACTGGACCAGGGGAGGTGTTCCAAGCAGAAAGAGAGCCAGTGAAACCAGGGCCAGGGGGTCAAGGGGAATGGATGCCGGGGTCGCCTTGTGTTTGCCCCTTCAGGTCTGCTCCCTGCGAGCTCACATTAAATGCTAAGAAACATTATTAGTGTCCCACGTAGGTCCGTTTCTCACCGGACTCTGCATCCCCCAAGGCGAGCGGTGTCTGAAGTACCCCCCCCCCCCACCAAGTTTGACGCACTCAAACGGAGGATGTTCCCGCGTTTTTGGGCGACATCGCAATAGTGTATTGGGGTAATGCTCTGGGCACGCTCAAGCACGTTGCTGTTCCTGTCGTTCGTCATATCTCACAGTTTCAATTTTTGGCAACGCAACTTACTCTCGATCGTTTCTTGTTGACCTCCCTGGGAGGCGCGATGGTGGTATTGCTCGGGACTTTTCCGAATCGACGTCGTCGTCTGCTTGGCCAGGAACTCTGCAAGTCTCTCGTTGGTGTCGACCTTTCGCCTGTGTTCAGGATGCTGCTAACGGCACTGGACCGCTGGACACCATGCAGCCCTCATTCGCTTACGACGGAAGGCCATCCGCGCGAGACAGGAAGTGCAAAAAGGGCGGATAATAGCATTTCCAGGAGGATGATAGGCCCTCGTCGATTGCAAAGGGGCAAATCGCTGCAGAGCATTTGGGGTTGGGATGGAACACCTTGGCTGTCTTGCGGAGGAGTGGAGAGAAGGCTCAGGATGAAGGGTGGTGCAGGGGCCTGGATTGTGCAGGGGGTGGCTCGCCAAAGATCCAGGCCACTCGCTGCAACCTGCGAAAGAGCAAACGACGTCGAACCAGAAAAAGAAAGAATGTGGGTGGTCGGCGAGTTTGAGGAAAGAGCTACGGTGTACTCAGTATGTGTTGACCCGCTCGAATGCGACATCGTACATGTACTGCTGTCCAGAGCGAAAGAGCTGAGTGTAAAAGATCGCAGCGTCTTCGGAGCAAGCACCACTGCTGGCCATCCAGGCTGCAGGACGACATACGATGTACTTCTGCTGGAGAATGTCCACGCCATTGCAGAACCCTGTGTCTCCATCGCCCAGGGTGCTCCTTCCATTCGTGCTCGTGCACAGACACGTATGTTGCAAGCATTTCCTCTTTGGACACTGGCCATTTGTTCCTTCCCTGGCCTTTCTGTAATTCTTTATTCCCTCTTGCTCATTTTGTTTTCCTTCCCATTCGTTCTTTCTTGCCGACGTACCCTGCGGCACCTATTGTGGCAGTTGACATGCGTTTGTTGTTATTTCGTATCGTTTTGGGTCGTTTGTGCCTTCCTCTTTCCCATATCAGATTACATACTATTTCGGCCGTTTTAGCGGTATCCTCTCCAGCGGTTTTCGCGCCCAATACCGGCTGGCTTGCTGATTATTAGACCAAACGTATCGAGCTAGCGCATCTGATTGACACACAGGCAATACCCCACTTATTGGCTCCCGCTCTTGCCCACTCGCGTTGTGCCTTCCGTTAGCGCTGTTTTGACGGAACGATACTCACAGTGCCTGGAAATAGCGTTGGAACCTGGAACCCGACCATCGCTCCATTCGTTCCCGCCCGCAGCGCCCGTTTTGTTGCGCCCGTTGTCCGTGCCAATTGACAGGTCAGAGTTTGCTCGCTCTAGTGCAGAATGGGCATCCGGCTCAGTTGTGGCCAGGCTTGGCTTCGGCCAACAATACCGGCCAAGCAAACTGTACAGAAGTACTAACCAGTAATTACTGAAGAGCGCGTCAAACGGACAGCCTCTGCATCTCCTTGCGAACAGGAAGGAGCGACTGTCGCTAACGCTGCACAGGTAATGCAGCGATGGCTTACGAGATGAGAAAGTGTATGGGGACAGCAAGCTGCCGAGCATCGCGCCTTCTGCAATGTTCAGCCCAGCCATGGAAGGCACAATTCAAGCCAGGCAGAAAGCAGTATGGTCGCGCCTTCCTCTCGGACATCCATCCGCACGATTCGCAGGGCGTCTTGGATCCTTCGTGTTTGTTTTGCGAACTCAGTAGAAACGTTCACGGCGACATCTTTAAAGTCTTCTCTCCTGTTCCCGACTGCAATCTCTCTCCCAAAGAGCCGGCAGGGCAGCGCCAAGCAAGTTGCGACCTAGTGGGAAAAGGCTGTAAGACGGTCCACTAGCTAGCACAACTCACAAAAGTCGGCACGCAAGACGGACGATCACCGCCGGCCGACGGACGTAAGGGGAAATGCACCGGCGGCCTCTGTCTTCTTCCACGGAGCCCCAAGCCGCTGCGTCAGGGCGTCGAAGAGGGCGATTCCGTACAAGCCGGAAGAAAGCTCAAGTCACCGTTGCAAAGCCATTTTGACGCGAACAATCTGCACAAAACAGTCCCGTCAACAACAAGGCAGGGTTCTCAGAACGCAGTTCTACTTTTGGGTGGTCCTGCACAGTCTAATTTTTTCTCAGCTTCTCGTGAGTCTTTGTGGAGCTCACAAGACGGACGCGCTGCAGAGGGGTGGAGGGGTGTGGGTGGACATCCACCCAATAGGGTAGGGGGATGCTGCTGAAGGGGGTGAGGTGGGAGGAGGTGGAAGCCGAGCAAGTTTGGCCAAGGGGAAACGTCGAGACCTCCCCCATCTCCCTCTTTCTTTTGCTGGTATTCCCTGCCCGCTTGCGCGACATGCATCGAAAAGCGACACCAGTCACGGAAACGATAGAGACAAGGGGCATCTGCCTCCCCCCCCCGTCTCATAGCTAGCCTCTTGGCTATCGTTTTCAGCTGCTCTTTGCAGGCCTGGTGCCTCCTCCGTTTGTTCACCCCTCCTTCTCCGGCGCATCGTCTAGCTAGAGTGTTCGACGTTTGTCTTGTTGCTAGGCTTTGTCCGCGTGCACCCACTCTTTGCCGTGGTCGTCTTGCATCTCGTTCGTCGAGCAGCCCAGGGGCCTGCCAACGCTCTGCATGCTCCTTGCCCACCGCCCCAAGCGACAGCTCATCTTCCCCATTCCCTCCATGCCTGCTTCCAAGGACCGCCTCTGCCACCGGAGTTCAGGTCCCTCATTCTTATCTCATCGGCGACCAAGCAGCACAATTCAACCACACGCCATCTGCTTGTACCAGGCGCCGGGCCATTTGATGTTGCCAAGGTTGCGTCCTGTCTCCTCTCTTTTGTCCCTTTCTTTCTGGAACAAACAACTGCTCGCAGCGCTCCTCGCCGCTGTCGACGACAACATCTTCACCGAGCGTCTTGCGCTTTTGTGCCTTCCTCGGCACTCCCGCTTGTGCACAGAAATCTGGCTTGCTTCCCAGCAAACGGCTTGGATCCCACATCCCGCGTAATCTGGCGGCGCGAACCTGCGAAGTGCTCCGAGAGCCCTCGAAAAGAATTCGTCATCCAGGGTCTCATCATCTCATAGCGCAAATTTCAGCGACGACACAACTCGACGACAAAACGGTACGGAGCTGTCGGTAGCAATACTAACGACAAGCATAATACGACTCGTGGGCCTATCCGTTTCCGTGTTCTGGCAACCTAGACGACTGCAGTTTACGAAACCAGACAAGTCATACAAGCCAAACATACGCAACGACTATTTTGATCATCACGGCCAGCATCGCGAGAAGCTTGCCAGCTCCTCACCACACCAATTCCGCGGCAGCCAGCTTTGCCCCTTCTGGTCCGCTTGGCCCCGTCTCAGTCTGTCCAACTCGCACTCCCGTCAATATATAGGACTTCCATCTTTCATCTCTTCAAGCAGCGAGGTCAGTTGTCACATCTCATTTTCGCCTTATTTTTGTACTCCGTCTCCCATGTATCATCCCGCCCACCATCCTCCACACAAAAAGCCATCTACCGCTCATGCCATGCACCGTATGGCTGCATTTGCCTTCCTCTGGATATCTGCCTCCCACCTCGTGCTATCTTCTTGACGTTGCCCGCCCACATTTTCCCTGTCCTCTGTTGTGCTGCAGCGTGTGTGCAATTAGACCTCCGTCCACCACATTACACCTGAGTGGCTTGTTGCGTACACGGTACACATGTACAGGTACGGTCTGTGTATCTCGCACTGCATTCGTTTGGCGTCGTCCTCTTGCGTCCTCTTGCGACCACTTGCGTTATCTTGCATTTGTCTTGTTTTTGATATGTTGGTTTATTTGTTTGGTGCAATACTATTATCCACCACCCAGCGGACTTCACCTGGTTGGCTGTCACACCTGTGTGCAAAGGAGTCGAAACTAGTTTCTCTCTTTCCTCTCACCGTCACCACCGACTGCCGGCTCTACTACCCCTACCCTTCTGACTCTCTGAGTCTCTGATGAGTTGAAAGGACATGGAAGGCAAGGTCTGAAAAGTTGACTTATCGGCTCGGCCAATTATCCTTCCACACCCAAAATAAATATAAACTGTCGGTTCAGCCCACGAATCCACTTTTTATTCAAACAAGAAGCCCTCACCCCTTCTCACCCCCATATCCTCTTCCAAGACAAACAAAACTCATAGTCCCCAGACTGCGAGAGACACGGCTGTGATAATCTATCTCAGTGAGAAGAACTCGCAGCGTAATGTACCAGCACGGAGTAGTTGTGCAAACAGCGCTACCCCTCTAACCTGCCTCGCCATCGCCTCCCTTATGTCTCACGGCATGTATCCTACGAGGACACAAAACACACTGCATTTGATTGTTTCAGTTCCTTTTATTTCACCATCATTTGGCTTTTATTGCAGGGCTACTCCGTCAGAATTGAGTCTTAAAAGGCGGCAACCCTAGCACCGTCATATATACACACCCTCCCCATCAGTACTATCCGCTCTCTTTCGACCCCCCTCGAAGCAACGACCTATGAGTACGACGTGTTTTGTACGGTGTACATCGTAGATGTCATCCACTCTGATACCGTTGACCTACAGAGACTGATCATATACCTACTACAGACCTTTTCGCCCTACGCACAAGATTTTTGCTATCCGGCCGTCTGGTCTTTGACTGCGTTCAGGGACTTACGACCACTTCCATTTCCACATCATACTCTTCCCACAGAGCATCGCACACCTCGCTATTGCGTCCAGGGCATGGAACTAGTCTCTCTGAAGACGAATTGCTATCCTCTTGTACCCCTCGTCTGGTCCAGATAGATTGCCCGTCGTACACAATCTCGCCACAAGAAAACGAACAACCGCCTCCCGTCCATTTCCCCCCCGGCAACCACCGGCGCCCACTTCGTTTGTCTATTTGCTGTACGAGGGCGGTCCGTACATGTTCATACTTGGCTACCTTTTGTTACTGTTCTCTCTGGGAGGAAGGGCAACAAGATTCGACCATTTACAGCGCATCTGCCTGCGGCTTGATTCGTTGTACGCTTGCTTTTCGACATCGTCTACGGGACACTGCATCGCTGCTCCCGTTACCCTTGCGTTACGTCTTCAGAGACATTGCCCATTACTCTTCTTTTCTTCTTGGCTTGCAAACGGATTCGCCTTGCCCTCTTTCTGGCCGTGCCATTCCATCTGCTGACACTCTGTGCTTCCCTTCTTACTCGACAGCAGAAGATTAAGATCCGTCCTGTGCCTCCGGACAGCGCCCCAGACTAGACCTGTTGGTGCTTTATTTTTGGGCTCGCCACCCTGGTCTGCGTCGTCGTTATATTTCTCTCGCCTTCACTTTCTTTGTTCCTCGTTTCCGTTCTTGTCTGCTGCCAAATTACCGGGACATTATCACTCTCAATTCGTCACGGCGAGATCCGATATATTCCAGTCTGTTTCGACGACCATCATATGTCAGATATTTCTTCCTCGCCTGACTCGCTTCCTATCTCCCAACAACAAGCTGAAGTGAACAGAAACTCTAGGCGAACCTGACCGACAAAGAAAGAGGATCGCCGAAACTTGTCCCTCCGCCTCTCTTACGAGCTTATGACTTATCCTTTACGTGACGACACGCCCCATTGATCCCAAGCTCTCAATTTTCTTGACCCTACCACGACTTGTCAACAAGCATCTTTTTATTTCCTCATATGAACGCATATATATTTGAGACCAGGGTTTCTCTAGGAGGATAATTACGGCAACCAGCTTCGCTGCAACACTCAGCGAGACGACAGAATCTCTCTCTTTTGCTTTGGGTAAACACGCTGGCGAATGTAAAAAAGAACCCGGGGATAGCCACGTCACCAAGGTTTTTTGGCGATATAAGACTGACAGGTGCCGAACGGCGTCGTCAGTTCTACCTTCTTTCTCTTTTCTTCAAAATCAAATCCGACATCTGTCACCGGCGAATGCTGGCGCATCAACAAATCCTGATAGTTTGCTCTACTGCCTGGATTCTTCTTTTCGTTTCTTGTTGGGCAGACAACCATGGGTCGGGATTATTTTCTTCCACACCCCCAATGGCAGTCGTCTGACCGACTTGCTTCGGGCGGCGAACGTGTTATGGACAACGGCAGCAGCAACAGCAGTAGCAATGGCAGCAACAACAGATATCAGCATCACGACTCGTCCAGTGACATGTCACGGCCGATGGTGAGTCCCCTCGCTTCTTGTATCCTGTTTTTCATAAACAAATGACAACATAGGAGACAATGTTGTGGATTGCAGCGATCCTCTGCTATTTTTCCTGGGCTGACAGGTCGTGCAATTGCTTTTAGAGCATCGAGCGAGCACTTCGCGACCAGTGCCGCATCCCAGCCCAGTGCTACTTTGTTTCGGCAATTCTTGATAATGGAGAGAGTGTCACTTTCTCGGGGCCTACGGAGTACAAGGAAAAGATTCCCACTTTTTTCGACATGAACCGCTGGATGCGTTGTGCAACTGGGCAGTCGCCTTCAGGTAAAGTTAATATCCGTCTCGATAGGAAGCAGACTCGCGTCAGCCAAGTCTTACGGTGGCAAGACGTAAGGTGATGTGTCTAACAGCGTTTGAATTCGCCATGTTTTCGATAATAGTAGGCGACTTACTACCTGCCCCAGACTCTGTGTATGAAGACCATCTCGGGCACTCGCGCTCCCGCTCTCGCCAGCCGCAAAGTCAAGGTTCCAGCCAGGTGCTTGGACAGCAGGGACTTGAGTACGAAGGACGTCGTTCCGGGTATGATCGCCGCCGCATCCAGGGCATGGACGAATTTGACGAGGACATTTATCGCAACAGGAAACGGGCCAGAGGTACGGCATCTCGCCGCATCGCCGAGATGGCGGAAGAGCGGCCCGTCCGCGTAACACAGCCGACAAAGATCCCCATCCGGATCAGCGAGGAGCAGGCCATCTGGAACATCTACGACCAGCGCTTTCGTGGTCTGCAGCAAACCGCCTGCAAGCTCATTGCTAAAGCCTGGGTCAAGCTTGTTGAGCCCAAGAAGCAGTCAACTCATCCTTACACTGGCAGTGATGAAAAGGCCCCTGACTGGTGGCCGAAGCCGTGGGGCACAACCCGTGACGAGAAGGTCCGCCATAAGGAGCCAGACCACTTGTACAAGAAGGGTAAGCTGTACCATTCCGGCCACCTCTCCATCTGTTGGAGTATATCAGCAGACTCTTATCTAACAACCCCATAGAGCGGGTGCACCTTTTAAAGCACATCCTTCGCATGATCGTCTTACCCAACTCGGAGCAACACCCAGATATCCAGAAGCTCAATCTCAACGTTGCAAAGCTAGAGGAAGCTACGATGGAAGTTCTGTCTAGCTTCTTCACTGACAAAGACTCACCAAACAACATAAAGAAGAAGCCATACTTGAAGGAAATTTTCCTTTTGGCGAAATACGAGGAGCGTTTTAGAAACGGTGAAATTGGTGAGTAACTTTATTGACTTGTCCTTGCATAAGTACATTTCCATAATAATCCTTGCTAACCCGTTGTAGATGCTACCACCAATGTGTACATCATGAGCGAAGACAAGATCCCGGACAACTACACATCTGAGAACGACGAGTCTGCGGCGATCAAGGAGGATGAGGACCAGGAAGTCCTGCGTGGGCCGGTGACCATCTCGCCCCGACGGCCAATGCCCGGCGCCTTAATTGCTCCTGCGCGAGCGACAACCTCTGCTGGAGTGCCCATGTCTGCCAATACATCGACTCCAAGCCACAACGGCGACCACAGTCCTGGAACTGGCATGCCTACCGGTGCAGGGACCTCGGCCTCACATCCATTCATGGGCGAACTGCCTCACCGAAACCATCCGACGTATCCTCCTTCGCAGCTGATGCACCCAGACTTGGGCGCAAACGACCAACATGCAGCCTACGTTGACGGTGGCAGTCTAGCCGTGAGCAACAGCCCCGGCCATCATCACCACAGTGCCATAGCCGAAGGCCATGGTGGTGTGGCCCTCCAGCAGATGGTCACAAACCCACACGAGACGAACCGACGGTCGTCCATTTTCAGTCCAACAACTGAGTACAACAACACGCCAACTTCGACGAGTATGTACCAGACATGGCAGCAAGGCTCGAACGCGCCTAGTGCTTCGCCACTGTATGCCTTTACACCACAGCAGGCCCAGATCCAACCCCAAACGCAAGCTCAACATGCCCAGCATGGGTCCTTTGTACCTCAAGGCCCGGTTGGTATGCCTCCGCAAAGCCACGGTTACATGAGCCACGGATTTGAACAGCTGCCACGGAATACGTACGAGACGACTTCCCACGACTCCATCTACCGCCAAAGCAACGTTCCGCCCGGCGCTGTTAACCCACAGGGTAACTATTCGATGCCGCTCGCACCACAGGACTCGCGTGCTTTGCCAGGACATAATCTGAAGCCCGAACCGCCGAATCGAGGTCTTTTGCATTAGCCGGTGCGATGCGGTACTCGGATGGTTTTTTCAATTTGCTGTCGTCTTTTTTATTTTGTTTATTTTGCTACTTTCCATTTGCTACTTTGTTTTCCATCTTGCCCATCTATATATGATATACTCAAGCGGGCAAGTTCGTGTCCGTTTGGGCACGGCATTGTCGGGTTCCAGCGTCTTTGTATTGCAGCCTTATTACCGTTTTTTTTTATTTGTTCCCCACTTCTTTCCATGGTGCCCTCATATCATCTCATATTGGCGTTTGATTTTTTATTTTTTTGTGAATTTTTTTTTCTCTCTCAATCTTTTGGCTTTCAAAGTTTTGGACTTTTCATAGAGTCATGTACGCGTTGCGGCAGTGATCATACCTAGGAAAATGCTGCGGGCGTTAAGCGAGTGAGCAAGATTATTTGAAAGGGGAGTTGCTGGACAGGCGGTAGCATGAGTCTGCGCCTCTTGTTTTGGTTAATATGACGAACGAATAGGTATCAAGGAGTTCTTAATTTTGTTGGAAGAGTGGCTTGCGAGCGGTATCATTAGGCAGGAGAGCGTTTCTCTCGTCTGTCCTTATGTTGAACCTTTCTTATTGAGACATAATTTACACGACTTTACCTGCTTGTTTCTACTGGCGATTCTGCGCTGTCCATCAGCTCCCATTACCCTTCTGGTTATTGAACCTCTTCCCCTTCTTGTCCCTTACTTACATCCCCGTGATTTCCTTCCTAGGCTTCGTGGTTGGCTAGTCTGTTGACGTTGGGGGTGTTTATCTAGATGCCCCCTGTCTGTATTTTACCTGTTCACCAAAAGTCGATACGAATTACCGCTGGCACTGAGCAGGCATGTCGTTTAGTTAATGATATGTGACAACACTTAGGGTATAAATACAGTAGTTCGTATTCGTAGGGTACCAGACCCAGAGTCTTAAGAAAAGGCGACAGATTATTTGGTGTCAGTTGGCTGAACTGTCACCAAACGAACTGTTGAAGCTGCTAGGCGTAGTCACCCACATGAAGCTCGCTCTGCGGGTGGAATATGACAAAAGACTGAGCGTCGGCGGTTGTCTTCTTACGGTTGTCTTCTTGCGCTCCTCTATTTTGGCATTCAAGGATTCAAGGTGAGCAGACCGGAGCCGTCCTTGGCTCACCGAGAGAAAAGAGTGTGACCATACCGGCCCGAATTGGAAATAGCGTCAGCAGACTGACACCAGGATATGTACGTTTACTTTTGTGAGTATATGGACCATGATGGGCTGCAGATTAAACTGTGCCTCTGTCAGGTGGGCACACTCTTTTGTTACAAAACGCAATGTATAAACATGGAGTGTGTGGGGCAGGACACATGAAACCCAACACCGCACGCCCACTAGCTTGTGATTGCTCACAATTCAAGCCCAATGCAGTAGAGGCGTGTATCTCCTTTTTCGTATGAAAGTGGCTCGTCGGCCGGTTCAAGACGTACGCCCCTCGTCCATCACGAACTGGTGACAGAACCGATTACGGAGCACTGGTCTGAACGGTGAGTATAAGGCTGCAAATGTCCGTATTTCGGATTCATGTTCTTGCATCTGACCTTGTACATGGTCAAGTTGGTGTGAAAATCTCAACACCGGCGTTCTCTCCTGGTATCACACCTGGGGACCTTATTGAACTATTTGTGGCGGAGCCTCTCACATCCTGCCCATGCAAATTAAATCAAAGCATTGCCGTTGCCGGCGTGGTATCATTCATCATCCCAATGCTATATGCTGTGTCCAAAATGCACGCCCTTGTTATCTGTCCTGCTTTGCCCGTGTCCATGCACCTCACGCGTCACTGTCACTGCTGGCGTCGTCGCCTCCCCGTTTCCGCTTCGCGGCCCTGCTGTTGTGGGAGGAGGGTACCTTGGGCCGCGGCGGCTGTGCGATCTCATCCTTGCGCACAAACACGTAGCTGCGTGCCGCGCGGTCCTCGCCCTTCCATGCAGTCGTCGACACGTCGTTGCTTCCGATGCTGTCGTCTGCATCGCCACTGCCGCCCATCCGTACCACGCCCAGTGTCCGCGCATGATGGTAGCCCGGGTATGCGCCAAACTGGAACCGGAAGCTGCGCTCGACCTGCAGCCCCGCGTGCCGCGCCAGATTGCGAATGTTCCACAGCGTGTAGGGCTCGCCCTCAAATAGCGTCACCACAATGGACCCGCCGGGCGCAAGCGACAGCAGCGCGCGCCGGAAGAAAGCCACGAGCAGCTCCTGGTTGTGGCGCACCTGGCGGTTGACGTCGGTGCTCTTGCCGCCAATGTGCGGGAAGTTGAACAGGATCCGATCAAAGATGCCCTCCTTGTCCTTGTTCTTGGCATCCCTCCCGTCCTTGCTGTCCTTGCCGTCCTTGCCGTCCTTGTCCTTCTTCGACCGGGACGTGTACGGGCCCATGGTCTTGGCGTCGACATTGTAGAGCACCTTGCCGTCCGCGGCGGCAATGCGCTCTGCATTGGCGGCAGCCTGAGGGTACTTGGCAGCCAGAGCCTCAGCGCTCTCCTCCAGCACGGTGGCCGTCAGACGCAGGCAGTTGTGGTGCTCGGCGAGCGAGGCGGCAAAGCTGAGATCGCCCTCGCCGACAAGGAGGATCGCGTCGTCTTCGGGATGGAAGGGGATGGTCGGAGGTGGCAGTGGAGATGACGAGGAGGATGTAGATGTAGTATTTTTCTGCTTTTGCGAGGCATCTCTGTGGTTGCTGCTGTGGCCGTTCTTATTGTTACTTCTGTCATGGTTGTGTGCATTGTGGTTTCCGCCGGGCCCGGTGCCCTTGCTGCCGTGAGGCATGGGCCTCTGCTTCTTGCCCGCCGCGTGGCCGAGCTTCCGTTTCTTGCTCATCGTCAAGGGAGGAAAGTGTGGGGATCAAGGTGAAGATTAAAAAAAACGAGTCGAAGACGAAAACTGAAGAGTAAAGACGAAAAAGAACAAAAGACAGAATGGACAGAATGACCAAACAGGAGCTGCAGAGGTGCTGGTCTGCAATCGACTGGCCCTGGAGACGCGGCGCCGGCCTTTGTTGCAGCGCAGTCTGACTGATTGATGATCGGTAGTCCGTCTCGGTGATCGTTTCGTTGCCGCGAGGTCGCAGTCTTCCATAAAAAAATGTACAACATATATAATGCCGTCTAAGTGCCTCGCTGCTCGCGGCTTCCCGCGCGGCACTGCAAGAACTAAGCAGGCGGCAGGCGGGGACGCCGGCTGCCAGGCGACTTATGCGCTTTTGGCCCTGTGCAGCAAAGCGCAGGAACGACCCAGCCAATAAAATTGCGGGTCTTGTAGCAAATCACAGCGGATGAGACTGGAAGCTAGTGACAGGTACCGTGTACCTTGGCCACAGGGAGGAGACAGTAAAAAAATGCTTTTACAAGCAAACGGCAAGACAGGGCGATGGCAACCATACGGAGCACGACACATTCAGAACAGATGCGACACGGACGGCGAAGGACGGTGCTGTAAGGGAGACGTAAGGAATTGAGATGATGAGTGATATTTGGGCCCCTTTATTCTGGTATAAAGGCGAAGAACGTCGAGGTATTTACTGATCGTCCATCTCCACGTTTTCCGGCATCGTTGTGATATCTACGCGTTTCAAACAGTGTATGGACGCGAAGAGACTCTGGACGCAGTGATGCGACCGAGTACGAGCGTATTTATGTTGGTTGTAGGACTCGTAACGTCTGCCACTTGTACACCTCGTCATATGAAGAGTGTTATATGTAGCTCGACAAAACTAAAGAAAGGACCAACACCACGCTGTCGATAGTAAAGTAGAGCATATTGGTAGAGTCTACGACGTAATTACGGACTCCATACGAGGAGATGCAACCCAGGTGTCCAACACGTCACGTTTATCATGCGTCTTTGCAAACGAAAACAGACAATGAAAAGACAAAAGCACTCTTACACCAATAGAGCCACAAGATGTACCTAATACTTCATCCCAAATATGTTGTTAGCCAACAGCCTGGGACAGCAGGCGCAAGCGCTGATTGGTTGGCAAAAAAGAAAACCCGGCATCCGGCTGGTTTCGCAGCGCAGGACGCTTCTGGACAGACGACAAATACAGGCAGGAACTGGTACGACATGCAACTGGCAGAACTAGAAGGAAAGAAGGGGGGTGGTCGAACTGTGTGTAATTATGGGTCCGGTCCACTTTTAGCGTCGCTGGTGTTATTGAGAAGGCCAGCAAAATGTGAGGATGTGAGGGAAGGAGCCAACAAGGCCAGACGCAAGCCCAGTTGCGCCTGCGCCAGGACCCCAGCAGATCTTATTGTCCCGGCCAAGTGCCAAAATGTCATTACTCCGTGGCTCCTGGTGCCATTTTGCTCGGGTCGTGTGTGTTGCAAGTTGGTTTTTTGTGTCAGTCTCTTTTTGGCAAGCAAACCCAAGCAAACGCTCGCGACAACACTCGACTTTTGTTTGTCTCTTCGTTCTTCCTGCGCTCTTTCCTTCTTCCTATTATTGTTTCCAGTCTCTTGCTTGACTTCCCTATTCGGACTCAAACGTGCCCCCCAAGGAAGCCACGACACGCGTGCCCGGGTCGTTCCTCCCCCCAAAAAGGCAGTGAGCCTAAAAAAACACGGAGGCTTCAACCCAAACACCGCATCATCACATCCCCCTTTCCCCCTTCCACCATTCTACATCTCCAGGTCCTCTTGGTGTTCTTCTTCGTCTTGATATCCCCGTCGTTTTGATATACTTTTGTCTTTCGCCACGGACCCTGCGGCTTCGCTGTCTCGGGGACGCTGCGCAGCCCTTCTGCCACATCATTGTTTGTTGTCCACCGCGCATGGTTTGATCTCTGCCAGTCCTCTCTTCTTCAGCAGTTCTTTTTCGTTTTTCAAACATTCTCCCTTCTCTTCTTCCTCCTCCTCCTTCTCCTCATCTTCTTCTTCGTCTCCTCCTCTTTCCCATCATACCGACCTCTCCGCCTTCGCTGACACTGCTGCGCTGCAGCGTCTTTCAGCTTCACCCTTTTTTCACTCTCTCATTCCCTTGCTCCCCTGACGTCCCGTGTCACTGGTTGTTGTCGCTTACTTTTGTCGGGCCTTGTCAATTCTTATCTCTTCCGTCTTCCATCATCGGCACGTCTACTTTGACGACCTTTTTGACCTCTATTCTCAGCGTTGGACGTCGCTGCACGGCGGTCCTTTTCCTCGTGTCGTTCGTGTCTGTTGTCCCTATTTTTCACGCTTTTAAGCTCGCCACCCACTTTTTTGGGCTCCGCTCTCCTTGTCCACCCTTCTTTCATACCGGGAGTATTACACCACTTCTCATACACATCGTACACAACACGGTTTATTCACCCAACTCATTGTATCGCACACCCACATGGCATCATGAGCGAGCCACCGCCAGCCCATACACCCTCCTTTCGCGGCCGAGGCCGTGGCCGTGGCCGCTCACAAGCCGTTCGCGCACACGTGGCTCGTCTTGCCCAGGCAAGAAAGGCTGCCAACGGCCGTCGTGGTCGTCAAAAACTCTATGATCACCCCAAGCCGCAGGCCGCCTCCGAGCGCCTCAAGGAGCTCAAGGCCGCATTTTCCGCCGTTGCCAATGCCATGCGCCCGGCCCTTGAGGACCTTGCCGACCGCAGCCTCGACCAGCTGAAAAGCCGTCCGGACGCCTATCGCGCCTTCGACCAGTTCCAGGAGGTCAAGGATTTCCTCGACCGCCGCATTCACGACGTCCAGACCATGCACAGAAACAAGCTGCTGCTGGACACGCGCCTCAATGACTACATCTTTGCCGAATCGCGTACCATTACTGAAGAAGCTTTTATTGTATGGCACATCTCCGTCGGAACTGAGAGAAGAAAGTACACCAAAAAAAAATCGATTAACACTAACACTCTTGAAACAGCGGGACGTCGAAGACACCAAAGATCGCTTCTACGATGCCCAGCTTCAACGCCTCGAGATTCTGGACAAGCTCCACGACAACGAGCTTCCAATAGATGTGAGTTTTGCACTTTGCCTCAATTTCTCATGCCCTTCATCCGTCATCTTCTTCGTGTCCATTTTCGACACTTTTGTCACACTGGTCACTCCATGTCCCGGTCATGTGATCGCCCGTGTTAATGCCCCGTTCCCTTGCTGCCCAGATCATCGACGACTCGTGGAACTTCCATGAAATCAGCGATGAGCGCTTCCGTGATGTCAAGGCCCATGTGGAGTACCGCACCACGCCGTATGGCGCCAAGGTCGAAGTGCCCTGCGCCAAGATGGTGACTGGCCGGCGACTCGCTGGCACCCCGACCACGTCCGGCCCTGGTGCCGGCGCTGGCGACGATAATAGTCTCAAGCCCTCGCCCAAGCGCAAGGCTGACGACGAAGCGGATATATTGCCGCCACCAAAGCGGCTGGGTGCCGCGCCACGCCACATTGGTGGCCTGCTCTCTGCGGTCGTCGCGCCCACCGATGAGGACGAGGATGACGACGCCGAAGCCGATACGCGTGCTGGCTCCAAGATGCCGTCGCCGAGCCCGGCTCTCGCCGAAGAGGACGACGAGATGCTGGACGAAGACGAAAACGGCACTCCCCTGGACGACGACGATGAGTCAAATACGCACTTGCGCCCGTCCGAGCGGTTACCGCCGCTTCCCAACGGTGCTTCGGAGCCCGATGCCTTTGGCGTACGGCTCATTAACAAGCGCCGAACCGCCAACTTTGACGTCTACAACCGCATCCTGGTGCCCTCCTTATTTGACTTTGAGCCCCACGAGATCGGCTTCCGAGACTCTACCAACGACAAATCACGCGGTGCCACCAAGATCAAGCGCGGCCGCTTCCTTGACACACCCAACTCCAACACGATGCACTTTGATCGTTCACTCTGGCAGTATGACGCCACTACGTACGATGAAGGCGAGCTGGACGAAGAGCTGATCAAGAAGCACAACCTGCACCAGAAGTACGGTCTGGTCTTGCGCACATCCGTCAACGACGAAGAGCCGCCCAAGGCGCGCGTGTCCGGCATGAACCCTGTCGTCTTTTACACGCCCCGCGGCCGAACGCTGAACAGCTCGCGCTCAATAAGAATTGCGCGACTGGAAGACGGCGCCGAGATTGCGTCTAAGAGGCCTGCCATGGCGGCTGCCGTCGACCAGTTTGCCGAGAAGGAAGGTGTCACGCCCGCCGCCATCCACCCGGCCGACGAAGTTCTCGAGACCTTCCGCCAGGAGAAGCTCAAGTTGTGGCTAGGCCCTCGCCGTGTTACACGTGATGAGACCGAAGAGCTGGAAGAGCGTATCGAAGAAATGGTTGAAGGTGACTACGCCATGGAGGAGGACGAAGACCGCAAGGTGATTGTCGTGCCCCCGCGGACGCCGGATCGGACAGGCCAGTTTGCTGCCGAGGACATTGCAGCTGGTACCACTGTCGCCTCCGTGGAAGACGAGGAGCAGTCTGCCGCCAATGCCATGGCGGCCAAGGCCATGTTCGGCACTCTCCTCGATGCTGCCGCTGCTATGGACACAGATGCTGCCGAGGACACTGCGCGGCCTCGTTCCAGCGACGACGTCGTCTCCCACGTCTCCCAAGCCTCGCCCCTTGCGGCCCGGCGCGCTACCTCGCGGCCCTTTGACCCCGTCCGTGATGTGTTTATGGATACGCCTGCGACGGCGCCAGCCGACGACTCTGCTTCCGATCGCCGTCAGGGCAGCACCGACTACATCCTGCCGCCTTCCAGCGCACGGTCCAGCCAAGCTTTTGTCGACACTTCCAACTTGCTCTACATGGCAACCGTGGCTCTGGACCAAGAGTTCGCATCACCTTACCATCAGCAGCAGCAGCCACCACCACCCGCGTCGTCGTCATCCATGCGGTACCCGCCAGCACGGGGCTCCGCGCCATACGACTATCCTCCTACGGATTCAGGCCCAAACAACGGATATCGGAGAATGTCCATGGACCCTCCACAACCCTATCACTCCCACCATCAGCCACCACGCCCGCCTCCCCAACACGCTACACCTCCTCAACAACCGCAGAATCTCCTTGATCCTCGCCTCTTTGGTGAAGCACCCCAGCCCCAGCAGCAGCTGCCGCCTCCTATCTCGAACCGGGATGCCAACAATGGCTACTCAAGTGGACCTTACTACCAACCCCCGCCTCCGCCGCCGGCTGGATATATACATTCTAGTCACCACCATGGCGGCTCCTCCTATCCTCCCCCTGGGCCATCGACGGATCCCTACGGTCCGCCACCGCCGCCGAGTGCTGCTTATGGGCAGCCTCCCTCACGCGGCAATACCCAATACTACATGTCACCTCCCCCACCCCAGCACCAGCAGCTGCCACTGCAGCAGCAGTCTTCGCAATCGCAGTCGCTGCCCATGATGCGGCCCTATGACACTCGCTACGGGCCCCCTCGCGGGGAAAGTGAAGGCCCTTTGCCGCCGCCTTCGGCAAGCAGCTATGGTTCGCAGGGCCTCCCCCCTCTGATGGCGCAACAGCCCCCTGCTCCTTCTCACGCCAACTCCCCTTCGCCGCAAATGTACGCAGGACAACTCTCTTCCACGTCGTACTCACGAGGTGGTAGTCGCGAGTACCAGCCCCACCACCAACACGAATTTGGTAGCAGTATGGAGAATGGCCCCAGCAATGGGGACTATCCACCGGGACCCGAGTCAAACGGCAACAACGGCAACAATAAGTACCGCAAGTTGGAGCCGGCACCCATGATCGTGTCCAAAAGCAACGAGTGGTCTACCGGCGGCGACCGTGATCGTGACGGCAACCGGGACAGCGTCTCGAGCAACGGCCATACCAGCGACGGGCGGCCACTGGCGAGAGGCTCTGAGGAGCCTACAAACGCTTATGCAACGTCGTCTGTCGGCAAAGAGTTCCGCACGGTGCCATATGACTACGAGAAGATCAAGGACTACGCCGCCATTGAACCGCCACCAAGTCAGGGCCCCAAATCCATCCGTGGGTGGGCGCACAACAGCTTGAAACGCGGCGGTAGTGGCACAACCACGACTGTGTCCAAGGCCATGTCTAGCACAGTGTCGGCCATGCCACCGATTAAGGCGGAAGGGGCACCAACGCCGGTGGAGTGGGACGCTGACGAAAAGCATCAACAGCAGCAATAGATTCGCCGCTATTGTCGGGCTTAACAAAAAGTAGTCCAGGCAGTTGCTCCCTGATCAGGCAAGAAAGAGACGACCCGGTGTGAGAAGGACGAGGAAAGCAGCGAGGGACACTGAGAAAATGAGAACCTATGCACAGGTCTTTCCCAGTCGAATGGATACCTCCCTTTGGCGTTTTTCTATTTTCTCCATTTTTTTTGCTTTGGAGCCTTTGATTTTGAGCCGTAGTATAACCAAAATTTTAATTTAATTGTACAGCATTGGCATCCTACTTTGCATGGTGTTGAGTCTACTCTCTAGTACCTAAACCAATGTCAAACTCGCCGTTGTTAGTGTAAGTGAGGTAATATGTATCATTGGCTGAGAAATAATGCCTTGTAATTGGGCGTCCGCTGCCGTACTAAGATACTTAAATTTACTGCCCGTATTGTTGTTACAGTCGGTGGTATCACAGCCTTGCCCTAAAAGAGCCCCTCATTATGTCGACGACAATTCTGCACAGCCTTTTCTACTTCCTTTATTCGACAACAAACATTTGTGTTGTACAATTCGACTCACAAACTTTCCACTCGAAAACTTTCCACCGCCGTGATGTCTTGGTACCAAAAGAACTTTTCGCTGCCCGCAAAATCGCGCGGGTCCTACCTCATCACGGACACCATCGTACGCGAACTGCCCGCGATCAAAGACTACAAGGTCGGCCTGCTGCACCTCTTTATCCAGCACACCAGCTGTGCTCTCAGCCTCAACGAGAACTGGGATTCGGACGTGCGGGCCGACATGAGTGACGCGCTCGACCGCATTGCACCTGAGCAAGGGCCCAAGGGCGAGGCGCTGTACCGGCACGACGCCGAGGGCCTTGACGACATGCCAGCGCACATCAAGAGTGCGCTGGTGGGCGCAAGCGTGACGATTCCGATTTCCAACGGCCAGCTGGTAGGTCTCGTTTCCGTGCCGCCATTCCGTTTTGTAACGGTTCGTGGGACTGGGCTGTACGTAAACTAACGAAGAAACACAAAAACAAACAGGCCACCGGTACATGGCAGGGCATCTGGTATCTGGAGTTCCGGGCGCACAAGCAAACGCGGCACATTGTGGCGACGATCCAAGGCGAGAAGGCATGAAGGTCGGCGCTGTGAAGCTGTATTTGTCTTTCTGCATATTAAGCTTGGCTGATACACACGGACGTGTTTTCCACGCACCACGAAAATGGCTTGACAGGGCGACGCAAAAGAGATCAAAATATAAAATTGCCGATTCATGACAGACAATATGAGCTTAAAACACGCAAAACTGAAGTACGGAAAGTCGACCACACAACAAGCACCCTCTGTCCGCCATTCTCCAGATCCCATTATTTCGCTGCCACTAAGCGCCGGGTGGGACATACCTTCCCCGCCTGCTTTGTATGTTATGTCCCGTCACCTAGTTCCCTCCATTCTCCTCCTTCATATCCGTGTCGCCGTCGTCGTTGCCCGCCAATACGCGCGTCTTTGGAGGGACACCGGCGCTGTTCACACCGCCGGGGGTCGCCGCAACGACATTACCGTCTTCGTCGTAAAACTCAAAGTTGTAGCGACTCAGCAGGTGCGGGATGGCCGAGAGCTGCGGGCCGTAGCGGGCGGTGTTGTCGTAGAGCTCGAACAGGGGGACTGCCAGCAGTTTCATGTTCTTTGGGACACTGAGTACTTCTAGTATGTGTCAGTCTCTCGTTTCTATTTTTTTTGTTTCTCTCGTGACGCCTCGTTTCCCTCGCCACGACCCGCCCACACTTACTCGACTTGGGCAGCTGAATAAAGTACAGTTTCTTGCACTCCTTGGGCCGCGTCACATGCGCTGGGATAAATGGGTACATGAACGTCTCAAAGTTGGGCCGCCACCACTGCGCCAGGCACTCGCCCACCTCCCAGTCTCCAGCCTCCTCGCCCTCTCCCAGGCGGCCCACCGGCGCCAGCCGCTCGTCCAGCCGCGTCTTGAACCCGCTCAGCTCGTCGTCCTCCGGCCGTAGGTAGTCGCCCGGCAGTTTAAAGAAGGCATTGGCAATCTGCAGCATCAGAATGTGCGGATGGTTGTGCTCGTGGCACACCAGGATGCCCTCGCACGTGCGCCGCATACCGTGTTCTGCGTAGTGCTCCTCGAGACGGCGCAGGCGCGCCACCACGGACGGGTCTTCTTCTGGCTGCGTCTCCTTGACGCCAAAGGTGTAGTTGGAGAGCGGGTACAGGCGGATCGTCTCGGGCTGGTTGGCGTCAAACGGCAGCGGCCGGATCGGCGGGTTGCCCGACTGAATGGCGTTCTTGGTAATCGTCGACATGATGAGGCCTCTGGGCTGATCGATGCCGTTCTCTTGTTGATTTTGCGTATCGGCCTTTATTACTTTTAATTCTCTCCCTCGTCTACTTCGTCGTACCGGGGACAATGCCGCTCCCCTTGTACGAAGTCGTCCGTCTGTGAACGTGCGGTCTGTGTCGGTGTCTCGAAAACCGCAATCGCAAAAGGGAGTGGCGTAAACTTGGCAGTCGATACGTCGGATGCGTTCAACGAGTGCAGCAAGGTTCGTCTCTTTTGCGCGTAAAGTGGCAGGGCTCAATGGGTGTCGGTCGTACTTTCCTGGATCCGTACACATTCGCTGTGGATTTGTCTCGTCGCTCCTTCCCCCCACAGCAACCCCAAGCCTAAACACAACTGCCCTGGCAGAATAAGCTGTCCGCAACAGAAGGCGGTGAGAGCTCCCTGGCAGAGGTTGCCATTTCAGCCAATCAGCATCCAGGAGGCTGGCCATTTCAACAACATCACCGTCAACATCCTCTTCATCGACGTTCGAACTCGCCAATTACCAGTCAAAAGCCTTATGACGTATCTTGTGTGTTGCATTTTGGATTCACGAAGCTCCGTGTGTTATCTAGACTGTTCCAACCGCCTCGCCTTCGTGGTAGACTTTAATGATCAATGGTCGCAAATCCATCTCGGCGCGAACCATAACAGTTTTCTGATTCGAACCCCTTGTTGGCGGAAATCTAATAATTCTCGTTCTATGTCGTACTTTGTCCCGTCAATCGGACCTGAGACTGTTTCATCTCACCTCGCCGTCATTTTCTCTGCAAGATCCGGGTTCTGATATGTATTCTGTTGGCCAGCGCCGCAGGATCGATGTAACAACTCTCTCAGTTACCACTCAGGTTTTTAATTTTTTGATATGAAAAGTCTCCTTCTAACGAGTCCAATTTCTTACAACCAGTTATTGGACAATGCTCCTGGACCCCAAACTTACTTCAGACTGGCCTAGTGGCCGACATATGAAGAAACCCTCTCTTTGTATCAGTTGTCAATTCGTTTGCATTCATGCGAGTTTGCTCATTCTCATGTCCCTCCTACAACTACGGTCCTGCGATCTGGCAGACTTTTCGGAGCCATTTCTTTTGTCCTCTCCGAACGATTTCCACCCCAACTCAATGTTTCACGTTGCAAGTCTCGATTCGCAATATAATGTCACAAGTCGGCGTACGGTCTGTGACAAACAACCACAACAATTACGACGATGTGGGGTTGCTGGTCGGCCAGTCCACTGTTGAGGCCATACTCGCTGACTCCGAGGTCAAGCGAGAGCTGGCGGAAGATGAGCAATGGCCCATGTATCAAACCGATGTGTCCGTCCTCAGTCTAGACAGATCGGGAGAAGTTGGTTCGCATCCGACGATCCAGCAAGAACAATTCACATGCGACGAGGTGGCAGCCACAGCAAGTGCAGACGACAACGACAGTGCCGGCCTGTTCGTGGAGAGATACGAGTGGGACAGCTAGGACTTGTCCTCCGCGTCCACAAACAAGCCGACCGTGGTACCTGTAACCCCATTAAAGTACGCCACCTTCCCTTCACAATCTACCAGCCCAGCCGCACCATCTCCTGAGCTCAACTGGATAAACCTCAAACTAGTCATCACGTCCGGGTCGCCTTCTGCCGTAACCGCGGCAGTTAACATCTCCAGAGATCTGCTCACACGCTTGGCCCGGAGTCTCCAAGATGTGGCGGACCAGACGCAAGCGGAAGGGGCCTCCTATTGGGCCCGATTTGTCCGCGAACTCTTTTTGGACAATAGCCGCAATTGGTGCCACACAGCACCGTGCCCCGAGGCAGATGCCTTTGTTACATATAATGGATATGGATGGGCTCAAGCTATTGATGCCCAAGTTATCAAAATCGAATTAATACTGCACAACATAACAATGCACGGCCACAAGCTTGAAATTGACTGCGCAGAGCACGAGCGACGCCATGGAGTCTTGCTCCAGCAATACAACGAGGCCCAAGGGAAGTTTCTGAGAGTAAAGACCGAGCTCGATGCGGTCGCAGCCAAGTGTTGGGGTTTTATGCGCGGTGTATCAGACGCTGGGTCAAAGGAACAACCAAAGCTGCAGCAAAAACATAAGGCACGAGGGGCAAAAAACGAGGCGCTCCAGCACGAGGAAGATTCTGTCCAGGTAGGAGCACAATTATGGCGGCACGTGGACCAGTACGACATCCTGACCCAGGACATCGCTGCCCTGCACGCTGCTCTGCAAAGCTGCGCAGACCGAGTAACGCTCCTCAAGCAGCAGAAAAGAGATCTCATGCCACGCAAAGCTGCCATACGCAAAGAGATGGCTGCAGCAGTCTCTCTTCAGCGCGGCCGCAAACGTCTGCTGAACGTACTGCTTGTCTTGGTTTCCGTGACCACATGGGCGACGGCTCTTGCGGTCGCCGGATGCACGGCTGAAGAGTGTCCTGTACAAAAGGCACTTCTGGATCTCCTCAGGACGGCTGACGAAGCTTGGCTGCCATTGAGATGGTGGCCACATGTGACATTGGGGCATTGTTAAGAATTTTCCTTCTTGCTGAAAATGCGGGCTCGTAGGCTGCGATGCCGATGTAGATATTGATTCGCCATTTAACAGATATAATTTGTTTCTTATTATTTCCCTCGAAAAAGTACACTGATGATATGTGGGTCGTTGACATAATTGACGTAAATGCGGCATTTTATTTCTGCCATGAGACACCTATGAAGTACATTTTACCTATGGATGAACCTTTTTGGATGATGACAACCAGTTGACGTAGTTCTCCACGGTAAACTCTGGATCTGTGGGGATCGCCCAGCATGGCATCCGCCGATCACTTGCCTGGATGGGCGTCAGGTCCCCAGCTTCTGGTATGCACCGAGTTCGATGATTTGGTCCGGATTGGGAGCTCTTAACCGCGGATCGAATGAGATAGGTATTTTGGAATATGTCGAGCGTTTTTGATAAATTTGTCCAGGTAAGCTGTGTGTTTTTTGATCTGGGTTTTTTTTTTTTCTTAAAAAAAAAAAAAGAAAGAAAGAAAAAAAAAAGAAAAACTAACAAAATACTTCCAAATGTTCTTCATACCGTTTGACAAACCACCAAGCTTAGGTTCACACGGCACCCGAACAACTAGATGCATCATCATATTGATGTTACCATGTGAATTACCGTCAAAACTCGCATCCCCCTCGTCTTTCCCCGCCGAAAGCGGTAGTCGTACGGTCCCCGAGGGTGCTCCGCGTCCTTCGTCGCCCTAGCACTGCCATTAGTCTCTTGTCTTTAATCAGGCCCGCCTTGGCTTCAACCTGTGATTCCGTGCAAAACAAAGAAGTGAATACCCAGGCGCGGCCTATTTGCATAGCGTCGGGGTCTTTGTTTCAGCAACGGAGGTTGTGCCCGGGCATGCTGAACTTTAGCAAGGGGCATTGCTACCAGTCAAGCGCCTTGTCGTTCCCAGCCTCGACTGGCTTCAGGCTGTTCCATTCGCTTTGCATTTAGTTGTGATTTATACTCTGTATTTCGCAAATGCAACATTGCTGCCAGCATGGACAGTCCCTTCCCCAACCGCGAATGACTGGCGCACCTGCCGACGCACCTGTGACCGGCCATTACAGCGAAGTCACTGCCTGCATCCCGCCATTGTGGTCCAAGACAAGGACCCCCTGTGGATCCCTGTGCCTTCAAAGGAAGGAACGGCTGGCGTGGGCAGATGCAAGAATGAAAGAGCGACTGGAGGCCACTCTATGAACGTGGGCCTGGCCTGTCTTAAACTGGTGTATTACGACATAACGACATAATTACGGTCTGCTTTTTGGGGCCGCAGGAGCCACCGGCGCCTCTGTCGTGCGGTCATCTGACTAACAACACTAGCTCCACAACGGCTCGCTTGTCCTTTACTCTTTCCAGCCGACTGGACACACCGCCGCAGGGCCTGGACCTCTTTTTCAAAAAGACTTCTCTCGACGCTTTTCCCTCTGTATTTTTCTCGCCATCGTTTTTCGTGTCACCAGCTCCCCACCCGGTTTCGTTCTCGTGCCCAAATTCGTGCCCGGCGTGCCAGCCTCTGGGGACACACACAGAAGCGTCACACAGGCGTTCTGTTGCATATACCCTGTAGGACGGTGTATTGCCTCGTCATCCCGGCTGACCAGAGCCAAGACAAAACCAGCGCCAACGACAACCCCAATCGTGGGACCCCAGAAACAAACGCCCAGGCGCACTACGTCCGTTCGGTCACTGTCTCTTTTCGTCCCTCCCGGCTCCCCAAACTACCCAACGGTTTCCAGTCACCGCCGCTGTCGTCTCGTGCCGTTCTATTGCGCCGGGCTTTGGCCTTTTTGCAACCTCCGACTCGACCTGAGTCGGCTTCGATATTTTCCTTGCTCTCTTTTTGTTTTGGCCGTCTCTTTGCTTTTCTTTTGCTTCCTGCATCCTGCATCCTCTCTCGCGCGCTGTGATACCGCCGACCGCCCCAGCTTCCATCCCGGCTCAATGACGCTTTTCTCGTCTACCACCACCTCCTCTTCTTCTTCCACGGCGCCTTCACGACGGCCATGGACCACGAACGAGAACGAGACCGCCTTGTCGCGGCGCTGCGGCTTAAACTAACCCAGCTTGATGCCCGTGTCGTGGCCTACCGCCGCGAGCGTGCTGACGAGTTCCGCCGCTACGCCATCGACCTGCTAACGCATGTTGCTGACGAGGCTGTTGTCGCGGCCGTCGCTGACGCCATTGAAGGCAGCCCCGATGGCGACCTCAAAAGCGCGACCGATGGCAAGGTGGCACAGTCCTACCCGGCGCTCTATGCTGGATTTCTTGACAATGCCGGCGACGATGCCGGCGACCACAACCGCTCCATTCTGGCGCCTCCACCCCTCGCCCGCTCTCTGCCGCGCCGCTCCGCATCACCACCCCCCGTCCTCTACCACACATCCGGCGTGCCCAAGGAGGGCCCGACACGACCACCGACAGGCCCCGCCGAGGCTTCGCCTTCGCTGCGTGCGCATGACGACGACTTCCGAGGCGTCTTCACGCCATCTTTCCTTCCCTTGTTGGACAGCTGGTCCTACGACCGTCGGTCTAGCGATGCGAACACGCAACGTGATCAGACCGAGACTGCCCGTGGCAGCACTGCTGTGGCCGAAGATTCCGCGACTCCGGAGGCCGCAACTGCCAAGGCGGAAGCAGACGACGAGGCTACTGAGGCGACAGCAGCCGGCACCGTTGCGACGGGCGCTGCTGCTGCGGCAATACCACCCCAGCCGTCTACGCCAGTGTCGGAGCCGAAATTAAGGAGTGCGCTGCGCAGAACCTCGAGCTATTCGTCGTCGCGCTCTTCCACGCGCTCAAACACACCCACTTTTAATATGCCCACAAACGCCGACAGCCCGTCGGACACTCGCCACGTGCGATTTTCGTTCAACGGCGAAGAGGTGCTCCCGACGTCGTCACCACCAAGGGACCACGAGCAGGATCTGTCGTGGTTGATGCACGACGACCGGAGTGGCCAAGGCGCGGGGCATTCAATGAGTGTATATGACTACAGTCGCCATTACCAAAATGCAGCGGCCGGTTCAAACGCGTTTTCAAGTGGACTGGGCTCTGCGCATGGGAGTTTGGGGTTGGGCGCGACAGCCCTGTCAACGCCCCTGTCTCATTCGTCGCTACCTGGAAACGAGGCTGAGACAGGAGCCGCTGGACCAGCTTTTGAATCGGCATCCTCTTCAGCGCTGTCAGCAGGTGACCAAACAACGCCACCTTCCCAAGGATTTGGCGCGCAATCAGAAAACGAGTCACACCCAGGTGACAACGCTTCTTCTTATTCTTCTGTTTCGTCCCCATTTTCCTCTTCTTCCACTTCCCACCAACCACCGACTTCGCCGCCACAACCACGTCGCCGCCACAGCCAGATCCTTGATGACGACGAAGAAGAGTTTGTGCCGCTGTCGCGCAAGGTGTCTTCCTCTGACCGCCTGCGCGCTCTCTCCAAAATGTCCCTCGAAGACCCGGCCAGCTGGACCGTCGTTGATCCGCAGGCGGATGCCGCTGCGGCTGAGGCTGCCGCGGCCGCGGCTGCCGCCGGCAGTAACTCGGCGGGCAGCAGTGCGCACGCATCCGACGCCGAACTCTCTGCGGCCACCGAAGCCAACCGCACTCTAGCGTACCGACCGGCGGAATTACAGCGCGAACAAGCGCCGTCACCACCGACAGTGGAACAGCGCGAGTACGCCCCAAGCTCCAGCTATGGCAATGGCGCTGGTGCCCACAACAGGTACAACAGCTACAACGGCTACAACAGCGAGTCCAGCAGCGACGGCGACGATGGATTTATCGCTATGCGCGCGTCGCGCGGAAAGACGGCGCGGCCGCTCGCTCCGGCCGCGTCGACAGCACCAGCATCGACTACGACAGCCAATGGCACGGCACCGGAGAGTAGTCGCGGCAACAGTACTCGTCCGAGGCATAGCACGTCGCCGAACGAGGCCGTTCAAGTCACGTACGCTGCTCCCAACGGTGCTAGTCGTAAAAACGCGGTTGCTGCAGAAGACGACGACTTTTTTGGCTTCGAACCGGACGACGTGAACGGCGAAGACGACGACGGTGCTGTAGGCTATCCACTGGCTCGCGTGACGGACGTCAACACCCGCTTTGGCGAGGAGGAGGAAGACGAGGATGCGGAAGACGAGCGTGCGGAAGACGAGGAGGCCAACGATGATGGCACCGTGGAGCACCAAGGTGACGATGCGCCCGTTGTTAACGACAAGGATCTCGTCCAAGCAGAAAAAACTGCGCTTGGCATCGGCACCGACGGCCTCGACTCCAACCATCTCGCCTTCAACCGGTCCAAGCCGATCGCTAACCGCGACGGTGGGGATGGCGAGTCCGCACTCGCGTCGTCCCTGTCGGCAGCCCGGCGGAATGGCCAGCTGGACGGCGAATCGGGACCAGAGCCGCCGTCATCCCCAGGCCCTGCGCCCATCTCCGTTGGATCGTATCGCGGCAAGCCCATCGACCTTTTCAATGTCGTCAAGGATCCCCGCGTCCTGCAACAGGCTGCCCAAATGGGTGCCCTCAACTCCATTTACGGCAGCATCCACGACCACGAGCCTCATGCACCCGCTAACATGGCCGAGTTCTCGAGCCTGAGCGGCCGCGAGCAGCTCAACCTCTTGTCCGGTACACCGCGCAGCCTGACGGAGCGCATGATTATGGACGACACGCGTGCCATTTTCTCGCCGCCCAAGCGTTGAGCTTCAGCCTCTGCACTCTCCTAATACCACCGTTGATGTCGTCTCACCCTGTATCCATTTTCTGTTCTATTCCCTAGCTATTTTTTGTGTCATATATTTCTCTATATATAATATGGTCGGGGAGTGATTGTCGCTGGGAATTCGAGGTCAATATAAGGTGGTCATTGGTATTGGTTATCGGTCATCAAGGCAGTTTTAATCCATTCTAGATATCATGTTTCTTGCATTTTTATCTTGTTTCATCATTGATCTTCTGCTGTGCTTTCATATCCTTCTACTTTATGTCCATCCGCACCTTCCTTGTTTTTTTTTTGCCATATTCTTTCCTCGTTACGATCGTTTAGCTTAGAGGAGAGAACAAGCAAGAGCAGAAATAGAGGCGACCAAGAATACAACGGCCAGAGGGAGAGTAAGCTCTGATGGTGTTTTCAAGTACGATTAAACCCCGTACCACGTTGGTAGTGATCAGGCCGCTGAGTTCTTTTGTATTTTGAACGTCTTATGTGTAAGATGCCTTTTTGCTGTTTGTCACTATGACTAGCAAGTCTTTCAGATGCCACATTTGCTCCTTCCCTGCGGCCTGTATTTGTAGTGTATTTTGATGGTGTGCAGTGTGTGGGCCCAGACGCAAGTATGAGTCAAACGACAACCGAATAGGGAAGTCGCGATCCGACGCCTTGTCCCGCCCTGCATTCCATGCTGAGTATTTTAACTGACTCCCACCCCACTAGGCAGCACCAGGTTAAGTGGAGATTTGCCGCCTGCCGCCCTGTCTCTTTCCCTTGTCTCCATGCACAAGCACCTGTACCACAGCAAGGGCTGCGATTCGCCCAAGCGATAGTCCGCGCTAAAGCACTGGCAGAGGCCAGACGAGGCAAGAAGCCCTTGATGGCCCTTGTCCCTCCCTTCACCAGCGCGCATACCAATCAGATTTATCCCTCCCTTGGTCGGTCGTGCCTTCCCGCCTCAACTGACTATTACTGGTGCCAGTTTAACCGCCACCACTTTACAACGCCTTCCTCCACAGCTCCAAAGCACATCGTCTTCTTTCCTTTCCACTCGACTATTAGGTCGCTTCTCCTGCCATTTCGCCTTTATTGCAGAGCATTGCATCGCCTCGACTCTTTCTTCTCCTTTCTCTTTCCCCCTTCCTTTCTTCTCCGTTCCATACCGCACCCACCAACATCACTACTTTACAACCATTCGTTCTGGTCGAGGCCTCTCGTATCGTCGATATCGGCCAACGCTCGTCTCTCGGTAGTCTCAACGTCGCTCTTTACGCTGGCGACGCCAACCCGACCAACGCCGGACGCCGACGAATCCCACCTCGCCGCCCTCGTCGAGAGTGTTTCGCCTGGTGACGTTCTTTTTGATCCGAGCCGCACAACGACCACCATTGTAACATCCATCCCCTCATCGACGACCACATCTCCTGTTGGAGGTGCTGCCACGTACGGATCAGACCGGTACCGTGACGAAGACGACGACGACGACATCTCGGACGACGACGACATTGTGGGCTCAACTAGCAGCTACCTTGCAAACGTATACCGCAAACCCGCCGTCCCTCAGACCAGCACCTTTGGCCTTCCCAGCCAACCCCCTGCAGTGCCCCATTTTCGCACATATCCGACCGCCACCGGAGTGGAAGAATACACAGCCGAAGCAAACTACGTCAAGATGGATGGCAAACGCCAACTGAACTCGTTCCAGCAGCTGGAGAAGCTGGGCGAAGGTACCTATGCTACAGTATGTTCTCTCTTGGCTGTGTTTTTCATTGCTATATCGGCTTGCGACCTAACCCCTCGCCTTCCAGGTCTTTAAAGGTCGAAACCGCCATACCGGCGAGTTTGTCGCGCTCAAGGAAATACATCTCGACTCCGAGGAGGGAACGCCGTCGACTGCTATCCGCGAGATTTCGCTCATGAAGGAGCTGAAGCACGAGAACATTGTTGCGCTGCACGATGTCATTCACACCGAGAGCAAGCTGATGCTTGTGTTCGAGTACATGGACGGTGACTTGAAAAAGTACATGGACACCAACGGCGAGCGCGGTGCCCTGAAGCCGATGCTTATCAAGTCCTTCATGTACCAACTACTCAAGGGCATCGACTTCTGCCACCAGAACCGTGTCCTCCACCGCGACCTGAAGCCCCAGAACTTGCTCATCAACGGCAAGGGCCAGCTGAAGCTTGGCGACTTCGGTCTCGCCCGCGCCTTTGGCATCCCTGTCAACACCTTCTCGAACGAGGTCGTCACCCTCTGGTACCGCGCGCCCGATGTCCTGCTGGGCAGCCGCACGTACAACACGAGCATTGACATTTGGTCCGTGGGCTGCATCATGGCCGAGATGTATACCGGCCGCCCACTGTTCCCGGGTACCACCAACGAAGACCAGATGCTGCGCATCTTCCGAATCATGGGAACACCCACCGAGCACAACTGGCCCGGCATCAGCCAGTTCCCCGAGTACAAGGCCACTGCGCCGCGCTATGCCACGCAGGACTTGCGCCAGATCCTCCCGCAGATTGATGCTACGGGTATCGATCTGCTGCAGCGTCTGCTGCAGCTGCGTCCCGAGCTCCGCATCAGCGCACATGACGCTCTCCAGCACCCTTGGTTCCACGATATCCTGCAGCACCAGCACAGCCAGCAAGCCGCCGTACAGCAGCAGCAGCAGCAGCAGGTCGCTGCCACCGCTCAACAGGCTGCCGCGTTGCAGGGCCAAGGGCGCAGCGCGTTCCAGCCTGCGGCTGTTGCGGCGCAAGGCGGGTACGAGGGATATTAGAGTGACCTCTCAAATTATAAAAAGGCGATGATTGGCATCCCAACTGCGTTGCCTCATCTGACAGCAGCACTCGACCCCAAAACCCTGGGCTACAAGGTGCATAATGCTAGGTTGTTTCCAAAGATACGACAACAACAAGCCGGCGTATTACAATTTAGCCAGGACACTCTGACAACGTTATTGCACCATGGCCACCCACAACTTCCTAACCCATCTTACGGCTATGACAACCGACACGGCTCTGTTCCACCTACATCATATTACAATAATAGCTTTGCGGAAAGCGCTACTTTTCCCAGAATGCAACAGCCGGCGTGTCCCACCCATATAGAACATCAAGCAACATTTTTACATCCAGGAGGCACCATGCCTCAGCAAGCTGCCCACCATTTCCAACCATCGGCTTAGTCAGCCTTTCAGCAACCCAGACGTCAACATCATCATGGTCAAGAAAAGAACGATCGACACGCGAAGGGCCTACGAAACAGATATCATTACAGCAACTGGCCAAACAACATTGGGAGAGAATCGCTCCAGGCGAATTCACGAAGCCGTCCAAGAAACATGCCAGTGAACCTCCAGGTCTCACAACCATCTGCGGATCAACAGGAATCCCGACCATTGGGCCAATCTAGCTCCACGAGTGCGGTAGCCTCTTACCACCGTTCACAAAGGCAAGGCACAGCATCCGAAGCACAAGTGGCCGCCTATCGCACTTACACCCTGGGAGTACCCACTGAAGTTTTACTGGCCTGGCCTTTCGACACACCTCCGCATCCCCAGCAACACGCTGCCTCGGCCTCGAGGTCGGGATCGTTTCCTCCGACAAATGCCAGCACCTCTGGCTTCGCAACTCTCCCGCTTCGCCCGAAACACTCTTCCTCAAAGCTTAATCCTAAAGCAAAACCGTTCACGTTCAAGAGAAAGCCATGACACCTGGTCGTTTGCCCCCGCCTGCAGAGTTCGCCAATATTCCTCGGAAGATAACCCCAATATTTACGTTTGTCGTTGCTTTTAAAGTTTTGCCGTTCGTGCTTGTGCGTACGGAGTCCTATTTTCTACTGTGCCAGCATTCGTTTGTTTATATTTACTGTTTTTGTGTATGAAGAGGTGTGGGATACAATCGAGGTGGCATGTTTAATAGACGGCACGAATGGGGTTTATGTCAAACATGACGGATACCATGCATCTCTAGTTCTTGTCTCTCTCTTTTTTGTTTTCTTTCTGTTTTCCACTATATTTGTACCTTGATAGATCCATCAATTAAAAGCGTACCATCGGCAACAAAACGTCTATTCAACGGACTGACTGACATGTACAAGCTGTATTGGGCAAGCTTTTTTTTGCAAATTGATGTATTTCTTACTTTTGTTGGTAACTCTCGTGTCGTTTTGGTCTAAAATATTGATATCAAACTCCGTTTTGCACATTGGTATGACTTTTGCCAAGTCCTCCGTGAAAATGGCCTACTCAACCATACTATTTTCCTTATACCGGGCCCTCGCCACCGGGAACCAGCTATATTCATAGTTAGATTGGATGCCATCTCCATGTCTTGTAAAACATGAGCCTTCAACGGCTGCCAAGGTCGACGTACCATGCATATGTTGTTGCCGTTTAGCAGGATCTTAGCCAGCTTCGTCTGCTCGCCCGAGTAGTCACTAAATAAGGTGTGTCAGAAGGTGAGTAACGATTGAAGCAAATCAGCGCCTTCTTCCGTCATAGACGTACAATTCTGTTACGTCCTCGAGGACCATGTCTAGAGTTGCGTGGTTAGCTTGACGGGCCAGCCTTCGACACAAACACACCTGGCAAGAATAGCACAGTATACTTACTGACGTAGTCGTCAAAACCGACAAGCGTGCCGCTGAATTCTGTAGGAAAGTGTCAGTCTGCTATAGCTTCGTGTCGCATCTGTATGAGAATAGAACCTACCGCGCTCGCCCTTCATGACGACCCATATCCGCGAGCCGACGCACTTGTCGATGAGTTCTGTGATATGTTAGCTGCCAGTCTATACGAATCAGTGCGCGCCGTACACCCGCGCTCGCGTTGTTGCTGTCCTGAGAAAAGGGAGGGAGATGAGATGAGATGACGGACCGAGAGGGAGGAGTTGCGACGCCATGGTTGCGGCAGTCTGTGTTCGTAAAGGAGAGCGTGCGATGCTGCGAGTATATGTATCTCAAAAAGAAGAAGCAGGATACTTATTATTACGCGGGCGTGTACGAATCGTCGTCGGCGTCCGTTTTGCGCTGTGGTTTGATGAAGCTCTGGTTCCAACGATCGATGTCGCTGTCGCGCCTGCCAAAACTGCCCCTCTGTCCAATCGCGCGCCGCTCACTCACCGCAAAAAAGTGGGCCGCAAACTGGCTCGTGGGCTTGCCTCACAAAGCGGCAGCGACGAAGGGCTTCACAAAAACATGAAAACGAGACAGAATGCACGAAACAACTAAATTGTCGTCCTTGTAGTGCCAAAAAAAAAAATTCGAGAATGACATGAAACAAATTCTTTGACGGTTGCCAGCCATTCCCGACCGTTGGCAAAAATGGAAAAAAGAGCCAAAAAATAAAATATTCAGAGGACCTGAGGGTGATCGAAACCCTGACCTAGGGATCTGCAATCCCTCGCTCTACCACTGAGCTACACGTCCATGAACAAATGATTTTTGTTGGAGGTCATGATTACTATCGGACTTTATAATGGCAGGTGCTAGGGCATTGCCACCAACAGCCAATCTAGGGGCTTTCGAGAATAGAATAGGCAGGAGCTGCTTGCAGCGCCAACCTCACACGCTTGTCACTTGTGTTTGGTGTATGTCTGTGCATTGTTTTGAATACACTTCTTTCGTATTTGCTTTCGTGTTTAGAAACATGTGCAATTTTCCATTTTGCTGCTATATAAGTACCTTCTGGTGTTCTTTGCCCATTATCCGTGGCTGCCTTCACAACGGATCGCTCCTACCCTGTCAAGTCGGCTGCGTGAGCTTTCCCCACACACACTTATTGCCAACCAGCCTCCTGGCAACAACACATCTCCCGCCATGCAACTCTTCCACTGAAACGCACAACACTCCGAGACTCCATCACACCATTTCGGTACCTCGACTGCCTAGATCTGCATTGTCCTCCCTGGTTGCTGGAAAACAGTCGTACTCTCGAGCATGCAGCAGCTAGTCACTTGCTGTCCGTACTTCAATCCCACCGCCATCTGTGGAGCTGCCTCCGGCGGGATATAAGATCTACTCTCGCACTCCCTCTGGACTCTCGTCGACTCACTTCCCATCCGCCCAGTCTCGTTTCTCTCCCCATATCTCCGTCTCACTCCCCATGGGCAAGCATGGCACCGTGATCTTGCGACGCGTCGACAAGCCGGTTCCCAAGACAGTTGCGCCAACTTCGAGCCGCGTTCTGTCTCTCTCTACGCGACAGTTGCCCCCGGCCCTGACGATGGGCTCGCCAAGTACGCCCAATAAAGGCGCAGCGCCGATGCCGCCCAATTGGAGCTTATGGCGGCCCGACAACGGCATCGTTTTCGGCGCTTCGAATGGCGTATCGACCGTGGTGACGGCCTCGGGGACGGCTACAACTGCAGCTGCAACGGCAACAGTGACTGCGACCGCTCCTGTGTCGGCAACAACTCAGACACAGACCAAGTCGTCCGCCGCAGCCACAGCTTCGGTTTCGACAACACCTCGTAAGCTTGTACCTCGAGTGGCCGCATCACCGCTTGCGCAGCAGTCACCACGGCGAGCGGTTGCTTTTGCGCAGCAGGCCACGACCCATTTTGTACATACGACCATGCCGATACGGTTTAGCCCCAAGCAGGTGATACACAGCATGGCGCAAAGGGCAGACGTGTTTGAGGATAAGCTTAGTAGGGAGACTATCGGCGACACAAAAAACGGGACCAAAACAAAAGAACAAACGGGGGCAAGGGAGACAGTAACGACCGAGACTGAAAAGGCAGCAGAGGCAGCAGAAGCAACAGAAGCAACAGAAGCAGATGCAGCACCAGAAACGTCACCGGAAACAAATTTAGACTACAAGATCCCCGACGACCTGTTTCGCGCTGCCCGCGATGCACCAGAAGGCAGTCCAGAGTCCTACTGGTCGTACGCGCTGTATCGAAATATTCAGACCGATAAGAAGGCCGACGACAAAGACGACAACAGTGACGATGCTGCCACCAACCCAGCCAAAAAAAGTCCCACAACCGTGAAGGTGCATTATTGCAAGAGCAAGCTCACAACAGAGCGTGTGTGTCAAGAGTACTTTTTAGACGAGCCCCTTCTGGGCTTCGATCTCGAGTGGATGCCAAACGCTACGCGGTGGGATAGCGCCCGCCGTAACGTGTGCCTCGTGCAGCTCGCCAGTCCCAGTCGCATCGGTCTTTTTCACCTGTCGCTGTACCCAGCCAAGGACGACCTAATGGCGCCTACGCTGCGCCGCATCCTCGAGGACGCAAGCTCCATCAAGGCAGGCGTCTGTATCCGGGGCGACGCGACACGCATGCGCAAGTTTTTGAATGTTGACATGCGCGGCGTCATGGAGCTCAGCCACCTGCATAAGCTCGTTACGTACTCGAAATCGGGGGAGACCAGTCTCATCAACAAGAAACTGGTCTCGCTGTCATTTCAAGTGCAACAGCATCTGCGCCTGCCCATGTTTAAGGGCCAGGACGTGCGGGCCAGCGACTGGTCTAAACCGCTGCAGATGGACCAGATTATCTGTAAGTCGACGAAAACACACACATTTCTTATATTCCGTTGTTTCCTATCCTAACAATTTAGACTCCGCTTCCGATGCATATGCAGCAGTTCAAATTTTCTCCGTCTTGGAAATGCAGAGAGAGAGTCTCGACCCGAAGCCACCACGGCCGGCCTTTGCTGAACTGAACCTGCCGATTAAGCTCGCCGGTGGCGTTGTGGCCTCACCGGCTGCGGCTGAAGAGACAAGCGAAGAAGCGGCTGACGACCTGGCCGAAGAGCCGGCCGTAGATGGCGACGTTGGCGTATCGCCGGCACAGTTATCACCCGAATATTTGGACAAGGCCAAAACGACGATTGAGTTCGAGGCCGAGGAAGACAAGCCGGCAAGTCCTGCCACACCAGGCAAGACCCGGACCGCAAGTGCATCTTCGTCGTCGGATACACCAAAGACCCTCAAGACTCCCAAGGCTCCTGGGATGCCCAAAAGCCCGGCGACGCCATCCAAGCCCAAGGACGCGCGCATCGTCGCAGCTGAAGAGTGGATCGATCGTTATCGTGCCACGGCCTGCAGCAACGGGCGAACTGTGCGCGCGCGGCCGGCATCGCTGCGTGCCTACCATCTGTGGTACGGTAACAACGAACTGGATCCCGTGACGCTGGCTGCCCTGCTGCGCGACCCGCCGTTGCAGACCAATACCGTCGTCTCCTATATCCTCGACGCCGTGCAGCTCGAGTCGCTGCCGTACGTCAAGACACGATTACGGGATGAGCTACTGGAACACATGCCGCGCGACTTTCTGATGAAGAAGTATTCGGGCCTTGCACGCTCCAGCGGTTACACAGCCAGTCCCGCCAGCGCCTCAGCTTCGACCGGCTTCCGAAAAATGTGATACATATACCCAATTTATGGCAAACGTCGCATAAGAAATAAGAGGCATATTTATTTTCAAAAAAAATCTATGATCAAAACTCCTAAACAGCAATGAATATGAAAACTCCCAATTTTGCAGATGAAGAAACCATGCACAGATACAAAACAAATAACTTTTGCCCCATATCATCTTACTACGCCACAACGTCGCGTCCCCGGTTGACCTGCACCCGCTTGTCTTCGCCACCGCTGACAATGCCCCAGGTCTTATCCCAGGCAACGTCAAAGACCTTGACACCCTCGCCGGCCAGCGGCCGCCGTTTGCCCTCGCGGCCCTCACGATCGATGACGTAGACAGCCTCGCTGACGGACGTGAGATTGGATGTGCCGGCGCTCTCGCCATTGCTCGGCGCTGCGGCCGCGTCGTCGTCGACAGCCTTGCGGCTGCTCCGCAGATCCCAGACGCGGCACGTGCCGTCGTGCGACGCGGACACCAGTGAGTACTCGTTGTCCGGTGCCGCTGCCAGTGCCACTACCTTGTTCACGTGCCCTCGCAGCGTCATTACAGCCGTCGTGGCCACAGATGCGCGCGGGTCCACGAGCACAACGTTGCGCGCCGCATTACCAGCAGCCAGAAGGCGGCCGCTGCCGCTGCCGCCCGACGAGGACTTGGAGCCTACGGCACACAGAGACAGCAGTGCGTGCGACGTGGCCACAGTGCTGACCACCTGGCCCGTCGTTAAGTCAAGCGTGCACAGTGCATGGTCCTGGCCGGCCGAGTAGGCGACAGTGCGGTCACGCGGGTCAAAGATGGCGGCCGTGGCAGCGGCGTTCTTATGCGCCTGGATCAGCGTCAGGGCGCCGCGGCGAGGGACGTCCGAGGTCGCACCCGACGCCGATGAGATCTTGCGCTTCTTGTTGGTGGCAGCCGCCGCGCTGCCGGCACCGGGCAGTAGCGACTCGGGGGCCGCAGGGGCAGACGACTTGGAAATGGACCACAGACCGACGCCGCCGTCCACGGACGCAGAAAGCACGCGCTTGGATGCGGCGTCGACGGCGAGCGAATCGACGCTGCCCTTGTGACCGTACAGCTCGAGAAGCGGCTTGAGCAGCGCAGGGGCTGCAGAAGACGAGACACCGCCGTCGTCCGCCATCACGGCATCCTCACCGCCCTCGTTGTCGTCCGCCGCGCTGTACTTCCAGATGCGAACCGTCCGATCTAGGCCCGCCGAGGCAATGTGCGTCGCCGTGACGAAGCGTGCTGCCTTGACACCCGCCGTGTGGCCGCCCTGTGCGGCACCGGTCGACGTCGTTGTTACCTGGCCGGCGGCATTCCACAGCCGCAGCAGGCCGTCGTAGGAGCCCGACAGCAGCCGGCCAGAGGCGCCAGCGACCGACGGCGAAACGTCCACAGAGCTGACCCAGTCGTCGTGCTCAAAGCTCGCCTCGAACACGGGCGGCACCAGACTGCGCACATACTGCAGAGTCACCGTCGTCTCGGACGAGATTCCATTGTCGCGCAGGTATTCCTCGAGCGTCGTGCGGAGGTAGGCGCCGTCCACGAGAAAGTCAAAAGGGACGGGCCGGTCGGTCGCCAGCATAGACTCGGAGTTGAGGATGCGCGAGAGGCCATAACGGCGGATGTCGGCGGGCACAATCAGCGGGCGCTTGGACTCGGGCAGCTGTAGGTCGGCATCCTGCTCGGTGGTCGTAAAAAAGACCTTGACCTGCGCCGAGGCGTCCTCGTCGGCCCGGTCGAACGCGGCTGCCATTTGGGGTGTGGGTGTGAAGCCGGCTTGGACGAAAACGAAGGTGTGTAAAGAGTGGTCAATTGGGCGGGAGAGGACGTGGTTGGGTCGGTGACTGGACGTGGTCAGAGTTGGCGCTGGCGGTGATGCTGAAACCGGGCGTTGTTTGACGAACGATAATTTTGCGTTTCTCTTGTTTGGCAGGAACTTTTTTTTCTTATCTTATCGGGCACTTTTTTTGGTCTTTTGGCGCCCTATTTCTTGCGTAGCTCAGCCTTGCGGTCCGCCAGGAAAGAGCGATCAACGTCCCAAACACCAGCCTTGCCCCAAACGATGCTGGAACCAATAAGCGCAGCCCCTAGAAAGGCCTGAAAACGGCCAGTTTTAGTGGCTGCCCCGGGACACTCCCGCCACTTAAGGGGTGCGCCAAAACGCGAATTCAGGCGCGTCTCATTGCCCCTCTAAAGCGCGTCCTCCAGCATCATCGTCAGTCGTCTTCACAGTCGTCGCCGTTACATCGCCACCACCACGGCAGCGAGCTTCCGTTTCTTATAGTCGACTTTAGCCAGAGAGTACACTATGGTGTCCCTTGATGCTGCCAAAAGCCTGCTAGCTGGGCCTCTGTACGTCGACCAATTCACCAGAAAAAAAAGAAAAAAAAAACCTCAAATCAAAACGTCAGGAGCTGTTCCATGTCTCGTCTGCGACTGATATACTGACCCTGCTTCTCTCTTCTCTCTCAGTGGTGATGCGCCCTTGCCCGAGCGCACCCAGACGGCATACCACCCACTACACCGCTTCCACCTCGAGAACAGCCGCCAGTACCAGCAGCAGTTTGCCGACATGTACTTCTTGCGCCTCGCCAAGATCAAACCGGCCGTCGACAAGGTTGCCACCGAGGCCTTTAGCGACGTCGTCGTCGGCGGCACGCACGCCAAGAAGGTCGAACGTGTGCTGGACGTTCGGCAGGGCGAGCTTTGCTGGGTCTCAGGTACCGTCTACATGGACATGCCCTTTAAGCCGAGCATCCTCGAAGATGTGTCCAAGGACAAGTTGCTGTCGAAGCCGTCCGCTGTGAAAAAGTACGTCCCCGAGGACGACGACGACGTTCTGGCCGAGGGCCGCGGCAGCGTCGCTCTCATGCTCGAGGACGACTCGGGCCGCATCCGCCTCGTCGGCCGCCCGCTCCGTTCTGTGCTCCTCGTGACCGGCTGCATTATCGCCGTCATGGGCACCGAGAACGAAGATGGCGAACTCGAGGTCATTGACATTATGTTCCCGGACCTACCGCCACAGCCCGAGCGCTGGGAGCTGTCGACGCCAGTTGCAGACGCTACGGGAGAGGGTCCACCGGCAAAACGGCCCAAGGTCGAAGGCAACGCCGGTAAGAACGGCGCCCCTGACGATGTCGATATGGACGGCACAGTTGAGAATGCAGGGAGCAGGCGTGGCGGCGGGAAGAAGGTTGCGATTGTGTCTGGCCTCAACTTCTCGGGCCCCCACAGTGCGTCCGCGGTCGAGACATCACTCCTGCTCGAATACCTCCTGGGCGAGGCGCTGGCGCCCGATTCGCAGCAGGAGGTCTCACACATCAGCCGGTTAATCATTGCAGGCAACTCCATTGCCGCAGCGGAAGACCCGGAGGACCAGAAGGCGGCTGCCCCGGCAGCCACGACAACAACAGGCGACGCGGCCGGCGGTCAAGCACAGCAAAAGAAATACGGCTATGACAGCAGCAGCTACAACCCTGTGCCCAGTGCGCTTCTCGATGAGTTTCTGGCCGAACTACTGCCGTCCATACCCGTGACGCTGATGCCGGGCATGAACGACCCGGCCAACTCTAGCATCCCGCAGCAGCCCATCCATCCGGCCATGTTCCCGCACGCCCGCTTATACACATCGCCCAAGGCACAGACACCACCTGCCTCCGCAGCATCCCAGACCAGCTGGTTCGACACCGTCACCAACCCCTGGGAGGGCGAGGTCGAGGGCTGGCGCGTCCTCGGCACCAGTGGCCAGACCATTGACGACATCCACAAGTACGTTCAGGGCAACGACCGCCTCAGCATGATGGAGGCCACCTGTCGTTGGCGCTGCGCCGCACCCACCGCCCCAGACACACTCTGGAGCTACCCGTACCAGGAGGACGACCCGTTTGTCCTCGACACATGCCCCCACCTCTACTTTGCCGGCTCACAGCCCGCGTTTGGCACCCGCATCATCACCGGGACGGACGGTCAGATGGTGCGCCTCGTTGCCGTGCCCGTCTTTTCTGAGACTCACGAGGTCGTTCTGCTCGACACGGAAACGTTGGAGGTGACATGCGTAAAGATCGAGCGGCAATAGCGGAGTGTGCGCTTGTTGGGAGAAGCACCGGGCTATGAGCGTTTGGTTCATTTTGCGTCTTTTGCTGGTTCATTTACGAATGGGCGATGGTCCCTGGTGTGCGCGGAACTGCATGGCTTGTTATATAAAACAAAACAAAAATGTATGCACGAATCATTCGAAAGTCAGAAATAGATGCGAAGCGATGCCAAGATTGTGTACACGTATTAATGTCTTTTATCAGTATTGTTGTATCGTTCATTAGGGCGTGTTTTATTCTTTGAATGCTCGAAAACAAAAATTGTTAACTGTTGTCTGTCGGACTTATTTGATATACATTTATTTATTTTATATAATTTGTAATGTGTACTCCCATAAGACAACAGAATATAAGTTGCTGGTCGGTGAGCATAGACAACGGCTCTAGGTGCTGCATAATTACATATATGGACACTGATATTGCCTCTATCGTAGTTTCTTTACTTGGCATGTTGTGTACCTTCTTGAAGTTACACTCGTTTTCCGATGGGCAACTCTTGGGTCGTGCTTTCCTCGATTACGGCCCGTCATCCCAGCCTACTTGCCCCTTTTTCTCAACCAACAAACTTGTTTCTGTCTGTTTCTTCCTTCGTCCTCAACCGAAATATCACAAGCCACGATCAGGACCAGATACCTGCTTCCGAGGCTTTTTCTCGTGCACCCCGCATTGGAAACTTACGGATCGCCTTTCAGGGAGATCCGGCCGATGCCATGTCGGATTTCTCCGTCGATCCACACCCGTTGCGTCACATCAGATTGGTCGCCAAAAGTGACGAAGGCCTTAATCAACAACGATTTTGCTTCTCGCCAGTCACAGAATTGGCCTGTGTATTCGAAGTCATTTACGAAACTGTGTCTCTCACAAACGTGCAGAACGTCTAGCAAGAAAAGCTAAGGAAGGCACATGCTTTGGATAACGTCTAACGAGCCTCGAAAACAACGTCACATAGTCAGAAGACCAAACAACGTAAAGGAACGACCATCGTCCCCGCCAAGACAGTGACGGGAGACGTCGCAATGAGGAAAGCTGGCAGATATGCTGCTGAAGCTAGTTGTCGTTCGGTTGGGCTAGGCGCGGGTTAATTGCCCTATCTGATCGCCTTACCGCCTGTGATATACCGTTGTATCGCCATAACAGGATGCCAGCCCAACAGAAAAGATAGAAAAGGCACATCGCACACGCCAATGCAACTTTGGCACGTCAATCGCGGCGCAAAAGCGTCACCAGGACCCCAGATCTGCCCAGCCTCAGCTCCTTTCTCGATCGGCTACCCTGTCTTCCTCCCGCGCTGGGGAAACATTACGATGCGTGAGTTGCCTTGGCCTTTCTTTTCCATTTTACGTACTGAGTACAACATGTCGCACGTCGCTTGTGTCGCCATGTGATCGGAGCAGTTTCTTTGAGGGTAATTAACTTTGAGCCTCCTACAATCGCAGCGGCCTGTCGGCGTTTCATTTCAGACTTTTCGTGTCTTCTGATCTCCCCAGTACCTGGTTATGGAGCACATTCGGTGCTTTGCAGCCGAGAAGATTGCGCCAATGGTTGGCAATGTCTTAGACACCGCTGAGGTCGCATAGTCGGCTGCCATATGTTTGTGTCAATGCGGTCCTCATTTCCTCTTTGGATGGGGATCTTCATCTCCTCCCGCGCAAATGACGGTAGATATCAATATGCGAAAAAACCCAAAGATAGAATGAGAGGCTTAAACAGGCTTGGTACCGCCCTGTGTGCAATCCCTGTGTGCACCGGGTGTATACGTTCAGTTTATTTTCTGAACATGGACTGAACGCTTGCGATTGCGATCACCTCAAAAACAACCTGGGATCCGGGTGCGCGACTCTGTGGCTGAATGCATACCAGTGATGCGTGCCACTTCCTGGCACATATGTTGTACGTATATATTTCATTTTCAGCCCGATTCGCTTGCTGTTTCTAATTGAAATATGGGAATGTCAGTCTTGACCACACCGCAGCTGCGGAACGCCAAAAGTTTGATTACGCCGCACCAAGATGGTGAATTCCGCCTGTCTTGCCCTCGCCGCCACTGCGGCCTGGGCGCGAACAGCGTCTGGAGCTGCCGTGCACCGACGCGACTCCGTGCCGGCCGAATATGTTGCCGCACCTTACTACCCTTCTCCACAAGGCGGGTGGACGTCCGACTGGACAAGTGCGTACGAGAAGGCCGAGGCCCTTGTGTCCTCCATGATCCTGGCTGAGAAAACAAATATCACTGCCGGCACGGGTTTCTTTATGGGTGGGTTTGAACTGAGCCCATAACCACTTTCTGTTTATGTTCTCGTACTTTCTTCGCTGGGATTTGAACGCTAACATGCCATCTAGGGTGAGTGACGGGCCTCTGCTTTACATGAATTCTAATCATTTCATGATGCTCATCGATGCTAACATCATGTCCGCAGCCCCTGCGTCGGAAACACAGGAAGCGCTCTCCGCGTCGGCTTCCCACAGCTGTGTCTCCAGGACAGTGCTCTGGGCGTTCGTTCAACAGACCATGTCACGGCTTTCCCGGCCGGCATCACGACTGGCGCGACGTGGGACAAGGATCTGATCTTGGCTCGCGCCCAGGCCATCGGCGAAGAGTTCCGTGGCAAGGGCGTCAATGTCTATCTTGGACCGACCATCGGGCCGCTCGGCCGCAAGCCACGCGGAGGGCGCAACTGGGAGTCCTTCGGAGCCGACCCCGTGCTTCAAGCCGTGGGAGGCGCCTTGACCGTCCAAGGTGTGCAGTCGAAAGGCGTCATTGCGACGGTCAAGCATTTGATCGCGTATGAGCAGGAAATGTATCGCATGTATAATGTCATCATGCCCGGCTACAGCTCGAATGTTGGTGAGTATTCGACCGAAGCCACGTCGTGCCCCATGTTTCACGAATGGGCGACCGGGGATCGCGCACAAACTGACATACCTGTGTAGACGACCGAACCCTTCATGAATTGTACCTGTGGCCTTTTGCAGAGGCCGTTCGTGCTGGTGCTGGCTCGATTATGGCAGCTTACAACGGCGTCAATGGCTCGGCATGCTCGCAAAACAGCTACCTTCTCAACAACCTCTTGAAGGATGAACTTGGGTTCCAAGGATTCGTCATGTCAGACTGGTCAGTCACTTCGCCTGCTCTTATTTTGTTGTCGCAGTCCAGCTAACAAAGTAGGCTCGGTCAAATGTCTGGCGTGGCGTCCGCATTGGCTGGTCTTGACATGGGCATGCCCGGCGATGAGATGATCCCTCTGCTTGGCACGAGCTACTTCATGTACGACCTTACGAGAGCCGCACTGAACGGGTCGGTACCCATGGACCGAATCAACGACATGGCAACCCGTGTTGTGGCGGCATGGTATCAAATGGGCCAAGACAAGGACTACCCGCCACCAAACTTCTCCTCCAACACCGATGCGGCCACGGGTCTCCTGTACCCCGGCGCTGTCTTCTCGCCCAGCGGCATTGTGAACCAGTTTGTCGACGTCCAGGGTGACCATGCGACCGTTGCGCGGCAAGTGGCCACTGATGCCATCACGCTGCTTCAAAACACGGGATCACTTCTGCCGTTGGGTGTGTCACGCCCACTGGTTGTGTTTGGCACCGATGCTGCCGTCAATCCTTCCGGTCCCAACGCATGCGGCGACCGCTCATGCGATACAGGCACGCTGGGAATGGGCTGGGGTTCCGGGACAGCCAACTACCCGTACTTTGACGACCCGATCACAGCACTGAAGAACCGGAACACTGGCGGTGTCACATACCACAACTACGGCAGCTGGCCTTGGTTTTTCCCACCCTCGCAGAGCGGCGACGAAGTCGCCGTAGTTTTCATCTCATCTGATTCGGGTGAGAACCAGTATACTGTCGAGGGCAACCACGGCGACCGCGACTCGGCGGGTTTGTCGGCCTGGCATGGTGGTGATGCGCTGGTTCAGTCTGTGGCAAAGGCATACGACAATGTGATTGTCGTTGTGCATACCGTGGGGCCGATCGTCATGGACGCATGGATCGACCTACCGTCCGTCAAATCCGTGCTCGTGGCTCATCTCCCCGGTCAAGAGGCGGGTGAATCGCTAGCCGATGTCCTGTACGGTACCGTGACGCCGAGTGGCCACCTGCCTTACTCGATCCCGAAGCAAGAGAGCGACTATCCGTCCAGCTTGGGCATCCGGGGCTTTGCGCTTGGTCAGATCCAGGACACATACTCCGAGGGTCTGTACATTGACTACCGCTATCTCATGAAAAACAACATTACACCCCGCTTTGCCTTTGGCCACGGCCTCAGCTACACCAACTTCTCGATGAGCAACGCGGCCATTTCTGTCGGCACGGCCCTGACCTCCACGCTGCCTGCCGCACGGCCGTCCAAACTTCCCACGCCGTCGTACTCATCCGCCATCCCGCCGGCATCGGAGGCAACTATGCCAGCCGGCTTCTCTACAATCTGGCGCTACCTGTACTCGTGGGTGAGTCTGTCCGACGCGCAAGCCGACATTGCGGCCTCGGCCACGTCTACGTACCCTTACCCGGCCGGCTACTCGACGACACAGAAGAACGGCCCCGCGGCTGGCGGCGCACAAGGCGGCAACCCGGCCTTGTTTGAGGTGGCATATACGGTGTCTGTGACAGTGGAGAACACGGGAAAAAGTGCTTCGGGCCGCTCGGTGGTACAAGCATATGTCCAGTTTCCGGACAGCAGCTCATACGACACACCCGTGGTGCAGCTCCGCGACTTTGCCAAGACAGACACACTGGCGCCCGGCGGCTCGGGCACGGTGAGCCTACAGCTGACGCGCAAGGACCTGAGTGTCTGGGATGTCGTGCAGCAGAACTGGCTGCTACCCGGCCTGCCAAGCGCGGAACGCTACACGATCTGGCTGGGTGAAGCGAGCGACCAGCTGCATACGGCGTGCTACACGGACACGCTAACCTGTGAGAGTGGGTTGACAGGGCCGTAGACATGTGTCCTTGACATGTGTCCTTAACAGGCGTCGTCCGCATGTGTTTTTTGTTCAAATAAAGCTCACATAAACATGTGACATGGCCAAGGCGGAATTATGGAGATGTATATTCGTTTATATTTTATACAGTAAAATTTTGGACGTTGCATTCATATGTGATGCGACTTATGCCTCGCCATTCTCGTCTCCTCCGTCTCGTAGTCATACACTGTCATTGTCATTGTCCCACTCCTCCCGTCTAGTATGCAAGCCGCTTACGGCCCTTCGTCCGCCGCCGTGCCAGCGTCTTGCGGCCGGCCTTGGTGCGTACACGGCTCAAGAAGCCGTGGCGGCGCTTCTGAATCAGGCGCGTAGCATAGGCCATCGTCGCGCGCGGGCCGCAGCGGATCTGGCTGGCGAAGCCGGCAAGGGCTGGGTGGCGGGAGATGGATGAAGGACTGACGAGGTCGGCCGTGGCGGACACATCTGATGGTAATGATGGCGCCGGGGCTGCGGCTGTGATCTGGGAGAGAATGGGCGAGCGGAAGAAGGAGACGGCAGAGGTGGAGGTCAAAGACGTTGGCCGCAGGCGAGGAAGAATAGAGAAGGAGCTGGGCTGTTAGAAAGACAGGTCGAAAACAAGAAGAAGAAATAGAAAACTAGGTGCTATAGACAAAATTCGTACCGAGTCTGAGCCGGTGCGGCTTTGGCGGCCGTGGCGACGGTGCGCGCAGCCGCGACGCCGATTGTTGGCCGTGCGGCGAACATGTTGTGAGACGAGAGAAGGCCCGGGAGTCGAGATGAGTGTGAGTCGAGTCACAAAAGGCGCCGAATTGAGAGGGACCGAATGGGTTGGCGAATCCCGGTGTCGTCGTGGCTGTGGTCGCGTGTGGGCGGTTATCGACTGAGCTCTCCAATGGCGGAACGTGAGGTTCAAGATTTTTCGCTAGCAAGACCATCGCTGGGATGTCGCCATTATGCCGCTGTGATTGGCTACGACAAGAAAAAGTGGGTACGTAGCTATCAACTGTAGTCGACTTTTGTTTAGGGGCACTCAGGGCATTTACTAGTGATTCTCGCTGTAAGTTGGTTCGAGGCACGGGCAGATGTGAATCATGTTGTTGTGCGACGTGCTTCGTACGATGTAAATCATTCCTAAACCTTTTCTGTACCAATCTTTGTTTTCTCTATCTTACAAGACAATTCCTTCACCTACTTTCTTGTGCGGTGTGGTTTGTCTTCTCATATTCTTGGTTCTCCATTACACCCTCATGTAAACAATGGCCATATCCATCGGCTGAACCTTTCCTTTCACGAAACTACAGCTCATCACGGCCCGTGGCGACGGCCCCGTCCTCCTTCGACCCCTTTGTCTCCTTGACCTCAATCTTCTCGGTCGGCTGCCAGTCCAGGGCCTTGAGGCGCTCCGACAGGATGGGATGCGAGAAGTGGTAGTTAGCAAACAGCCAGTCCGCGTCCATGGTGCTGAGGTTCTGGATCTGCAGCCGGATCAGCGAGCGGGCCAGGGCATCCTCGAAGCCGAGGCCGCGCGCAAAGTTGTCGGCCTGGAACTCGTAGCGGCGGCTCAGGACATTCATCAGCAGCTTGATGACCATGTCCATGGGGGCGAGCGCGTCCGAGAACAGCAGGAAACCAATGATGATGGGCCGCTGCGTGAAGCCAAAGTCGGCGTACAGGCTCTTGTTGTTGATAAAGACGGAGAAGAGCGCAAAGATGTAGAAAAAGTGCGCCTGCGAGATGGCAAACAGGCGTGTCGTGTGGCCCAGGCTCCAGTGACCGAGCTCGTGCGCCAGCACGGCCACGACCTCCTCGGTCTCGCTCTTCTCAATCAGCGTGTCGTAAATCACAATGTGCTTCTTCCAGGGCAGGCCGAAGAAGTAGGCATTGCTGTGGGCGCTGCGGCGGCTGCCGTCAATCACATAGAGCTCGTGCAGCGGGAACTTGAGCTTCTTGGCCAGGTCCTCGACGTCCGTCTTGAGCGGGCCCTCCTCGAGCGGCGACAGCTTGTTGAACAGGGGCAGGATGGCAATCGGGTAGATGGAAATCATAAAGACCTGCAGGCCGGCGCCAAACAGCCAGACGTAGTAGAAGAACTGGTCGCCGGTGCGGCGGATAATCGACGAGAAGGCGGCCAGAATGGGCGGGACGAGCGTGAACGTGAGCAGCTGCGTCTTGAGAATGTCCGTGACAAACACCTTGGGCGTCTGCTTGTTGAAGCCGAACTTGGCCTCGAGCACAAACGTGTGGTAGACGGAGCCGGGCAGCGACAGCAGCTGGTTGAGCAGAATCGTGGTGAGGACAAAGACGATGGATTGGGAGATTTCGCCGGAGAAGCGCGCGGGCGCAAACTGGAGCAGCAGGTGGCCCGACCACGCCCACAGCTTGGGCAGCAGGTCGAACTGGAAGAAGGCAAAGTTCTGCAGCTGGTTCCAGATGCCGTTGACGAGCTCGAACTTGGCCTTGGCGCGGCCGTACGCCTGGCTCTTGTCAAAGACCTCTTGCGAGACCTCGTGCTGCAGCACCTTGGGCGCCTTGGTGGCCTTGAGAACCTGGTACTGGCGGAGCGAGAGGAAGCCTTCGAGGAAGTACTGCGCGAGGGAGAAGCCCATAATCAGGCGCTTCCAAGGGAAGGCCGGGCGGTCGAGGAACCGGGCGAGGCGCTGTGAGACAGGGAGGGCAAGTTAGCGAGGGTACGGGGACGGAGGCCGCGGCAAAGACGACAGCGACGGCGACGTACCTGGAGGAGACCCAGCATGATGGCGGTGTTGACGATGGCGATGGGAGAGGAGGGAGGGAGAGGAAGCAAGATGAGATTGGAGCTTCCGGAGCTCTGGCGATGATGCTGACAAAAAGAGGGACAGATGAACGCAGAGACAGGAACAGAAGTAGAAGCAGACGCAGAAGCAAAAACAGAAACAGAAAAAGAAAAGCATAAACCGTGGGGTGTCTCGGAGGAGCCGCAGTGTTTCTCCTCGGGGTCTCGTCTGACGTCTGCGAGCGAGTCTCAAAGGGAGAGTCGAGTGAATGGGGGACGCAAGGCGGCGGGCCGGGCTTTAATGGCGACAAAGTAGGCAGGGGCGACCTGTTCCGTTTGCAAAGTGGCCTCCTGCCTTCAGGCGCTCTGGAAGCGCGTTTCGTTTATTCGCAGAGCTCCGCCGTGGAGCATGGCGTGGAGTGCCTCGTTATATGCATAATATGGAACGGAACTGCGGGGATCATTAGTGACACAGGGGCGCAATTGGCATGGCACACAGCACGTCGACCACTGTACCTGCGAGTTGGATAGATGCATATTACATATTAGACATTGGACGGAAATTGACCTCACCACAAGGATTGGGTATTGCTCAATTTTGCTTGATTTGTTCATTTTGAAATAAAGTGGTTTCGCAATAAGATGAACGCACTATGAGAAAGCTATATAATGTATACAAGGAGGAAAAGATAGTCATAAACGCATCCCCGTCGGGTGTCCTGCCTCCTCCCATTGTGTCCTTGCATAAGTGTCAATTTCTCGGACTGCGCATGTTGGCATTGACTCGTTCCAGCAGCTGTTGGTCCGTATCGCCTGGCTGCGGGTGCAGGTTTCTCTGGTACAAGAAAAGAGCGTTAAGTTAGCCCGTCTACTGTGCGTGTGCGTGCTTCTCGCTGGCTGGCACAAAGCTGAGCACCATGGCATGTGCTTGAGCACCTACCGCCGCCAGCCACCGGCGCAATTCCTCGCGCGTCCACGTCTCTGGAGCGCCTTTGGGGTCTTCTGTTGCCGGGAACATGTCGCCGCCCCAGATGGCCCAGATCGCGACACCGGTCACGAGCCCAGAGAATGCTGTTCTCACGTCAGTGCCGATCAAAAAAAAGGTCGAAGATACGGGGATCGCAACTTACCCAAAACAGCATTCTATTTTATGTCAGCTGGGCGAAATCGCAGTATTCATAAGATGCCTTTGCAAATACGACGTACCTTGGACCGCATGGCCTTATCCAATGCAGTCATGGTTGATCTGTTATAATCCAGTGAGATTTGTTGATTTGAGACGGCTGAGGCTCAGATTGAGGACCTCAAGTGCAATGTGTAATCTGCAGATGCTTGCCTGGTTTAAAACCAATACGACGTATACTCACAGCAACTTATATGCGACTGACACTACCTGTTCTAAACGTGGCACTTGTCTTTTGCCACCTGGTTTGATGTCGTCGTCTCTCTGTTTTCGCTTTGAGGCAGCCACTTAATAGTTAGCTCTTCCGTGTTAGTAGTCGTCACCGAGACTGAGTTGCTTGGACGAATGACATAATCACAGTCCGTGCACGGTTACTCACGTGCTTCGCCCACACAAAATACATTCGTTGAAAAAAATACAGGTGGAGCCCGCGAAAAGAGTGAAAAAATTAAGGACGGAGGGACCAGCGAAGAGACCAGGGCAAAAAAAAGTGTGCCATTTTGCTTCGCAGCCCCACGACGCATCGACCCAAGTTTGAACATCACCAAATCACTCTTCTACGCTTCAACAACCCCTTTTCAATCCACCACCAACGCCCCAAAAAATCAGCCAAAATGCCGCGCGAAGTTGGAGACATCAAGCAGGTGTGTAGCTCTGGAGCGAGCCCCAGCCAGGAGACTCAATTGGGGCGAATGCGACGAAAGTGCAGTCCAAATGCTGACATTGTTTCTTTACCAGTTCATCGAGATCTGCCGGCGTGAGGATGCATCCGGTGAGTAGCCTATGGCAATATCCGCTAAGAGAGCGACCAAACGACGAACAACGGACAAACGACGAGGATAGAAGCGTATCTAACACCAACTGCAGACGCCCGGATCAAGAAGTCCAAGAAGACCAGCCTGACCAAGTTCAAGGTCCGGTGCCGGCGCAACCTGTACACCCTGGTTCTCAAGGACTCTGACAAGGCCGACAAGCTGAAGCAGAGCCTGCCCCCTAGTATGTCCGCCTCGACAAGGACCAAAATCGTGACTCGGCACGAACAACTGCTAACCGCATAGACCTGACCTGCACCGAGGTCAGCAAGAAGAACAAGAAGACGGCATAAATAGGTGTCCCGCACGGCGCGCGCGAGAATAGGGCAACTTGGGGGACAGTATACACAATCACATGTTGTACTAGAACAACCAGAAGAACACGAAAAGGAATTCAAAAAATTTCAAAACAGCCATTGTTGGCCTCCGTCTCCGATATAGCGAAGCGAAACAGCGAAGCACAACGAAAAGGGAATGGGAATCTAAGGATCACCTGCTGGCCGGTCATTGACTTCCAGCATCGCGATGGCGTTTTTTTATTGATTTTTCAAAATTAAGGGAAAAGAGATTCATTACTTCCAATGCAATTGTCCCTGTTGACTTTTCAATGCGCCTGGCATATGCAGCCAGTGATCACCGACGATGTCGATAACAGCCAAAACGAACAGCACAGCACGGACGACATCAAAGTCAAGAAGTTGGCTTGGGCCAGGAGGGGTACATTTGACATTTCTGACCTTATTTGAATCCCGGCCACCATCTACAACAGCCGTCGGTCGTGGCGCGACTCCCGGCCTTCGAGCAGGCTCGTAAACGCCGTCAACTTGGGGCCAATGTCCGTGTCGGCAATCGCAAAGTGCATCTTTCGGCTCTCCCACCCAGCCACCAGCACATACTCCTCTTTGTCCTCGCTTGATGCAGCGTCCTTTTCCTAGTCCACCCGCCACGCACCACACACTGTGTTCGGCGCGGTGCGTAGCCCTTGTAGGCGTTGAATGTCTTTTTCAAACTCCACCTTCTTGCCTGCCGTCACGGACATATGTGTAACACTATCACGGGGCTGTGTAGCACGTATGGTGTGCCAGCGATAAATACGCTGAACCTGTAGTTGGTCAATGTGTGATGAATTCTGTGTCCTCCTATTTTGTTGTTTACGAAATCAACTATGCGGTCTCCTTTAAACGAATTGCAATTGCAACGCAGGGCTTGGAGCAGTAGAGGTCTCATGAGCACTGCGAGAAAATGACACGCCCAGAAAATGAAGCCCGCGCCTAGGGCGTATTAGAGACCATGACATGCAGATGTCGGATGTTGTCCAGAAAACAAGCAGCACATATTCTCCACTGCAGTCGACGAAGCAGGAACATTATCGTATGTGTTGATGTGAAGATAATCATAGAACTGGAAATTGAATCGCACAACTTTTCGTCGGTTTAATAAGGGAGCAGATGTCCCAGAATATTGCCGTCCTCAGCTTCATTCAGTTCATTGAAATTGGACGCCGTCAAGACCGGATCTTTTGAGCAACCCCGGCATTGCAGGGCCTCTGTGTCACGCACACACTCCGCTGTCCTGGTCTCATGTCGCGACTATTGTGCAGCACCACAGCCTTATGCTGCCGTACTGTTGTGTTGTGCTGTTCATGTTGTGTTCCGTTCTAGTCCCAAGTTGCAATGCGCAGATGTCCAGATCGCGTGGCAATTGGCTGATCTTCAAGACTTTCCAGCAACCTGGACGGTATGCGGGACGCGCAGTGGAGCACAACTGCCAGGCTTGTGTCGTAATAGCGCAGGGCAACTACGGGGCGCCAGCAAACAGACAAGTCGCACGGAGGACGGCACGTAGCCGATGGGGTCTGCGAAGGTCGGCTGAACTGGGCTGACACTGCATGCCCCTTCCATTTTGGGGCGTTCCCCTGACGGGCGCGATTTAAGGCAACCTCGAATAACGAGATTACCAAATGGCCACCAATGGGAAACTACGAATGAGACTCACACAACCAGGCAGATGAATTAATCGGGCGCGGGACGGCAGGAGCAATGTAAGGGACAACAGAAGTAGCAAACGAGAAGGGCCTATCGAGTCGAAGCAATTGTTGGGGAAACAGCGACCGTGCATCCCCTTTCCCACGGTAGTAAACAACTCGAGCGGAGAGGAACGTCATTACTTAGACCACACTAGAGCTCTGTTTTCTCTGCCCCCCTGGCCTTCGTGGCTTCCATTTGAGGTTCCCACTCTTTCTGTGTTCCTTCCGCAGCTTGACCACTGCTCCTGCCCCTTGTCGCATTTCATTATCATTTTCCTACTTCGTACTCTTCTATTTTCTTTTTCTCTACCGCAACATCCTCCCCATACTCTCTACAAAAGCTCAATTCTTCCGTCTTCGTCTTCAACTTTCTGCAACCAACCAGGATACACGCACCACGACAACCCTCCCCTGAACACCGGGACGACCAGCAGCTGAACAATACGCAGCTTCCCCAACAAAATTTCTGCATCCCAGCTCCAAATTCGTTGTCGAGCATTACTCCGTTCGGCCATCCACACCAGTCCACCCGCATTATCAGCGCCTCCTCGACGCTTCGTTTCACCTAATAGTGATTGTTCCTCGTCAATCGCCCCTTGCCTTTGCCTCTAGCCGGTCAATTGGCGCGATCGACACGCCGCTCCTTAGTCTTTACCCCCGTCGACAGGCTAGAACCCTCCGCTTGCGCGCTCGCTGCCGCGCTGAGATTGCCCCTAAAACCTTTGACCTCGTGACTGCTGGTGCGCCCTGGTGCGCTCCACTGAAACCAAAAGAACGGCCTAAAAAAGAAACAAAAAGGGATGACCAGCGGCGTCCATGGGCTCAGTCGAGACGTCGACCGTCTTCGCATCGCCATGACCGCCAACGACGAGGTCGCCGCTGCCGCAGCACAAGCAGACGCAGCCAATCTACAGTTACAGGCACGCTACAGGATGAACCGTAAGGCGTCCAGCCCCATGATGCCGGCCTTTATGGTCTCGGCCCCGGGCAAGGTCATTGTCTTTGGCGAACATGCCGTCGTGCACGGCAAGGTGAGTTTCCCGGTGCTTTTTATGTCCTGTTTTTTTTGTTTTTAAAATTTTTTTGAAAGAAAGAAAATCATAACTGACGAGGACTGTCAGGCTGCCGTAGCTGCGGCTATATCGCTTCGCTCCTACCTCCTCGTGACCACCCTCTCCAAGTCGAAGCGCACCGTGACGCTCCGCTTCCCTGACATCGACATGTCCCACTCCTGGAACATCGACGAGCTGCCATGGGAAATCTTCTCCAAGCCCGGCAAGAAGAAGTTCTACTACGACCTGGTCACTAGCCTTGACAATGACCTACTCGACGCCATCCAGCCACACCTCGCCAATGTGTCGCTGTCCAAGTCCGAACACGAACGCAAGGTCCACCAGGCCTCTGCTCTTTCCTTCCTCTACCTCTTCCTGTCACTCGGCTCTCAAAAATTCCCTGGCTGCGTGTACACGCTGCGGTCAACCATTCCCATTGGCGCCGGCCTCGGCAGCAGCGGCTCTATTGCCGTCTGCATGGCTACCGCTCTCTTACTACAGCTGCGGACACTTTCTGGCCCACACCCGGACCAGCCAGCCGATGAGGCCAGGCTACAGATCGAGCGCATCAACCGCTGGGCCTTTGTTGCGGAGATGTGCATTCACGGCAATCCCTCGGGTGTCGACAACACTGTCTCGACCCAGGGCAAGGCTGTCGTGTTTCAGCGCGCCGACTACAACAAGCCCCCGTCAGTCAAATCGCTGTGGAGCTTCCCTGAGCTGCCCCTGCTGCTTGTGGACACAAAGCAGGCCAAGTCCACTAAATTCGAGGTTGCCAAGGTCGCTCGGTTGAAGCGGCAACAGCCCGTTGTCGTCGGCAACATCCTCAACGCCATAGATGCCGTTTCGCGGAGCGCCATTGCCGCGATCGAGGGCAAGGATGCCGATGCGGACGCGGACACTGGTGACAGCGACAGCGACGCCGACCAGAACGGCGCCCTGGCCGTAAAGAGCGTAGCACAAGCCAAGGATGACGAAGACGAGGAGGAGCCGGACCAGTTGAGCAAGATTGGCCAGCTGATGGCCGTCAACCATGGGCTGCTGTGCGCCCTGAATGTGTCACACCCACGGCTCGAGCGTGTCCGCGAGCTCGTCGACCACGAGGGCATTGGCTGGACAAAGCTGACCGGCGCCGGCGGTGGAGGGTGCTCCATCACGCTGATCAAACCCGGCACGCCCAAGGCCCGCGTCCTCAAGCTCGAGCAGCAGCTGGCCAAAGAGGGCTACCAGCAGTTTGTGACGACACTGGGTGGCGACGGTGTCGGCGTACTGTGGCCTGCTATTCTGCGCAACGGCATGGACGAGGACGAAGAAGGCGGCATGGAGATTGACGTTGAAAAGTTTCTCAACGCCGAGGGTAACGACGGCGTGGAGCGCTTGGTCGGCGTCGAGGGCGGCGGCGGTGAGCGGGAGGGCTGGAAATTCTGGCGCATGTAGTCATTTGACTGCGGTTGCTAGATACGCGTCCCTCCCTCCCACCCCGCATGTCCAAGTCCTCTGGAGTCTGGAAGTACATTGCTCTTTTCTACGTTTGGTTAGTTTCGTGTCGACTATGTTTTATCATCCTATTGACATTGCGGATAACAAGGCGTTTCATTGACTGTGGGAACGTTGCAGAGAAGGACGAGGAAAGAAGGACACTGAACAGGGACAAAATAATTTTGGGAGGAATTAGAGGCATGGACAAGGGTTGGAGCTGTGCTGGCAGCTGGAGCTGGAACAGTAATCGGTGTCTAAGACGACTCTCTAGAAGCTTCACCTTACGGTAAACCACATCTTAAGATATAAAATAAATAATAAACGTAATATTTGCACTACCTGCTTTGTGCAAGAGTATCCAGGAACGGAAAGCGTGTCCCTTGCCTCGTTCCTTCGAAAGATCTTCGTATTGTGGTGTCGGTAAAGACGCTGAATCAGGAAAGTGGTTGATGCACTTATAAGCATTGTTCCTTCCGTGAATGGGGTTCGGTTGGAGCTGGTGTGTGGCGCCTGCCACTTTCGCTGCCGATACATTAAAAATAGTGGGGCTGTCACTGCCAAAATCGTCTTGCACCAAACACTTCTGAACCCCTTCTCATGAACCCCACCGTTACGACTTCAACGGCAACCAGCGTTATAAGTTTACTTTTCTTCTCTAACCCTCCCAACGCACGTCCTACCGTCGACACGGGCAAACAAAGAAACGTTAAGAGGGCGACCTGGGCATACAATGCCACCGAAGGGCAAGGCCGCACCCAAGGCCAAGGAAACCGACAGTAAGACAGCTTTACCTTGGGCTATATAGTCCTGCGTCTTTCGCTCACTTTTGTGCTTCTCGTTTTGCCCTCACTTTCTTCTCGACGAGTCCTAGCTGACCATTCCAGCTTCTTCTTCTTCTTCTTCAGCACAGGCAAAACCAGCCGCACTACAGCCGCCGAAGTCTGTCGACGAACGTAGCCTCGATCGCTACTACCAAGGACGGCCGTACGCTCGGGTTAGCGACACTGCTGGCATCAGCGCCCTTTCTCCTGCCGACCGCACCGCGTGGGCCAGTTCAAAGCTCCTGGGCACCACTGCACGGAACAACGGCCGCAGCGGCCTGTCGAACAAGGCTCAGAAGGAGCTGTGGCGCCACGTCAACGAGGCCAGCCTTCCCCTCCGCACACTCCCACGTCCCTCCGCCTCGTCGCCCTCTCCGTGGGGCCGTGACAAATCGGGACGTCCCATCGGCGACTATTCCTTTGACGAATTTCGCCAGCGGACCGAGAAGCGTGTGCGCCTGACGGCCCTCGAGGTTGCACACCACGCATTTTTGGCAAAGCGCGACAACGACGCCGTACAGGTGACACCAGACGACGTCCAGGTCGAACGACAGAGACGTGCTGACATTGCCGTCTTGCGCATGGAGCTGTACGGACAGCGCACGGGTGGGGCGTATGCGCAGGACCCGAACTGGGACGATGTGGTGCCGATTGCGCTGGACGAGCCCGAGGGCGCGCTAGCGGCGATTGCATACCCCGACGCGTACGCCGAAGCCATCTCGTACCTGCGGGCGGTTATGACCAAGCCCGAGTACTCGACGCGGTGCCTGCGGTTGACGGAGCACGTCATCTCACTTAACCCGGCGCACTACACGGTGTGGCTGTACCGGTTCTCGATTGTCAACGCGCTGCAGCTGCCGGTGCAGGCAGAGATGGAGTGGCTCAACGAAGTGGCGCTCGAGAACCTCAAGAACTACCAGATCTGGCACCACCGGTTCCTCCTGGCGGAGTACTACTACCCGCAAATTGCGGGCTCGCCGGACGAGGTGACGGCGTTTGCGCGCAGCGAGATGGCGTTTCTGGCGACGATTTTGAGCGAGGACACCAAGAACTACCATGTGTGGTCCTACCGGCAGTACCTGGTGCGCAAGCTGGGGTTCTGGGTGGACGACGAGCGCAAGTCCATGGAGGCGTTCATCCAGCAGGATGTGCGCAACAACTCGGCCTGGTCGCACCGGTTCTTCCTTGTGTTCTCGGACCCCAACCACAGCAGCAACCGCAGCCAGACCGGCACGGACAAGGACCGGGACGGCGGCAAGCCGGCTAGCCTGGAGGCGACTCTGGGCGAGCTCAATATCAGCCACGACCCGGAGGTGCCGGCGGCAATTGTGGACCGCGAGATCGCCTATGCGCAGGAGCAGATACTCAGGGCGCCGCAAAACGAGAGCCCGTGGAACTACTTGCGCGGCGTGCTGATAAAGGGCGGGCGCCCGCTGGCGTCGATGGAGGAGTTTGCGCAGCAGTTTGTCAGTGGCATAGGCAGCAACGGCAGCGAAGAGACTGTCAACAGCACGCATGCCATGGACATGCTGGCGGCCGCGTACGAAGAAAAGGGCGACAAGGCACAGGCCGGTGTGTACCTGCAGCGGCTGGCCGAGAAGTGGGACCCCATCCGTGCGGGTTACTGGCAGTACCGCAAGCAGCAGCTGGCGCAGTGAAGCAAGGCACCGAGTCAACTATACAGGTCGCCTTAGGGTAGTTGTTCACATTTTGTCATGGGATGAATATGAATTTTCACTCTACGTTATATCGCTCCGCATTACTGGTTATTTGTAGGGTTGTTAATTAAGTACTATCCTTACATCGCACCGTAGGTCTAACTCCGTGTTCGCCCCAAATATTGTAATAGGAAGCGCTTTACTTTGAGACATTCTTTATGCCGTACCGCCCCTTCCAATCAGCGATTTCCTGCCCAGTACAATAGAAGAGATATAAGATAGATCATATGTCGTAAAAAGCTGATGAAAATCGATATAAAAAAACCCAGTACTTTTTGTTCACCAGCAGTGGTACAACGCCTCTCGCCCTATGACGCCTCGCCGCATCATAAAGCACGGAAATTCTGACTGAGGATAAGGTAGTTGCGCAGGCCTCGTGGCGTTCGCGGGCCACTGGCCAAGGCGTCCCAATTGGGCACCAGCACAAACACCTCTGTGAACGCACCGCGCGGCGCCTCCTTACCAGCGCCGTACTGGACGTGGCCCGTCACCTGGACGAGCAAAGAGACCATCTTCTGCTGCAGCTGCTTAAGCTGCTGAGGTGTGGTGGTCTCGTAGGCTGCCGAGCCTGGCGTCATTCGCTGCAGGATCGCGTCGGGACAGGCGAGACGGAACTGCGGGTTAAGCACGTGCACGTCAAAGCCGTCGACATCGTAGCGGACGCGGAATGTGGGTGTGGAGGAGGAAGACGAGGATGACGTGTTGCGGTGGGGATTGGACGCAGAGGAGGTGCCGTTGGTCGCGGCGGCGCCGTTGGCATTTTGTGCGCCGGCTTGTCGTGCCAGCAAGGCCTCGAAGTCGGCGGGTTTTGCGCACACCATGCCGTTGATGCTCAAGTCGGCGGCGGCCCCGACAGCCGAGTATTTTGCATTATTGTTGACATAAAAGGACGCGAGCGGCTTGCGGTCGCTGACGGATGTGTAGAACCAATCAATAAAGGTCTGGGCGCTTTCGGTCGAGTTCTTGACCTCGAGCTCTTCTGCGGTGGCGGCGGCCATTCTGTGATCGGGAGTAGAGATTTGGCCGTCCTCGAAGGCCCGCGAGCTCTGTCGCTAGTCGTCGCGCAGCAGGAGTGTGTTGTTCCCCTGGCTGCTCACGTCCAGAAAAAATAATTCGAAACTTGTCGATAACTCTCGAGGCGCCACAAGAGCACGTGTCGCGGAGAGTTTAACGAATGTCGCACAGAGTTGTCACGCAGCAGTAGGGTCGGGATGCCGATAGAATAAGTGTCGCAGTACAACTGTCGTCGTTTTCGGATGTTGAAAGGTCGTGGTGTTGTCGTCCGTGCTGTTTGACGTACGGGCGCTCGACAAAATATAAAAGAAGGTAGAAGTAAAAGAAGGTTCACAGTATCCACAGTGCCGGTCGTACTTGACCAATATATTTAGGCAATTGCCACGCTAACACTGGCAGGCAGTCGCGCCTTCCCAGGCAACCACAGTTATCGGCAAGACTGCCCCGCACGTTAGGCTTATCGCTCGCACCACATGGGGAAGTCGCAACCAACAGCCTTTCATTGTAAGATAGCTGTCGGTCTGTGTCGCACCAATTATCTTCCTCGCCTCTGACTTCACCTCGTGTCACCCACCCGTATTCTCACCTCTCAGCCTCATTCCCTGCGCATAACTCTCAATCAACCCTCAATTTTCGCTGTCCACGGCGCGGCTCTCATACCCGCACGTATTAGTGCTCTGCCCGGACGCCACAAAGGCAAACGGCAAAGGGCGATCCGCAAACCGCGAAAATGCATCTTGTTACGCTGAGCACATGCAACCTCAACCAGTGGGCGCTGGACTTTGAGGGGAACACAGACAGAATTATCCGCAGTATCCATGAGGCCAAGAGAGCTGGCGCGAAACTGCGAGTCGGCCCAGAACTGGTGGGTGAAGCTCCATCTTGGAGAGGATGGCAGACTAGGAGTCAGGGGGCACATGCTAACCACCCAATCTAGGAAGTCTCCGGCTATGACTGTCTGGATCACTTTCTTGAGGTAGGCCGTCACCTCTGCCAACGGCTCTGGTAGTCGCTGGCCACTTGCCACGATCGGGCGGACATTCTACGGTACTGACACGGCTAGGGCGACCTCTATCTTCACTGCTGGCAACAGATGTACCGTATCCTGACGGACACGTCATGCTTTGGCATCCTTCTGGATATTGTACGTTGGTATGGAGAAACAAACGTGTGCGGGATGGCACAACGGTAACGCAAGAATGCTCTGCTGACACCCTCTATAGGGCATGCCCGTTCTGCATCGCGGCAACCGCTTCAACTGCCGCGTCCTCGCCATAGACGGCAAGATCATCATGATCCGTCCCAAACTGTTCCTGGCAGCCGACGGTAACTACCGCGAGAACCGCTACTTTATTGCCTGGCATGGACCTCGCCATGTCGAGGAGTACTACCTGCCGCCCATGATGCAGGACCTGCAGGGCTCGATCAAGGTCCCGATCGGTGACGCCGTCATCAGCACGCCAGACACCTGCCTCGGTGCCGAGACGTGCGAAGAACTGTTTACTGTGCGTACGGCCGCATGTTCGCCTTCTAAATAGCAATGTAGATACGGTATTGACAGTTACAGCCAAACTCCCCTCATATCGGTATGGGCCTTTCGGGTACCGAGATCTTTACAAACAGCTCCGGTTCTCACCACGTACGTCACGCTTCTTTCTTCCGTATCCGGTCTTCTTTTGACGTCGTTTTATGGTCCTTTTTTGTTACTAACTTTTGGTTTCCACAGAGCTTGAGAAAGCTTGACATCCGTGTCTCGCTCATTCTTGAAGCGACCCGCAAGAACGGCGGTGTCTATCTGTATTCCAACTGCCGCGGCGCAGGTGGAGAGCGTCTCTACTACGTAAGTAGGCTGCCCCATTCGCAGTTCTCGGTCGTTCAAAACTAAACGTGCAATCGCCCAGGACGGCTGTTCAATGATTATCGGTAAGATGTTGACTGCGCCAGCACGGTACTGAGAGGCTGGGAAGTTTTGTCAATCGAACGGCGACTAACCGAATATCAAATGTACAGTCAACGGTAACATTGTGGCCCAAGGTAGCCAGTTCTCCTTGGTAGGTTGTTCCTCGCCATATGCAAAACCGCGAAGCACAGCTACTTACACACGCATTTTTCTTGGCACAGAAAGACGTGGAGGTCATCACGGCTACAGTAGACCTGGAAGAGGTCCGGTCGTACCGTTTCACGCCGTCCCGTGGCATGCAGGCAATGCAGGCCCCGGCGTACCAGCGCATCGAGGTCGGTTTCAGCCTGGCAGACAACAACCCTGGCCTGGCCCCTACCAAGTCTCAACTGCCACGGTACCACCTCCCAGAGGAAGAGATCGCACTCGGCCCTGCCTGCTACCTGTACGACTACCTCCGCCGGTCGGGTGCGTCCGGCTTTCTTTTGCCGCTCAGTGGTGGCATCGACAGCTGCTCAACGGCTGTGATTGTCTTCAGCATGTGCCGACTGGCCATGGCAGCGGTTGCCGAGGGGAACGAGACAGTGATTGCCGATGTCAAGCGGTTGTGCCGACACGCCAAGGAATTTCCAAAAACTCCGGAAGAATTTTGCAACAACATCATGCACGTACGTATTTGCGCATGATGGGTGCACCGTTGACTTTCACTTTCCCATACTAATCCCGCTGCAGACCATCTACATGGGCATGAAGACGCAGTCTAGCAAGGAGACACGGCAGCGGGCCGAGTTCCTCGCGCGTGACATTGGCAGCCACCATACCGACATCAACATTGACAACGCCTTCCACTCGTTCAAGGGCCTCCTCACAGATGCTACAGGCTTTGAGCCAAAGTTCAAGGTCTACGGTGGTGGCAATACGGAGAACCTGTACGTCTAGCCTGTCGATCCTCTCCCCCCGCAACTGGGATTCGTCAACGTGTCCAGGAGTGTGCTAACGGAATTGGCCACCAGTGCTCTCCAAAATATCCAGGCGCGGTCCCGCATGGTCGCGGCCTACGAGTTTGCACAGCTACTGCCGACTGTGCGCTTCGGCGAGGGTGCGGGCGGTCTGCTTGTACTTGGCTCTGCCAATGTTGACGGTACGCTCCTCCCGTCACGCATGATACTATGCCACTTGTCGTCTAACGTCTAACGCCCTCTTTTAGAATGCCTCCGTGGCTATCTCACGAAATACGATTGTTCGAGCGCCGATGTAGGTCGTGACAGATCCTGGCGCTCTCCAGGATGACAGATCACCGGCTAACTATGGCACAGATCAATCCCATTGGATCCATCTCGAAGAAGGACCTCAAGCGGTTTATTGCATGGGCCGAGAAGGAGTTCAAGCTGCCCATCCTAGGCGAGTTCTTGAATGCCGTCCCAACGGCCGAACTTGAGCCCATTACGGGAGACTATGTCCAGTCCGACGAAGCGGACATGGGCATGACTTACGACGACCGTACGTATCCACGGACCCCACCGACCATGCAGCTCGTAGCCTGCGACGGCTTGCTAACAACACTCTCACCCCAACCACAGTCTCCACGTTTGGCGTGCTCCGGAAAGAGATGAAGCTGGGCCCCTACTACATGTTCCAGAAGCTTGTGCATGACTGGAAGGAAGAGCGCGGTCTCGAGCCCCGCCAGGTGGCCGAGAAGGTCAAGAAGTTCTTTGCCTTTTACGCCATCAACCGCCACAAGATGACTACGATGACGCCGTCCGTGCATATGGAGACATACTCGCCCGACGACAACCGCTTCGACCATCGGCCGTTCCTGTACCCACGCATGTGGGACAACTGGTCCTTCAAGATGATTGACCAGGACGTCGAGCGCATGGAGGCGGCGCAGCTGGAGTCGCGTGAAGCCGCGCAGGCCAGCAGCCACGGCGACAACTGAAGAGGAGCCTTGTAGTCTGATAGACTTGGATACGTTTGAGATACGCTATACGCTCTACCTTCCAGTTTATTCATCTACAGCGTGTCAGTCAGATTCGATACGCTGGAACGCTCGAGTGCAAAGACGGAGTGGTGTAGTGTGTGTCGTAGGCCATCAGATGTGAATATAATGCATGCCTTTTCAAGTTCTTCGGCATCCTCAACCAACGCAAGCCTGCGCGCCAGGAACAAGACGACGCCGGCAGGGGGTAGAGTTGGATTACCAGATGATAGATTCGCTCATCACGTTGGTCGACTTGGAGTGGGATTGCAGACTTGGAAAGCTGTGCTACTCACAAGGTCATCGGAGGTTGACGTTGGGACAAGTTTGGCCGAAAAAATGGATTCGAGCCGTTGCGTCGTTTCAGCCGGATTGACTCTACACAGCCATCTCGTCCATCTCGTCCATCAAACAGCATCAGGGCCGACAAAAAGAAAACAGAATAGACACCGCGCCCAGCGTTTGCACCATCGCCGATCGCACATGTGAGAAGAAGAATGTCCAGTAGCTTCAGGTCATCGCCGCATCATGGGCGCCAGCGCTCTCGAAAGAGGCGGCCCTCGTGACGATGGTTTTAATAACATGGGTGGAGGTCGATCTTGACACACGAATCGGAATCGTCAGGTAATGGGGCTTTCCTCCTGGCGATGACTTGAGTAAGAATATTTTTCCATTGTGGTCGTTGAGGAAAAAGAGAAGAGAAAAAAGAAATCGAAGCGTACGCGAAAAAATTTAGGCAAAAGATGAACACTACGGCGCAGGTGCCATTTCTGCCGCCCCTGACCGCCTAAACATGCAAAGCCAACGGGCTCTTTCCATTTCGGTGGTCTGTGCCTTTCGCAGCCTTTTGACTTTGCCTGTGACTTTGACATATTGAGACCAGAGGTTTGCAGAGTCCAACCCTGATTTGCGGCTCAGGTTCAACTTTTCAGTTCACGAATGTGTCTGGCTCTACGACGTATTCTGTTGTAAACTATGGGATGCGACAGCCATACCGACATATGATGCCTCTTCTCTTGCATCACGTGATGTCGTTGTCTACCTGGGCGGGTCGTGCTTGCGTATCTGTATCTGTAGCTGTAGCTTTCGCATCGCTCTTTCCTCGTTATTTCGTTTGTGTGTCGAGCATGAGGAAGCTGCAACCCGTGACTATGCCACACTTTTATATGTCGTCGTTAAACAAGCCGAACGTCAATCCGTGCACCACCATACCTACAAAACGTCGACACCAACTCCGTGACTGAACCTGTGGGCACATGAGGTGAGGTGAAGCCTTTTCTGAGGCTTCTCCAGCTCACGATCTTTGACTCGGTATTCAAACGCACGACACACCGACTCATCACCCGCCCAATGGACCGCCTCTTGATGGCTCGTGGGCTGGGCTGCCTGCATCGGCCATGCCGGCAGAGGCTTTCTGCCCGAGAATGGCAAGTTGGTCGGCCGCTGCAGAGACGTCACGCTGCAACAGCAAAGCCGCCACCAACGACGAAGCCCTACTACGTCACGACGCCCATCTTCTACGTCAACGCCGACCCGCACATCGGCCACCTGTACACCATGGTTCTGGCCGATGTACTCAAGCGGTGGCAGACGCTGCTCGGCCGCAAGGCCCTGCTCTGCACGGGCACCGACGAGCACGGACTCAAAGTTCAGCAGGCGGCGACGCGGGCAGGCGTGCCGCCCAAGCAGTTTTGTGACGAGAACGCATCCGTGTTCTTGGACTTGGCGCGCAGGGCGAGCATCGACAACGATTTCTTCATCCGCACAACGGACGCCGACCACATCGCGGCCGCCCGCGCGTTTTGGCGGCGACTGCGGCGCAAAGGCTACATCTACCAGTCGCAGCACCAGGGTTGGTACTGCGTGAGCGACGAGACGTTCTACCCGGAGGCACTCGTCGAGAAGCGCATCGCGCCGGCGACGGGCAAGGTCGAGATGGTGTCGACGGAGACGGGCAAGACGGTCGAGTGGACCGAGGAGCAGAATTACCACTTTCGGATGACGGCGGTGCGTGACCGGCTGTTGCAGTTCTACGCGGAGAACCCCGACTTTGTGGTACCCGCAGCGCGCATGAACGAGGTTGTGCACTGGGTGACACACAATCTCGAAGACCTGTCCATTTCGCGGCCGTCCAGCCGGCTCACGTGGGCCGTGCCAGCGCCCGAGGACCCGAGCCAAACGATATACGTGTGGATGGAGGCTCTGGTCAACTATATGACCAAGGCTGGGTACCCTGAGCGGTGGGCGCCCGAGGAGCAGCGTGAGGCTGCGCTGGAGGCCGAGGCCGAGGCCACCGAGTCGGCTGAGGCGGTCGTGATTGACGGCAATGTGCAGGCCAATATGGTGATGGAGAGCGAGGAAGACAATAACAGCAGCAGCAAAGGACGAAGAAGAAGCGGCCGCTACAAGCCGTCGTCTGAGCTGCACAAAGCAGCAGCACCTCTCACACCCGAGCAGCGGCAGCGACACGAGGGCGGCGGCTGGCCGGTCGACGTACATGTGATGGGCAAGGACATTGTGCGGTTCCATGCGGTGTACTGGCCGGCTCTGCTGCTGGCTGTCGATCTGCCGCTGCCCAGGCGCATCCTGAGCCACGCGCACTGGACGCTGGGCCGCAAGAAGATGTCCAAGTCGGTGGGCAACGTGGTCAACCCGTTCTATGCCATGGACCGCTTTGGCGTGGATGCCATGCGCTACTATCTGTTGCACGACGGCGGCATTGAGCACGACGGCGACTACGGAAACGAGCACATTGTCGACCGCTACAAGAAGGGCCTGCAGGGCGGCCTGGGCAATCTGCTGGGCCGGATTACGCGGACGACGCGGTGGAGCGTGCGCGAAACGGTTGTGCGGGGCCCGTCGTCGTTGGAGGGCAGCGCCCGCCGAAGCGCCCCAGTGGAGGCCCAGATTGCCTCCATTCAGAACGTGGCCGGTCTTGCGGCGAGCCACATGGAGCGACTGGACCCGCGACAGGCGCTGCATGCCATCATGGACGTGGTCTACCAGACGAACCGGTTCCTGCAGGAGCTGGAGCCGTGGAGCGTGGCCAAGCAGCTGGCCACTGCGCCGACGACAAGCGAGGCCAGTTCCGGTAATGAGGCACTGCGCGTGCGCCTCGACCAGTCCGTCTATTTGACGGCTGAGGCACTGCGCGTCGTCGGCATCCTGCTGCAACCGGTCATGCCGGCCAAGGCCGCCGAGGTGCTGGATATATTGGGCGTGGGCCACGGGCGCCGGTCCTTTGACTATGCGCAGCTGGGAACGGATGGAGACTACGGTCTACCCATGAAGCCGCCCGGGAAAAGCAAAGACGGCGGCCTATTTCCCCCGTTGCCAGTTGAGGATTGAGCTGTGATTTGGTGCATGCGATATAGCGGGCATGGCGCATTATAACACTACAACGGATGCGTACGATAAAGGAGATGATTTGATGGCATGTGGCGACGACGTATACTCTTGGATACACTGTCATGATTTTATTTAAATTGGTTTTTTTTTTTTTGGCAATTAAAGTACAATGCTGTGGATGGATGTTGTCTGCGTTTCTCGCTTTCAGAGCTGTTTCTGAGCAGCCCCACTCGACTCCTACTATGGTCCCAAAAGTTCCCCAGTTCACTAAAGCGCGCAATTAACATCTTACAACAAAACCAACGACATACCAGCCGCCATGAAGGTCAACGAGAACACTGGTACGTTGAATAATTGTTTGTTCACGTTCATGTCCACCTACTTACACACTCAGCCATATCCACACCCGGCGTGCTGCTCGTGCCGTACGACCGCCGGCATGTGCCCACGTACCACGACTGGATGGAGGACGAGGCGGTACGGGCGGCGACAGCATCCGACCGACTGACGCTCGAGGAGGAGTTTGAGAACCAGGAGTCGTGGCGTGCGGCTGCCGACAAGTTGACGTTTATCCTGTGCCAGCCGGCCAGCGGGCGCGAGGGCAGTATCGTCGCTGGCGTGGACGACGCGCCAGACCGCATGGTCGGCGACATTAATTTTTTCCTGACGCCTTTCGAGAAAGACGAGGACGAAGACGACGAGTCTGGCAAGATACCGGAGGATGAGGCCGGCTGCCCCCTCTTCAGCGGCGAAGTCGATGTGATGATTGCCCGGCCCGAGCACCGTCGACAAGGATTTGGCCGCTCGGCTGTCACGGCGTTTTTGCACTACATTTTGCAAAGCAAGCGAGACGCGATTCTCGCCGAGGCGGCAGACGCAACAACGCCTGCGCCCCGTCTCAAGCAGCTCGTGGTCAAGATCCAAGCGAGCAATCTGGCGAGCATCGGCCTATTCACGAGTCTGGGGTTCGAGCAAAAGGGCGGCGTCAACTACTTTGGAGAGGTCGAGCTGGTCCGAAAACACCTGACAGCCGACGCGCCTCCGTGCTATACCGAAAAAGCATACCAAAGAAGTGATAGCAGGCATTGAAACGAGCATGCAGAATTGCCATCACGGCGTATATATTAGGTGCACTCTGTGGCATAAGACGAACCGGCAAGTTGCGCAAACAAGGTCCAAAAGTATCAAAAGAAACGCCAAGACATATCGACATTATCGAGGGAAATGAAGAACGACAAAAAGACAAGAAAAGACAACCAAGATAACTACCCTACACGCCAAACCGCTCCCGGAAGTCTGCCAGGATGTCGAGGCTGATGTTGGACCCACCGCACACCACGATGACGACTTTTTGCTCGGCCCACTCCACATCGGACATGCCGGCGCCGAGGTGGTGCCGCAGCAGACTCGTGGGCTTGCCTGGCTCGGCGACCGCCGAAGCAGATGCCGGTGTGTACAGCGGCGCCAGCGCCGCGCCGCATGCCGGCTCGACCAGCAACCGCGTGTCGTCCAGAAAGTGCACAATCGCGTCGACGGCCTCGGCGTCGGTGACTACGAGCGGCACCACGGCCTTGGGCCGGTTCCGGGACCACGCGTACGCCTGCTCGGCCACA